TGTAATGAGTTAAACAGTGACCTAAGCCAGTTCTCTGACCTGAGCAAGGATTGCCAGCAGGGTTTTAGCGGCACAAACCTAGCATATGAACCTACCTACCTCTGAGCTCTGGTTTCCCTTCACACCAGACTTTCCACTTTGTCGGGAGCTACATGGTCAACTGACCCTATGGCAGCCGATGTGAGACACTATGTCCTGCAGATGGCCCTCGCTGGCTCTCCCCTGCCATGAGCTTCCTGGACCACTTGCTCTTCTAGCTGCAGCCTCAGAAGGTCCTGGACATATTTTGTTGGTTAATAGCAAAGCAGAAAAAGTAAGCTCCTGGGTCCAGAGCTCAGCAAGAGTTCCCTGCTTCAAAGAAAATGTGTTTATCAGAAAAAGAGTTTAGCAGGTGCCAAGGTTAGGAAACCTGCGGCCCTGCTATCAGCGTGCGTGGCCCTCAAACTCACTTTGCCAGAAAGCTGGGCTGGGTGCAGAGTGGACTGCAGAGCAGAAAGCAGAAAATGCCGCAGGAATTGTCACACTTTTGCTCCACTCATGTGCCCGAACCTGAGAAGATGAGCTAATATGTTAGTTCCTCTGTGACACAGCATCCACACATGACCACACAGACCCTGACACTGACAAGGAAACCTGGGAAGCCTCTGTCTGCAGAAAATTGAAATTTAAGTTGGAATAGTGGCCCAAAACTGTCCCATCCCTGGTGCCGGTCTTTTCCCAGCCAGGCCTCCAAGAACAATTTGTTCAGCTCTTGCCTTTTTCATGAAGCCCATGTCTTTACAGGCATTTTCCCATGCCCGGACTCTGGTGCTTTGGAATCACAGGATCTTCTTTCTATAAACCCCTCCATCTTACCCCTGCCTCCTCCCTAAGATCCCATAAAGGCTCTCCTTTAACCCCATGAGGCCCAGAATAGAGAAAGCCATGATTATTCACCCTCATTTAGTTTGGACTTCAAATCTCTGTGCCCCTCCGCTTGGCAGGATGGGGAGAGTGGAGGTTAATGAATGGGGTTTTCTCCATGCTAAGCCCCCACCAGGGTGCACCATGCCTGACTCCATCCAGGGTGGGTTAAAAATGAAGTGCTCCATTCCCCATGGAGGGATATTCCCTTAACCTAGAGGCAGGAGGGAGGGCCTAGTCCCTACTCCAAATGACTTGACAGATTTTGTTGACCCCTCCTGGAAGGCATCACCCTCCCTGTGGAGTGGGGGGGGATGGGAGGGTGGTTGTGGGAGAGTGGGAGAGAGGGAGGGAAGGAGAGGGAACTGGGATCCATACATAAAATAAGAAAAATAAATGGGAAAAAAAAAAAAAAAACGAAGTGCTCTCCTGCCCAAGGCTGTTTATTATGAGGCAGAAAATGCAGTTAACCTTAACTGGTTTGGGTCACTGGCCCAAGCTTGCTTTTTCCTTGCAGCCTCTGTCCCCTTGTGAAATAGTGAAACAGAGACCCAGAATTAGGCACACCAAGGAGCAGACATAAATATTGTAGAGTTATGCTTAGAGGCCCATGAGTCACCACTCTGTACCACACAGAGAATAAATTCCTTCACTTACATACACCGTTATTTTCAATATATACGCACTGTTATGATTCATAAAGCACAGTTACTTTAAAAAGAGTGCTTAATAAGCTACGATGACCCAATAACGTCTTTGGGAAGAGAATACCTCCCAAGTTTAGCTGGGGATAAGGGCTTGGGTCCTTTGCCTTGGCTTCCTTGACAGAAGATAAACAGACTCAGGCTTGGAGCTCTGACTTTGGGACTGAACAGTGATGGACTAATAGCTCAGCTGCCTGTTTCTCCAGCCAGGGTAACCAGCGACACATTTGTCTCACACTTTTCCCTATCCTGGGTTTCTGTGTGGTTGGAAATCAGCTTCTTTGGGCATTAAAACTCCTGCTCTCAGCTGGGTGGTGATGGTGCACGCCTTTAATCCCAGCACTTGGGAGGCAGAGGCAGGAGGATCTCTGAGTCGATAGAGTAGGTTCTAGGACAGCCAGAGCTGTACAGAGAAACCCTGTCTTGAAAAACATAAAGCCTCATGCTAACTTTTTAAAAGGCAGTAACTACCATGGTGTGAATAACGTTTGAAAACCCCACACCCTGCCAGTGTCTTCTACTCTTCCATTCCAGCTGCTCTGAGGGAAGTACTGGCCTAGAATGTGCTGCATAGACTGAGCTTGAACACACTTCCTCCCCTCCCTGAGGACTCTAATTAGGAATGTAAGCTCATGTTCTGCAGCAGCAACAAGGAAGGAGTGGACAGACCCTGCTCTAAGAGACAACTGCTGCTGCTGGGGTCCTTTTAAAGACTTGGCTTGTGACTCACCAGCCAGAAGCCTCAGGATGACAGGACACCAAAGAGTGTAGGGTCGGGGCTGCTGCTTCAAGAATGTGCTGTAAGAGGGAGCAAAGGGGGGGGGGACACCTTCACGTGGCTCCCTCCTTCAACTAAGCTGCACAACACTCAACTTCCAGCCTCTGCAAGAGTAAACTCCTAGAGATATTTGCTGAAAGATTTAGCATCCTGCCCTAGTTCTTCCATAGTATAGGGTGAGCTGGCAGAGCAGAGTGGGTGAAGAATGAGCCTTTCGTGAAAATCTTAATAACGTACCTGTTGTTGGAGTAGGGCCACGCCCTTCTGTGATTGCCATGAACCAGGCCACTTCACCGGTTAAGGTCTTTGGCTCCTATACAGCATTGACAATTGGCTGCAAAGTTACACATAAACTTGCAGACCAGAGGGCATCTGAGCTGAGCCGCTGAGCAAGTTGGGACAGCTGCAAAGACAGAGCTTTGCAGGGCTCCAGATGTTCTGATAGGCCCTTCCCTATAGGTCCGTCTCCTGGCTCATGAAGGGTACCCAGGCAGGACTGGGAAGTAGAAGGTCTGAGTTATATTCTATGTGACCTTTCAGCCAACCTACACTCTCTTTATTGAGTAGTTTATCCAACTGATACTGTGAAGCCCTGCTTGTGTTGTATAAGACATAGTGCTAGGTTCTGGGAAGGCCGCTCAGAAGAAGCGAGTAAGAGAGAAGCATGGGAAGAAGTTGGCAAGATAACTGAGTGTTGTGAAGTGTCGGGAGGGACGTAGACAGGAAAGTGATGCAGAGTTGGGGCAGCCAGCCATTCTGTAGACCTCTGCAGAGGGGCCTTGGCACCAGAGCCTCAGAATAACAGGGTGAGAGGAGCTACAGAATGGTGTTCCAGGCAGGAATGCAGAGACACAGTAGAAGAGCTAAAGCTAAAGCAAAAGGGCTGTTGCTGGAGTGGAGGGTGGAGGGTGCTTTGGGAAGAGCTCAGAGAGGCAAGAGCTAGGCTAACATAGGATATTAGAGACCCTGGCAAGAGCTAGGACTGTATTCTGAGAGCGTGGGAAGACCCTGACTGTGTTAAGCAGAGGTGAGAAGTGTAATTAAAGATCACTGTCACATTGCTGTAGTAGGTTAGGAGCAGTTTCCATTAATGGGGATCTGGGTAAATAACATGAGGTTCACTAGACTGAATACAGTGGTATAGACTGAGACATAGATGTGTGCTACTATAGAAGGGTTTGCAAAATAGCTCCAGAAGACAAAACAAGAAACAGTATTATAATTGTGGAGGTGTAGAGTCCAGCTCAGGGCAAGAGCAATTGTGAGTCCCTGGGTCCCCTAATACTAGGGGGAAATGTATCACAAATGTGTTGTAAGGGCTAACAAATGGCTCAGCAGATACAAGGCCTGCCACCAACCTGACCGATGATCCAAGTTTTTTCTTTTCTTTCTTTTTTTTTTTTTTTAGACAGGGTTTCTCTGTGGTTTTGGAGGATGTCCTGGAACTAGCTCTTGTAGACCAAGCTGATCTCGAACTCACATCCACCTGCCTCTGACTCCCAAGCGCTGGGATTAAAGGCGTGCACCACCACCGCCTGGCTATAATCCAAGTTTCAATCCAAGTTCATATGGTGGGAAAAGACTCCTGGAAGTTGCCTCTGACTTCTACACATTCACTGTGGAATGCACATACACACACACACACACACACACACACACACAGAGAGAGAGAGAGAGAGAGAGAGAGAGAGAGAGGTGTATACATAGTATATATGTAATATACATATAATATACATAATGTATTTTAAAGAGTCAACACCCATGCCTATAGATGTACGATATAGAGACTATTACATAACATCCTGTTTGCAGGTTTCCCCTAGGAAAACCATGGGGGACTAGGAGGGGCTAGGAACTAACTTTATAGCATATTCCTTTGTACACTTGAATAGCTTATACTGTGCTTGTCTTACTTATTCAGCAAACAAAAGACAAAATGTCTTAAGTTGTGATCACTCTAGATACTGTGTGGAGAGGGACTAAGCAGGGTGAGAGTGGAAAGAGAATGTACTAGAAGGCTCAGGAAGTAGGTGTGTGCTGCAAGACAGGTGTGGTTTGACCTATGGAGTTGGCAATGGGGATGAAGAATAGTGGATGAATTCAGGAATTCTCGTTCTCTGTGGTGGGAACTTGTTGAGTTTCTCCCAGGTGCTAAAAGGCTCCAAATGCCAGAGACTGCATGAAACATCACACTGTGGAAGGCTGTTATGAGTGTACTCTACCTTCATATCCACATGCAATTCACAAACCATCCTTATAATTTTAAAAACAAAATCTAAAGCCAGGCATCACAGTGCTGGAGAAGCTTGCTGTCCAGCCAGTCTGACCAAGTCTGTGAGCTTCAAATTCACTGAGAGCTCTTGTTTCAGAAGGAAGACAGTGACATTGACCTCTAGCCTTCATGTGTGCATGTACGTACACACACATGCACACAACACACAGATGGACTCATACATACATGCACACACACATACATACATATACGTACATACATACACACCCTAAAGAGTTACACACAAATACATAACACACACCTGCATATACCTCTTATGCCAAACATACACAAGTCACCTTGAAGTGAACACATTTCTCAATGGAGCTTGCTTGCTTTGCAGAGAGATGCCAAAGGCCAGTACCTGTTTGACCTCCTTTGCCACCACCTGAACCTACTTGAGAAAGACTACTTTGGGATTCGTTTTGTGGACCCGGATAAGCAGCGGGTAAGTCAAAATTCAGAGCAGAGATGGCACACAGGGTTAGCTAACAGGCCTGAATCTTTGGATGTATGTGACGCATATTCAAAGTTTAGCCAGGCCCTGTAGTTGGTGTCATCACTTCAGATCATCGCACTGAACCTGAAAGTCTACACCTGAAGGAACCTGACATTTCACAGATGCCAAAAAGGCAGCCTCAAGAGCTTAAGCAACTTGCCCATGGATGCCCACACGAGGCGTGGCTAGAGGGCGAGGGTTGAGGTAGAGCCTTACTGGGCAATGGGTCTAGGCAGGAGAGAAGGAACCAGACAGATGTAAGCCCTTGAGCACCTTGCAAAGCCTGTAGATATTTCTTGGCCCTATGCAGTAAAGACAGTTGCAGGCCGCAACAAAGACTGGTGTCTCAGACAGAGAGAATCAAGTCCATTTCCCTTGGGCCCCTTCATCATCTCCAGCATCACTTCCCCAACCTGCCTCCTCCTCTCTGTGGTCTAGCCATATATTATACTCCTGGCATGCTGTCTCCCTTTTCAAACCCTCAGTTCCCCTGCCTGGAGCATGTGTCTCCTTTTCCTCATATTCCACACTCCATAGTTTTCTCCTGATCTCCCCCCCCCCCTTTTTGTTTGTTTTTGTTGTTTTGGCTTGTTTGTGTGTGTGGTTTTTTGTTTGTTTGTTTGTTGTTTTTTGAGACAGACTTTTTCTGTGTAACAGCTCTGTCTGTCCTAGATCTTGCTTTGCAAAACAGGCTGGCCTCAAACTCACAGAGATCTACCTGCCTCTGCCTCCAGAGTGCTGGCATTAACAGGTATGTGTCCCCTTTTCTTTTTTGTAGATGTGTTTTTATTTTATTGAGGTGTATGTGTGTTTGTCTGGGTGTGTTATGTCATGTGGACATCAGTGCCCTCAGTGGCCAGAAGAGCACGTTGGATTACCTAGAGTTACAGACAGTTGTGAGCTTCCTGTAGAGGACTGAACCTGGGTCCTCTACAGGAGCAACAAACACAACTTCTGAGCATTTCTCCGGGCCCAAGGCTGCCTTCTTGTCATACTTACGGTCTTCCCTGACCCTGCTGTATATTCCTCTCTGTCCCCCTATCTCCTCTAATGCCTACGCATCCGCCATAGCTCTTCCTGCACTGTGTTATGAATGCCTTTTGAATTCCAAGGGGGAGCACACAGACTGTGTCCCATCCATCATTGTCTCGTGGAGCCAGTGCAGGACCTAGAGTGCAGCTGGCACTCAGTAAGCATTTGCCAAAGCAATGAGTTAATGATTTGTGGTGCCTTGATGTTCACCTTCATCTTCCCAGCCTGCAGACAGCTGCACTTCTGCAGCTTTGATTCATCATCCCTTCGCTGACTGTGAGGGTGTGCTATCTGACACCCCAAGGAAGTGGGAAAATATGCAGACACATGCAGGCTGCATGCTCCTGCTCCCTCGCCACCCATGTTCATCTGCCACTCTCCAAAGACATCATCACAACCCTACAGCTTCATAAATGCTGGAGGGCCCTCCTCCTTAGGTCCGGGATTTCCTTCACCGCTCCCAACAGGACTGTCTCTACTATTATCGGGGGATGGGGATGGGGGGTATGGAAGACTAACAAGACACAGCATCCCGGCACTACCCAGAATGATGGGTGTAGTGTGGATGTGCCCTTCACCGTGCCACCGTCAAATGCTGCCCGCCCTTTGGTTGCCTGAGCCACTTTGTCCTCCACGCCATATTTAGGGTTGTGTGGTAAAGTTTTAGAAAAGACTCTGAGATGCCTACCTTTTGGGTTTCCTCTGACTAGCCCCGCCCCCACTCTTGTGAGCAGCATCAGTGTTTGGACATTTACCCCCACATCTGTCCCTTGTTCTTCTCTGTTGACATGCTGTCCTTAGCTCTGGACCTTTGTGTGAGGCCACAAAGTGCCTGGATAGCAGGAAACTGTCCTCACTGCCGTGTGTGCCCATTCTCTAGAAAGTGGCACACACACACACACACACACACACACACACACACATACACACACACACACCGCTCCCAGTGTTTGCTCAGACTAAGCTTTCTCTCCTCTTGTCTTTCTTTTACTTAAATAACCTTTTATCATTTATTTTACATACTGACCACACTTCCCCCCCCCTCCTTCCATCCCATCCCCCGCTTTGCATCTACACCCCTTCCCATCCACTCCTCCTCCATCTGCATTCAGAAAGAAGCAGTCTTCCCATGGGCTTTACCAAAGCACAGCCCGTCAAGTTGAGGGCAGGACCGAGCTCCTCCCCTCTTGTCAAGGGCTGGGCAAGGTCATCCAGCATGGGGAACAGGTTAAGTGCCAGGGACAGGTCCTGATCTCACTGCTAGGAGCCTTACATACCGAACAAGCTACACAACTGTCACGTGTCAGTCCCATGCAGGCTCCCTAACTGTTGGTCCAGGGTCCAACAGTCCAGCTCAGGTCAGCTCGGTTCCGGTCATGACCCCTCTGGCTCATACAGTCTCTCCTCCCTTTCTAGAGCTAGACTCCTGGAGCTCCCCCCAGTGCTTGGCTGTGGATCTCTGTATCTGTTTCCATCAGTTACTGGATAGAGTATCTGGATAGAGCACCCTCTCCACTATTGCTATGAGTCTTAGCTGGGTCATCCATCCTTGTGGATATTCCTGGTGGTTTCCCTGGTGCCAGGTGTCTCCCAAACCCCAAAATGTCACCTACATCAAGATGTCTCTTTCATTACTCTCCCCCAACCCCATTCTACCCCTAACCTGCCTCCTGCACCCAGCCTGCCCAGCCTACTCCCTCAAGTTCCCATCCCTCTATCTCCCCCACCACTGCCCCCAAGAGAGCTCTCCTATTCCCCTTTCCCAGGGAGATCCATGCATACTTCTTTGGGCCCTCCTTGTTATCTAGCCTCCCTGGGGCTGTGATCGTAGGTTGGTTATCCTATACACTACTACTAATGTCTGCTTATGAGTGAATACATACCATGTTTGTCTTTCTGGTTCTGGATTACCTCACTCACCATGATTTTTTCTAGTCCATCTATTTGCCTGAAAATTTCATGAGGTCATTATTTTTGTACAGCCAAGTAATACTTTATTGTGTAAATGTACCACATTTTCCTTATCCATTCTTTGGCTTAGGGACATCTAAGACTCTGTTTCTAGACTCTGGCTATTACAAATAATGCTGCTATGAACATAGTTGAGCAAGTGGCCTTGTGGTATGATTGAACATCCTTTGGGTATATGCCCAGGAGTGGTATAACTGGGTCTTGAGGTAGATTGATTCCCAATTTTCTGAAAAACCTCCATATTGATTTCCACAGCAGCTGTACAAGTTTGCACTCCCACCAGCAGTGGAGGAGTGTTCCCCTTTCTCCACATCCTCTCCAGCATAGGCTGTCATCAGTGTTTTTGATCTTAGTCATTCTGACAGGTGTAAGATGATATCTCAGAGTCATTTTGATTTGCATTTCCCTGATGACTAAGGATGCTGAGTAATCCCTTAAGTGTCTTTTGGCCATTTGAGATTCTTCTATTGAGAATTCTCTGTTTAGATCTGTAACCCACTTTTTAATTGGATTATTTGAGGTTTTGATGTCTATTTCTTGAGTTCTTTATATATTTTGGAGATGAGCCCTTTGTCAGATGTGGGGTAGGTGAAGATCTTTTCCCATTCCGTGGGCTGCCGTTTTGTCTTGTTGATCATGTCCATTGCTTTACAGAAGCTTCTCAGTTTCAGGAGGTCCCATTTATTAATTGTTGCCCTCAGTGTCTGTGCTACATTCAGGAAGTGGACTCCTGTGCCAATATGTTCAAGGCTGCTTCTCACTTTCTCTTCCATCAGGTTCAGTATAACTGAATTTATGTTAAGGACATGCTGTCCTTAGCTGTGGACCTTAGTGTGAGGCCACAATGTACCTGTATAGCAAGAAACTGCCCTTGCTGCTGTGTGTGCCCATTCTCTAGAAAGTGGAAGTATTTCCTGGAAGTATTTGTTCTGGCTAACTGTTCTCTCCTTTAAAAAAAAAAAAAAAAAAAAAAAAAAAAAAAAAGGCCTCATCTCCCCCAGAGCTAGTGGTACATAAAGTAAAAGGGCAAAATATGTCCTGTTGATCATCTTTTAGTTAGGTCAGAATATGCTTGAGGAAACAAAGGATGTATGCGGAGTTAATCCAGATTAAGAAAGGACAAACAAGGGAAGATTTGGAAAGAGGAGGCATGGCCTTTTATGGAAAGCAGTGCTCAGCTGCAGGCTCACATAGACTGAGCACCAGGTGTACCTGGTGCTAAACCAAGAGCTCCACGCACGCTCCATGCTCCATGCATGTTTTGTTGTGCAATCCTTAAGGCAAGTGGTGTGAGACTCCAGACAGTAGATTAAGACAGGTTGTCCAGTGAAGGTAGGTGGCGAGGCCAGTCCAGAGCCCAGGGCTGGCAGGCAGGTTCTGTAGACTGTGTGGTTTTCAAGACATCATGCTGAAGTCACATGGTAGCTCAAGAGTGGGGTAATTCTGTGCCTTAGAAAAGGAACATGGGGTACCAAAGCCTGAGAGGGTCCTGGGAGGCCTTAAATGACCTGTGATGATGTTATTCTAAATCCACTAGTTCATGGTAGAGGTAGAGGAAGTGAATGCCTCACTCTCGGAGGTGTAGGACAAACTCCCTCCCCCAGGCTCCATCGTGCTCTCTACAGGACCATACTGCTGGCACACCGAGTATCTTGGGGCTCCTGTCTCCCCATCCTCCTGGGGGAGCTGCCTCTGCCATGCCCTGCTGTTTCAACTCAGCCTGAGTCTCTGCCCTCTCTTCAACCTTTTGTGCATCCTTTCAAGCCTCAAGGTGTGAAGATTGTTCCACTTTGACCTGTTTCCCCCTGAATCTCACCTTTTTCCCTGATCCCACCTCATGCTATGAGTTTGCTATTAGTTCTGGGACAATCTCGAGCTTTCTCCACTGGATCCCGGAAATCCCTCAGACAAGCTTCGACAACTTTCCAACTCCTCCTAAGGTTCTCCTGGTTCAGTCTTCCCCAAGGCTCTCACCACAGTCCAAACAAAAGCTTGCTACAGCCGAGGGGAGGAGCCTCTTGGCTAATCACATGTCTTTGGTCATTCCTTATCACTTCTATCTTATTTTATTTTTCTTACCCATCAGTCTAGGGGTGTTCTGTTTACTGCATCCCTGACATTTGCCGTGTTCTCCCACTATACAGCCCCAGTTTGCTTTGAACCAGACAGGCCTCCTGCACCTTCCCAGGCAAGGCTGCAAGCTCCAGTTACTTCCATGCAATCGCCCTTCTTGCCTCTGCTTCCCTGTGAAGCAGAGCTGCGGTGGGCCATGTAATGTGAGAAGGGCCTCTTAACCACCACGCTGAGTGACTGTAATAGGTTGCCAGCCTCGTGGGAGCTTGGATCCCAGGAAGCAAGAGAGCAGAATGTCAGCCCAGATTATCCATGTGGAGCTGAGAGAACTGGCTCTTAGTGGGTCCATTAACTACATGACCCACAGCCCAGCCCAGGAGCTGAGAGCCGGGAACGGAGGGAGGCCAGGATGCTGTCTGCATGGGCTTGGCTACTTTCCTGCAGAAGAAGGCCTCTGCCAAGACTAAGTGGAAGTAGCCAGAAAAGATGGCAGCGAGGAACCCATCCCTTTGAACATTCCACAACTACAACGTGCTGGGCTTTGGAAATTATTTGGTGAACAAGTCAGTTCCTGTCCTCAGGGAACTTAAAACTAGCATTTTTAGGCTATCTCTAAGCAGGCAATCCCCAAATAATAGCAGTTTTAGCTATCTATCAATCAGCAAGTTACTTGCTTAATGTAAAAGCAATAAGAATCAGTAATGAATTTTATATTGAGAAACTGATCTACAGTGAGCTAAAGCAGGGGAGAGATGCTTAGCCATTAAGAGCACTTCCTACTCTTCCAGAACACTCAAGTTTAGTCCTCAGCACCCATATAGGGCAGCTTACAGCCACCCTTAATTCTAGCTTTCAGGTTTCTGATGCCCTCTTCTGACCTCCATGGACACATGCACTCACATGGCATAAACACACACACACACACACACACACACACACACACACACAGATAGCGATTAGAATGGTCTCATTGCTGCCTTCCCCCAAGCTCAGGAGACATAGGGAGAATGAAAAATGTAGTGTTACTATATTCTAGCTCTAAAAACCCGTGGGAGACAGGATACTATTCTACACATAAGTTACAGACAATTATCACAGGCATTGGTGGTGCATGCCTTTAATCCCAGTGCTCAGGAGGCAAAGGCAGGTGGATCTCTATGAGTTCAAGGGCAGCCTGGTCTACAGAGTGAATTCAGGACAACCTCCAAAGCAATACAGAGAAACCCTGTCTTGAAAAACACAAAACAAAGAAGCAAACAAACAACAACAATAACAACAACAACAAAACCCAGGCAATTACCACAAGAAACTAAGATTTTAACTAGTGTGCCAGGAGAGCCTGAGTTACAAAAGGACTCACTACTTATGTTACTCAGACAAAAACGGGAAGTATGTACCAGCCATCTCTAGCTCCTCTTCTCTCTGAAATCTCTTTTGACAATACATTTTAGAGTTGCCACCAACACCCTCTTCCCCACTCCTCTGCCAAGAGAAGTTGGTATTTAGCACAATGCTCACCCAACATTAGGCCCAGCATCTCCCTACTCAAGCCAAGCCCACTATACATATACGCACAGTTATCTGTGCCTGTGGGCCTGCAGGAACAGGACTCAAAGCTTTGGCACCCTGCTCTGGAAGGTATCTCCAGAAAGTCTGGGAATAGCACCGAAGGAGAGACGGCTCTCCCCTTCACAGCTGGTCCATCGTGGATGCTTATTACAGAACACCGCTTCCCTCTCCAAACCTCTGTTCACAAGCTTTGGGGCTGCTTTTGCTCCAGGAAGATTGCATTCTGTCTCGCTGTTTCACTTGCACAAAACTGTTTTCACATGACAGCGCTTCTCACGAGGGTTGTCTGGTCTTCTCTGTTTCAGCATTGGTTGGAGTTTACAAAGTCAGTGGTGAAGCAACTGAGATGTGAGTATTCATAAAGAACCTAAGCCTTACCATTGGGAGGAGGGGAGGGAACCCCCAAGGGTAGTGAGACTTGTTCTCCATATGTAACTTTCTACTGTTCTAGTATATTGTAGCACTACCCACAAAAGGTTTTTTTTAAGTTTAGCCTACATGTATGTTGGTATGTATGTATGTATGTATGTATGTGCACCATATGTGTGTCTAGTACCCTGGAGGCCAGAAAAAGACTTCAGGTCCCCTAGACCTGGAGTTACAAATGATTACAAGCTGCCAAGTGGGTACTGGGAATTGAACTTGGGTCTTCAGCTAGAGCTCCCACCGCTGAGCCTTCTGTCTAGCCCCACACAGGGTTGTTTGTTTTTCTTATGGTTCAGGGGAGAGCCCCGGGGAGAACTGTATGGTAGGAGGGGAACCCAGTCGTCTCCTTGAGAGGGTCTCTCCTAACAGGCGCCTTTTCCTGCAGCCCAGCCTCCGTTCACCATGTGCTTCCGTGTGAAGTTCTACCCTGCAGACCCTGCTGCCCTGAAAGAAGAAATAACCAGGTAAGGCTGGCATGTGGCTCCCAGCCACCACGCCTGTGGGGGAGGGTGGGAGCCTTGGATTTGGAGTGCCCCGCTCTCTTTGGAGGAATGCTTCCCAGACAGAGCCTGTACTGTGTGTCCTCGCCTCCCCACCCTCTTTGCGCCCCGCCTCTGGAGGTGGAGTGGCAGGAACGTCCCTCTTTGAGTCTCTAATTGCTTACTCTACAAGGGATCTAGAGTAACTAACTGCTCAAGGGCACTTTTTTCTCTTGCCTATAACATGGCTCTGTTGATGGTTTTGGAGACAGCTATGCTGATGCTTGATTTCAGGCTTAGAAACAGACTCCAGTGGCCCAAAGGATATACTTGGGAAATACTGAGGTGCGACATGGAAAGGCAGGGTGGAAAACATTGAAATTCTAGATCCAAACCAGTAGATCCTAGCATGCTGTTTGAGCAGGTGCCTCCAGCTCTCTTCATTGTTGGAATCATGTTCTGGGGCAGGCATGCTATGAGCCATGTCTCTTCCACTGGACAAAGAGAACAAGCCTCTAGCCCACAGCCAATCTGCAAGAGGATTGGTGAATAGGAACTTCCCAGCTCCTCCGGGTTTTGTTCATCTAAACCAGACTCATCCTAAGCCCTGCCTCTGAGATTCAGAACTTCTGTGTTGCTGGGGTCCCTTTTTGTCACCAGCAAAACCCTGATGTTGACCTGTGGCAGGTGAGACCATTGAGGAAGACATTGGCACTAACAACTCTAATTCCCTCCCCACTGCCTTGGAGAAATCAAAGTCAGAAAAGAGGCGACTGCCATCATATAGACAACTTATCCCATACAGCCTTGAGATCTGGTTTGGATCCTGAATTGCTTTTTAAAATCCCAAGAAATAGAAGAGGGAATGCAGAATCCTTTCATTACTATGGAAGAGCATGCCGCTGGCTTTATAGCTCATGAAAGGGATGGGGATTCTCTCAGAAGGGAAATCGGGAAAGGGAGAGGGAATGAGAAACAGGAAGTAGTGCAGAGGCAACAGGAAGTAGTGCAGAGGCAACAAGGAAGGCATTAGGCAGGGCACGTGAGCTTCACATGGACCCCAGTGTGGGTTGAGGAGAATCTTCTGGATGCCAGACCAGGAAGGTTTCCTCCTGCACATGCACAGAGCTGTGTGCACCCGCCAGCTATAAAGCACAGAGGACAGCAGTGTGAATGTAAGAATTCGGGTTCTGCTGATCCTCACAGGACTGAAAGTGACTGCCACCATCTTAATGAGCAGCCCCGTAGCTTCAGACAGGTCCATGGGGACAGGACCATATGTTTACCAACTTGAACAGACAGGTGTTTTGTCAGAGCACACTGCCCCTCCTGACCTGAGCCCCCTTCCCCTGCTGGGAGTGCTCGAGCAGACCCTGTCCACTATTGTCCAGGTCAGACCAAACTGAACACCTTGGTTTTTTTGTTTGTTGGTTGCTTTGATTTGGTTTTTCAAGACAGGGTTTCTCTGTATAGCCCAGGTTGTCCTGGAACTTGTTTTGTAGATCAGGCTGGCCTCAAACTCAGAGATCTGCTTGCCTCTGCTTTCTGAGTGCTGGGGATTAAAGGTGTGCGTCACCACCACCTGGCCAAATTTAACACTTTGGTTAAAAACCAGCTCCTACCACCACCAACATTGCCTGTTCTCCATGTCATCAGCCCCACAGTAGGGCTAAAAGGAATTAGTCTAGCAGTTTGGTGACTGCCCTTAGACACAGGGCTTTCTAATGTAGGAGTAGGAGCTCATCATTCAGTTTTTAAAATTTAATTATAACTGTATTATCTTGACATATTGGCCCTCCTCCCAAGAAGTCACATAGACCTGTAGCTCAAGTCCACTTACTTAGCTCAAGTCAAGTTACTTCCTGACTGCAGGGTTTAGCCATACATTATTCAACCTCACTGACCTTTAGACAACTCACAGAATGAGAATAGTAATATCTAAGTCTGCAAATTACTAGGATGGTTAACCAGTTTGCTAGCTTCTTTATGTTTGTTTTAATTATTGAGTGTGTGTGTGTGTGTGCGTGTGCGTGTGTGTGTGTGTGTGTGTGTGTGTATGTCTACACATGAGAATATATACAAGTGTGTGTGTGTGTGTGTGTGTAGGTACATGCCTGCTCACATGCAGAGGCCAGAAGAGGTCCCCAGATCTCTCAGTGTTAAAGTTACAAGTATGCTGGCTTATAATATGGGTGCTGGGATGTAAATGCCAGTTTTCATGATTGTGTAACTTGTACTCTTAACCATCGAGTCATCTCTTCAACCCTTATTTTCTTCTTCCTCCTCTTCCTCCATTTTGTCATCATCATCATAGTTATCTCCTACTTAATCTTTGTTTTTAAAAAGTGGGCTGAAGAGATAGCTCAGCGGTTAAGAGTATTGACTGCTCTTCCAGGGTACCTGGGTTCAGCTCACAGCTGTCTGTCACTTCAGGATCCAGCACCCTCACACAGACAGACATACAAGCAAAACACCAATAAAGTAAAATTAAAAACAAAAAAAATTCAGGCCAGGTGTTGTAGCTCATGCCTCTAATCCCAGCATTTGGGAGATGGAAACAGAAGGACCAGGAGTCATCCTGTCTACATAGAAAAATTGAGGCTGGGGCCAAAGAGATAGTGCAAAGGTTAAGAACAGGCATCGCTCTTGCAGAGACCTGCATTTGGTTCCCAGCATCCACGTCAGGTGGCTCACGACCATCTACAACTCTAGCTCCAGGAGATCTGATGCTGTCTATCTTCCTTGGGTATCAAGTACACATCTGGTACAAAGGCACATACATAGACAAAACACCTGTACACATAAACGCTTTTTAAATAAAAGGAAAAAAAAAAAAGCCAGGTAGTGGTGGTGCACGCCTTTAATCCCAGCACTTGGGAGGCAGAGTCAAGCAGATCTCTGTGAGTTCAAGGCCAGTCTGGTCTATAAAGCTAGTTCCAAAACAGCGTGCTATTACCAAAAAAAAAAAAAAAAAAAAAAAAGAGTCCAGTTAGGCTTACATAAGACTGTGTCTTCAGTGGGGCCACAGGGGAGTTGGCTATGGGTGGATATATATATTGTATAAATGTATGAAGCTATTTAAACTTTTATTTTCAAAAAAGACTCCTGGATCACAAAACCAAATAATTAAACATATAAAATAAGCATTTATTATCACAGATTCTGTGGATCATAAGTCCAAACAAGGCTCTGTTTGGGTTTAGGTTTTTTTTTTTTTTTTTTTTTTTTAAAGAGTGTCACTATGTAGCCTAAGCTGGCCTTGAACTCAGGATTCTGTACCTCCACCTCACTAGTGCTGGGATTACAGCCTGTGTCACCATGCCCGGTGGAGGGTCTTATACTTCTTCCTACACTCCCAGCCCCCAGGGAGCCTTGAACTGAATGAAGGCTTAGTGTGTTCCCTGCCAAATTGATTACATGGTCCATGTCAACATGGCGCTGGGATCATGGCCAGGCCTCTTACCAAGTCAGCAGACTTCAAGGATAGAGACAAATGTACCAGCTCCTCCATCATCTGCATGTGTCCTCCCGAACCACCTCAGACAATTTCCCCTCACCTTTAGCTTGCCTGCCTTCTTTCCCCAGAGTACAATTTCCTCACATTGTTGGCAGTATGAACTGTGGGGTGCCTGGCCTGATTGGCGGTTTTTGTCCCTCCCTGGGACATTCTGTGAAACCGTGGAATTAGCTCTGTGTTTCCCACTCACATCCCTACTGCTCTTGAGAGAGTGGGTACCCGCCCCAGCCTCACTCAGTACCCATAATCCATTGCTGGCTTTGAGCCCTTCATCTCATTATCCCACCTTGCTGCCAAACTAATTTAGCTGTCAGTGTGTCATTTGTCACTGGCAATCTTGATCCTAAATTTCACTGCCATCTCAGCCCTTCCTACTGAGCTATACTGAGGAGGGGATGAGCTGGAGAGTAAAGAACTCTGCTTCGGGGGCTGGAGAAGATGGCTTGGTGGTAAAGAGCATTGACTGCTGTTCCTGGGTTCAATTCCCAGCACCCAATGGTGGCTCACAGCCATCTGTAACTCCAGTCCTAGAGGACCTAACACCCTCATCTGTGGGCACTGCGCATATATGGCGCAGACAAAACACCATACACTTACAGATAAATACTAAATAGAGAAACTGAGTATCAGTTTAAAACAAAACAAAAAAAAAAACTGTTCATCTAATCCATCAGGTCCTTCCCACAGGACAAATTTAGTTCCCAAATCCTAATTAACTTCCTTTGTCTCTTTTATCTTTAAATAATAAATAGATTTATTTTGTCTGGACTGGTGATGGGACCAAGAAAATGGAGAGTTAGGTACCAGATTTAGCTTTAACGGGGACTGCTGGTGGGTGAATTCTCTGAGAGATCAAGCACCAGAAGGAAACCCACACAGCCACACCCCGCCAGGCTACAGAGGGCCTGGCACATGGTAGGGGTTGAAGGAATTCAGTAGAGTGAATGAATGTGTGTTTCAACACATGGAGTCCCTAGTCATTTATTCTTTCAGTGGAGATTACCCGAGCCTCCGTCAGGCTAAAGTGGATTGCCAAACCTCTCTGGAAGGGACAGAAATAAGTGTTTTGGGCTTTTGGAACCATATGGTCTCTGTCACAACTACTCGGTTCTGTCAGTGCCATTCGGAAGCAGCCATAGATGATGCATGAATGAGCGAGCAAGGCCATGTTCCAGCAAAACTGGATTCCATTAGGAAGTGCAGCAGTGGGCCCTATGTGCCAGGCCCTGGCTGAGACACCGGGAGACCTGGATGCAAATCTCAGGGTATTTTTAGCTATGAGACAGGGCTAGCAGCAGCACCCCACCCCTCCGCACTTGGTTTCCTCATACGTGAGAGCGGGACAGAAATGGCAGTTACTCTGGCGTTACGGGAGGCTTGAATGTGTGCAGCAGTAGAGTGTGGGGCACAGTGCACTCAGAAAGGGGGAGTTGCTGGCATTAGTGTTCTGTCTCACGCTGTCATCTGTGTCCCCTTCCTTTATATGTAACTGTGAGGGGAGTGACTCGTGCAGTTTCCCAGGTTACTGTGAAGGACAGAAAGAGATAAGCAAAGCTTTAAAAATAAAACAAACAAAAAAGCAAGGGCCATTCTGATGGCTCAGTGGGTAACCATGCTTGCTGAGCAACCCTGAAGACCTGAATCCCTGCCATCTGAAACCCCAGGCTCAGCACTCCCCACATGAGGTGGGGAACACGACTGAATAGAAGTGTACCTAAACAGCACAGCATCAGAAGAGAGGCCTGCCTCAAAAACAAACCCACAGGTCCCAGTTCAGTCCCTGGCACCACATAGTGGAAGGAGGAGAGCAACTCTCACAAGCTGTCCTCTGACCTCAACACACAAATACACATAAATAAAAGAGTAAAATGTCTGTTTTTAAAAAATCAGTGCTGTGGAGCCAGGCTATAGTGGTACAGGCCTTTAATCCCAGTACTCAGGAAACAGAGGCAGGTGGATCACTATGAGCTTGTGGCCAGTCTGGGCCACAGAGAAAATTCCAGGACACCTGAGGCTACCCAGAGAAACTTTGCCCCCCCCCCCACAAAAAATAAAATAAAATAAAAAGTAGTGTGTATATGGCCACAGAGACCAGAAGTGAGCATTGAATCCTCTGAAGTTCCAGTCAGTAAATAACAGCCTTGTGGGAACTGAACTCAGGTCCTCTGGAAGAGCAACAAGCCTTCTTAACCACTGAGCCATCTGTCGTGTGTGTGCGTGCACAAGTGCATGTATGTTTAGGGCAGTTCTCTCTCTGATAGCTAAATGAATTACCACAAGGTAGAAAAGCACTGGGCCCAGAATCAGAGGCCTGAGTTGTGACTGATGTGTAATACTAGACAAGTCATGCCACATCTCTGGATATCTGCCTCCTCAGCTGTGAGCTAAGGGAATTCTGTTGCTTAACAACAGCACCTGGCTGTGCTGGGCAGGCCTGGCAGGCTGATCCCTCATCTGGCAACACAATTGCTTTGATGACAGAGCTTCACAGGACAAGATAACCCTAGAGGCCTTGTGCGGTGAGAGTGTACCAGAGTCATGTTGTGGGGATGGGTCTAACGATGCTGTGGTCACATGGGGTACAGTTTCAGCACCAAGTCAACCCAAAACGTTTTGGACATCACTGTGGCAGAATCAGGGGATCTCATGAAGATGTTGGAGAGTCATTTAGTGAGACCAATACTTCCCGCTCTCTAGTGACTCATTTTCCTTAGGGTATAACTTGCCCCTTCCCCATTCACCATGGAACTGCTTGAGAGTTTCTGTAGCCCTCCCCTTGAGCTCCCTATAGCTGTCCTATAACCAGAAGTCCAAAGGACTGCCAGCCTCAGAGAGCTGCGTACATTCCACCACACCCTGGACATCTGCCATGGGCCCATCCAGAGCAACGCCTTGCAGAGCAGCAGTCTTCTCTATGAGGAAGGCTTGCAGCTTGCATAGAGCAAGAATCAGAAACTCCAGAGAAACCACAGGAGCACCTCTGACTTGCTGCCCTAGTGGGGGATGTTCCTTGGTCTGCAGCAGAGAATCGCCATCCAGATCTGTGGGTACTGTTTGAAACCTCTCCTTTCGTCCAGGGCAGCCTGTCCCAGATTTTCGGTCATAGATGAGAGAGCATCAAGGAAGGAATGATATGTGAGTCTGAGCCCAGGAAGTGAGCAATGAGTTGGGGGCAAAGGTTGTAGCTGCACCCTGCCAAAACCTGTGGAAGGTGGGAGTTGGAACAGTGAGAGGCAGGGAAGTGCTCGCTCGCCTCTCCCACACACCGTGTGGCATTTCACTGTGGGAAGCAGAGTGCAGACAAGCTGGATTTGATAGATCCATCTTAATTATTCACTCTGCACGACGACGCCAGCTTTCCTTGGCAAATGTCAGGGCCAAGTGGGTTTGGCCGAGGAGAGAGGGGCTCTTACAAATGCCCAGGCGGAAGTCCTCACCTTCCCTTTTGGTTTGAGGGAGGTGCCACGTATTGATGTGGTCACAGGGATACTTTGGCATTTCTTAAGACTCTGCCTCTTATATGCAAATCATATGAGAAGCTTGGTAAAAGGCGCAGGCTCCAAATAATGCCAATATTGCTGGTGTGGGGGCTATACTTGGAGTAGTAAGACTCCAGTAGAGGTTAGAAAGCTCCTTAACTGATGCTCCTCCACTCTCTAAGCCCAGAACTCACTCGCTACTTCTTCCAAAAGTTGCACTGTCGATGGCTTTCTGTCTGGGCATTTTTACATAATTAACTGGACCTGTAATTCAGACTGAATGCAAAACAGAGGAGACCAGTTATCCAAGGAGGCCCTAAATTCTGCTGGTGGAAATTAGTGGAACCGAAGGGACTTATGCTATAGTTCCATTACTCCTTGCTTCCCCCAGGGATACTGTAGTCATATATGGCTGTCTAACAAAGCAGGGGCGATCCAACTGCTTCAGAAACTACAGAACAGTTGCAGTCTCAGAGCACAGTATAATACAGTATTAAAGAGCAAGAGCTGACCCCAAGCACCTACTTTTCTGCTTCTACATGAATGCCCCTTCTCACGTTTGTTTAATACTTGGGAACATGCACACACACACACACACACACACACATGCACACACATGCACACACACACACGCACACACACCCACACACACACACACACGAATGCAGGAATCTGCAGTATCCCGAAGAGAGTGTCAACTAGAGTTACCAGTGGGTTGTGTGAGCCATCCATCATGGGCACTGGGAACCAAACTCAGGTCCTCCTCATGAGCAGTATATGCTCTTAACCCAAGTCATCTCTCCAGCCCCTTGCTTATCCATCCCTTTTTATTTGGGTTTGAAGAGATCTGATTGACCTCTGCCAATAATCTACAGGGGGACAGATTCTAATGCCATGCTTGGTGGACTCTTCCCTTGACATATTCCTTCACCCACCATTCCACTCTAAGGCCAAGGCAGGCTCTATTTCCCCACCCCTGATGGCACAGTTTTTCTCGATTGTATCAGACTGGCAGGGGCTGGTTCCCTCCAGATCCCAGCACTTTGGTGGCAGGAGGGGGGGAGGGTAAGAGTCGGATGGGGCAGGTGCTCTTACCGGGGAATGATATGTCTGTGTTGAGCTATAGAGGAAACTGATACGTTGTTTTGATCTGAACCTTAAACAATTAATAGTTCAGAGCACAGCACCTGAGAGCCTGCAAGGAAATGGAAAATGTATTTGTTTTGTGGTATGAAAAAAATTTTAATGTAGGAAAAATGCCCTGACAAAGATTTTGATAGGTTTATATTAAATATTTATGCCTTTAAAGCAATCAAAGCAATCTTTTCTAGTTCATTCTCTGTTTTCTCTGCAGGTACTTAGTCTTCCTGCAGATCAAAAGGGATCTCTACCATGGCCGTCTCCTCTGTAAAACATCGGATGCCGCCTTGTTAGCAGCCTATATCCTTCAAGGTAATGATTTTGGACAGGATAAATTTGCTTTTCACGCTAAGTCCTGATTACATTATTCCATTTACCACAGATGACAACTTCTTAGATCAAAACAGCTTCTAACTTGAAGCAAGTTAAAGGATTTTGCCTGGGTTGTCTAGAGCCAAAAAGCCCAGAGCCCTCCTGCTCCCAGGGTCTCTCTGCTAGCCCCCTTGAGTCACTTCGACCTCCGGAGACTTGTCCTGTACCTTGCATGCTAATGTTTCTGTGAGGCTGAAGAGTACAGAGTCTCTTGTACCCACCCTCTCATGTAAATCGCCAAGGTATGAGCATGATGGGACTCCGGTGTCTACTTTGTAGACCTCTCAGCTGGGAGTTGCACACATTCTCAAGTGAGAAGCCATTTCCTGAGAAAAAGTTGAGCTTCTTGCTGTTGATTCCCAGACTGGCTGTGGGCATCTGTCACCAGATGTGGGGACCTGCCATGCCCTTTTCTTGTGAAATGCTGAGGACATTCAAGTGCCACTCCTTGGAATTTTCTTAGTCCTTCAGCCTGAAATTGTCATTAACAACAGGATCATTCGAACCTAAAACCATAAAGTTTCCATTAAACACACAAACCCTTGATTGTGACTAGGGAACTCTCAGAAGCAACTTAAGGAGGATCTGCACAGAGCTCACTGGCAGGAGAAATACCAGACCCGTGGTAGGAGGAGGAAAGTGAGCCCTGGGGGCTCTGACTTTGAAAGTACCATCAGTACCAGCTGACGGGAAGTGTAGCAGGTGCCTGTGTGTCCAGAGGCACAGAGAGAGCCCCTTTCTTTTTTAAAGAGGACATTGGCCCACTCTGCTCGCAATGTTAAACTCTAGTCTTTCCCTCAGGTCCACCCTGATAATTATATCGAGTTTTTTTTTTTTTTTTTTTTTTTTTTTTTCCAAAAAGTATTTGGTCACCAACACCAATATTTTCCCCTTGAAGCTTTTCAGATAAAATCAAAGTAAATGATTTCCAGGTTCAAGGTCACTCATACTTCAAGGAACAAGATCTCTTGTTAAATGACAAAAAACTTTGCATGGAATTGGGAGTTTGGTTAGGCTTTTGTTTATTTGTTTTAGACATATGGTCTCACTAAGGCTGGTATTGAACTCTTGGGCTCAAGTGAGCCTTCTGTCTCAGACTCCCCGATACTTGAGGCTACAGACATCTACCATCACCACACTCAGCCCTGAGTAACTTGGAAGGAGCCATAATTGGCAATAGGACACAAGAAGCCCAGAGCACTGAGTTTAGCAGTGACACGGACCTTGCTTTCCTCCCAGTATTCACTCTGCCTCAACTGAAGAGCCTGTGGCTCTCCAAGAGAAGCTGCTGGAAGCTCCTCTTTCCTCTGTCGGGATACCCTTTAGTGGGGTACCACATGTGAAGGAAGCTGGCCTCTGAGTGGGACACAGAGGAAAGACAGTGTCCCTAAGAGCTCCCCCGAGACCCCACAGCCTTAGACGTGGACGACTTTGTAGGCACTGGGCATGGCACTGGGCACAGCACTGGAAAGCCAGCCTGAGAATCTGGTGTTCCTGCCCTTGGTCACTGTGTTATATAGCCGTGTTCCCAGCGGCAGGCCTACCTGGTGAGCCCATCACGAACACAATGTATTCATCTGGTTCCGTGTGTGAGTGCTGAGTCCTGAACTGGGATCAAGACTCAGTCAGCAACTTCTCTTGTCCCTACTAAAGTCTTTGAGATGGGATTAGGTATCTAACCTGGGGCACAGGAGGTCCTGTCTTCCTGACTAAGCTCGCTGTTTGCGGCTACCACACAGAGCATGACTCCCAAGCCTTCCATGTGGCTGAACGACCGAGGACCATAGAAGAGGCTTCTGCTGTTTCATTGCAAATTTACTTGTAAACTCAGAGTGCAGGGCCAGCCCTACTGTCTCCGTTTTGACTTGAATATCAACCCACTGTGTACAGCAGAGGAAAGAAGGCACACAGCCACTCCCTGTGGGCCTGCCCTCTTGCCAGCCAGGGGCCAAGCTCAGGGTCTGCTTCCTTCCTTGGCCTCCGAGCCATGTGTTGATCTTGTTGTTGTTGTTGTTGGCTTTTTTTTTTTTTTTTTCCCTGCCTTTGAAAAGCGGAGATTGGGGATTATGACCCAGGAAAGCACCCTGAAGGCTACAGCTCCAAGTTCCAATTCTTCCCGAAACATTCAGAGAAACTGGAAAAGAAAATTGCCGAGATTCACAAGACTGAACTCAGGTGGGTGACACTGACTTGGGGCCCAGGCCACTGAGCACACAGCTCCTCAGTGGCCGCATCCTCTGCTCCCACAGAGTAATGCTCCCAGTACTGGTGACCCTGGGATGTCCCCTCTCCAGAGATCTGTTGACAGCACAGCCTCCTCTCTGTGAGGCCAAACTCTTCACCAAGAGCAGTCTACAGCCATAGCTTTCTAAGGGAGCCCTGTCTTGTCTGATCTCGGAAGCCGAGCAGCTAAGCCGGGCGGGAGATGAACGGCACAGGGCCCAGCCAACATACAGCCAGTGCTGTGGTTTAGATTGCAGCTTCAGCACGCTGTGGGACACGGGTACCTGGGATGCAGCAGCTGAGGATGCCCACGGAGCCCTGCATTCCTCAGCTTGGTTTAGCCTTCCCAGTCCACCCACGAGTGACTTTAAAGAGCGATGGTAGAGTGGGTTCTAACCCATGTATCATGCTAGAACACAGGTTTCTCAGACAGTGAACCAAAGGTATGTGTGCTAGAATGCTGTAAACGAACCAGAAGCCGGGTCACCGTTTTAATATGTTACAATTTCATTCAACTTTTAGGACTTTGGATTTATTAAAACAACTAAGCAATAATCCCCCCCCAAAAGACATACAGCAGGTAGATTAAATTTAAACTACATTTAAAATAAGGAATTTTGTTTATTTTTATTTCTGTTCATTTTGAGTATATTATAGATAAGACCACGGGTTTCCTTGTGGATTTTGTCCATTTTTTAAGACCCTTTAAAAAGAAGCAAAGAGAAGAAAGCCACAAATTGTAGTCACAACATGAATCGTTCATGGGAGGGAATAAACCAAAGAGATGTCTGTAAGAGAATTGGAAAGTGGGCAGTAAATAGCATGGGATTATATTCATTACAAATATTTGATTTCCTGCTCTGAGGAAGGACTGTGCTGGAGTGGGAGTGGGGGGCTGTTAGTAATACTGGACTTAAACCAGAGCCTGCCACACTGTGACCTTGCCCCCCAAACCTTCTTCTTCATCAAAGCTTCTATGAGTGAGCATAACCCAAAGTCAGCAATGACTGGTGTGACTGGCAGGCTCCTCTCAGAGGGGCAGCCTTGGGTTTTTCCAGTGGTCGGCTCTGTCACTGTTGGGGAAATGGTGCCCCCTTGTGGTTAGAAATGAGGATCACAGACGCTTGTGAGCTCCCACTCAGAGATCACTGAGGATAAGATGTCAGAGGAGTGGGGACATTTCTACACAAAGGTAGTTCAAAGCAAGAGATTCCTCAAGAAATGATAGCTTCTGTTGAGGTTCCTGGAGATCTGAGCAAACTCCCGAGGTTAATGGATTCCAAGGGGCGGATTCCTTTACATGGAATGAAGATGCTCCTGGAAGGCATTTTCCAAATTTCTCCTTGCATCTAGGGTTTGTTGGTAAATGTGGGGGTCCGCCTTCACCTTCATACCTACAGACCCGGGTTCTGCCTGGTACTGTAGTATAAAGATGCCCGAGTTTTCTTCATTTCTGCAAATTTGATAGTTCCTTTGGGCTCGGGCTCTGGACTTATTTCTTGATCTACTTTCCAGAAGTAGCACAGAGGCTGGCGCATTACAGCACTGGGGGGACAGTGGCCTCTTCGGGGGGACACCCGAGGGAGCCTGGCCTACTTCTCTCTTGGGTGGGCTTACTTCTGCTCTGCCATATGACTTTAGGCAAATGGTAAATTTAGTCATGCACAACTTTTGTCCCTGCCCGCCAGCATCAGAGCTGCTGACACCACACGCCGCCCTCCTCACCTCACACTTGGTCTGCCATTCCAGGATCCTGCACACAGAAGAGCCCAGAGCCAGTGCCACCAAGGTGCTTTCATCCACACATTGCAGGAGGCAGGCAGGCAGGAGAGTCGTGCCAAGGCCTCTTCAGAAGGCCAGAGCCAGCTTGTTTGCATTTGCAGTACCACCCTGTGCACAGAGAGCCGCACTGAGCAGGGTGTGGAAGTAGGGCGGCATCCCCTACTGCAAACATTCTCAACCTTGGGGTCGCAACCCCTAGTGGGGTCAAACAGCCCTTTCACACAGGTCGCATAATAGATATCTACATTACAATTCATAACGGTAGCAGTTACAGTTGTGAAGTAGCAATGAAAATAATTTTCTGGAGGGGGGGTTCACCACAACATGAGGAACTGAATTAAGAGTTGCAGGGCTAGGAAGGTTGAGAACCACTGTTCTCCCGGCCCCACATTCCTGTGCTCTCTTTTGGCCAAGAGAAAGGGTTCAGTGGTAGGGGCAGGGTTTATTGAACCCTTTGTGTGTCGGTCCATGTCAGCTCACAGACAAAGCTATGGCCAGTAGCTGTCTTGTTGAAAATCACAGCCTCAGATGGGCATAGTGGCACATACCTTTAATCCCAGCACTTGAGAGGCAGAGGCATGTGAATCTCTGAGTTTGAGGCCAGCCTGGGACATCGTGAGACCCTGTCTCAAAAAATATTTTTTTCCAGTAACATCTGGCCAGTGAGATGGTCCAGTACTTGGGGCCTTCCATCTCCAAAGCCCACATGATGAAGGGAGAGAACCAGTTCTGGCCAGTCATCACCCTGAGCTCACACACAGTGAGATGAGAAACTAACCTCACAGCAGCCAGAGCTGCTCGACCTGTGTTTTCTTTTGGGCAATGATGGTTGCTTGCTTATTTGTTTTGACTTTTGGGGTTTTTTGTTTTTTTGTTTTGAGGCAGGATCTCATGTAGTCTAGGCTAGCCTTAAACTTTCTAGGCACTTAAGGCTGGCCTTAAACTCTGACCCCCCACACACATACTTCTCTACCTCCCAAGTGCTGAGGTTACAGATTCCACACTCTACCACTTCTGGCTTCGTATGTATTTTAGGAAGTCTGTAACCTCAGATCCATACCTGCTAAACCAGGTTCTTGTCTCTAAGCCCACTTGACTCATTATGTGGCCTGTTTCACATGAGTTTTGTTTTGTTTTGAATTCTTTATTTTTTATTTGTGCATATGGATGTTGTGCCTGCATGTGTGTCTATGAACCATGTGTGTGCCGGTCACTCTTGAGATCAGAAGAGGGTATTAGAGCCCCTGGGAATAGTTACTGAAGGATATGAGCAACCACATGGGTACTGGGGAGCAAACCCAGGTCCTCTGGAAAAGCAACTATGTTCTCACCCACTGAATCATCCCTCCAGACCTTAGGCTTGAAACTCTAAGAGTTTGTTCTACAGCCAAGTAGGAGAACACTCTGGAAAAAAATGGAAGTGTGTAGCCTTTTTTTTTTTTTTCCTTTCTTTTTTATGCCTCATTTCCATGATAGTAGCAAACCGTCCCCCCACCCAGGCTAAGGCTCAAAGAGATGTCAGAGCCTCCCTTGGGGTCCAGTGAAAATACTGACAATGTGTGCAGAAAATGCCCGCCATAGCTTTCTTCCCCCAGACATTGGCAGCCTGAAGTTAGCTCTCCTACAGGGGTTGCCCCTAGCAAATAGGCTAAGCCTGGTCTCTTGATTCAGCTGTCTGTAATAACCCCATGTAATATCAACTGTATGTAGTAAGCAGGCTGAGCTTCCAAGGCACTGCAGCTACTCCACCAGAGAGCCCAGTGTGCCTGCTTCTTACCAGGAAATTCATACCCGGGGAACTTGTGGGATGGGAGCCCTGAGACCATCTCCTTTTCATTTCAGTGGCCAAACACCAGCAACATCAGAGCTGAATTTCTTAAGAAAGGCACAGACATTGGAGACCTATGGAGTAGACCCTCACCCATGCAAGGTAAGACACCCTCCCGGGGGGGGGGGGAACTCACTTGCTGTGCCTCTCCCCCCACAGCGAGGCATGGGATGCTTGTACCCACAAGCCCTTCAGTGTACAGGAGTGACTGAGGAAACCTCTGGATTCCACACTGCCACATCACTGTCAGAGGGTCCCAGGCAAAGGCAATCTAAATAGCAAATCCAAACCCTGCTGGGGGTAATTTGGTGGAAATGAATTGAGGGGACATGTGGAGAGCTCCCCATAGGCAGCAATCAGCAATCACTCAGCAACTGTCCACCCTTTACTGACCCATAATCTAGTTTCTTTCCAAGAGTGGGTTTTATTGACTATAGTGGCACGAGTCACCGTGTGGGACCGCAATGGAACCCCATTTGATCCCATTATGTACCTGGGAGGGTGAAGCAGGAACGCACCAAGGACACTGAGCCTGGGAAACCTCTGTAATTACTCACCTGCTCCTAGCATTTCAGAGATGAGTTTGGTGAGCCCTCCCGAGAGCGAGACCCACAGCAGTTCCCAGCTCCAGCCACTTCCACCACAGCTCATGTCCCTGTTGCTTTGACATGCTGGTCACTGCCTCTGTTTATCTTGTCTGTGTAACCATTTCCTCCTGTAGAGGCTGCAGTGTCAACAGCCCTAAAACTGAGAGCAAGATTAGCGTCTTCTTCCTCATAGGTGAACAATGCTGTCTTCCTCATAGGTGAAGGACACTGTAACAAGAGTTGACTGTTCCTTTCCTGGGGCTACTGTAACAGTGTTCCAAGCTGGGTGGCTTAAATGATACAGAGTGTTGCCTCTGTTCAGGAGGCGGAAGGGTGACCCCATGGTGCTGACGGGGTTGGTTCTTTCTGAGGGTCCTAAGAGAGGGATCTGTTGCAGCCTGTCTCAGCTTGCAGTCCGTCTCAGCTTGCAGTCCGTCTCAGCTTGATGGCCATCCTCCTTCATCCTGGGTCTTCCCATCCACTCCCCTCTGCCATGTCTGTGTCTAAATCTCCCCCATTGTATAAGGACACCAGTTAAACTAGAGTTGGGCCCAATCTCACAGCCTCAGCTTAATTTTAATTTCTATAAAGACCCTATCTCTGGAGAAGATCCTGCTCCCAGTACTTGGAACTAAGACTTTAATATCTGAAATTGTAGGGAAGGGATACAATTTAATGTATAACAAACAAAGAAAACTAAGGGGCAGGGGGCCAAAGCCCTGGTGAGATGATTTCATTTTGCCTATGAAGTAATAAAATCCTAGAGGACATTCTGGAACTCAAACCTCTTCTCTCCACCTGATTTCCTGTCCACTGTGTAACTCACTGCCAGACAGCCCCATGTTCTCAGTAATCATGGAGCATATCCACACACTTATACAGACTTTATAGGTGATATAAGAATTAGTGCCAGGCGGTGGTGGTGCACACCTTTAATCCTAGCACTTGGGAGGCAGAGGCAGGTCGATCTCTGTGAGTTCGAGGCCAGCCTGATCTATAGAAAGAGTTCCAGGACAGCCTCTAAAGCCACACAGAGAAACCCTGTCTTAGGGAGGAAAAAAAAAAAAAAAATCAGCAAGGCTTCTTAAATGTGTCCTGTGAGTAACAAAAGTGGTTTAGGTTGCTCATGAGGGTTCTTACTGGTAGGATATGCTGAAGATGCAGAGGCAGGAGGGTTGGTAGTTTGAGACCAGTCTGGGTCTCAAACATATTTAGCCAAGCTTGTGGCTCATGCCTTTAATCCCAGCACTCAGAAGGAAGAAGCAGATGAGTCTCTTTGAGTTTGAAGCCAGTCAGGGCTACACTTCAGACCCTGTCTGAAGAAAAAAAAAATCATTTATCAATTCTGTCAACTGCTTAGACACGCTAGCAAGCAGCATGGGACCTCATAGGAGAGCAGTGTTTGGGGACACCTGGCTCTAAGCACCAGTCCTCAACTATTGGGGCCTTGCTAGATTCTGATCCCCGTTCTTCAAATCTATGCGTAAGAAAGCAATAGGTGTGCAAGAACTTATCCCTGAGCTGGGAAGACATTCTAAGACCTCAAACAAAACAAAAACAGCTGTTGCAGAAGTGCAGACACATACACACACATACACACACAGAGAGAGAGTGGGGGGAGCTGCCTAAAGACAGGTGTGGTCATTAGGTGCCAGATCACCTCAGTGTTAGACTCCAGTCCCCTAGAGGTCCATGTGAGAGGGTTAGGGTAAAAGTCACAGCACACAGAGGTAGGCAGGCAGTGTCTGTCCCTGAATATGACAGCTGGCATAACATGGGTAGGATTTTTGTTATTGCCCACGGAAGCTATGGTCTGAAAGCCGTGACCATGACAGCCAAACTGCTGTCCAGCCTAAATCCATGTGCACTCCAGGACCTCGGACTCCTGACTCAGCCTTGACTTTGACAAGTTTGTCTATCATGGGCACCCAGAGTCTGAAGAGGCTACAAGAAGGAACCAGCTGTGTTCTGTGTGTAGCCCTCCTCCTAGAACTGAGGGAGGAGAGACTAAGCATAGTCCGCTTCTCATTTAGAGCTACTGGGACCTTTCATGTTATTTTTCACCAACTCCTGCTCTGTTTTGTAGATAAGAAAGTTGATGCAGCCAGGCAGTGGTGGCACACAACTTTAATCCCAGAACTCAGGAGACAGAGGCAGGCAGATCTCTGAGTTCAAGGCCAAGCCTGGTCTACAGAGAGAGCTCCAGGACAGCCAGGGCTATTACACAGAGAAACCCTGTCTCAAAACAGAAAATAAGAAGAAGTTGGTGTACTGTAAAGTCAGAGTTCACAAGGACCTGGGAGGCAGAGCAAAAGCTTGAACCGAGATCATATCCATTGCAGCTATATACTAAGAGATGCCTGAGAGACTTGCTCTGCAGAAAAGGGAAGGTCAGCTGCCTCACTGGACTTTTATCCCACATTCCCAGACCTGGGCCTCCTGCTCATCTGGGCCATTTCAGGGCCCCGCTGCAAACTCCACATGTGACCCTCAGATCCTCTTATTAGGCCTTGGTCATGTTTCCTCTGAGGCAGAGAGCAGTCCAGGAGTCTTCATCTTATCATTAAATAGCCTCACTTGAGTGATGTGCTACCAGCACTCCCCTTAATGTTGCTACAAGGAGTGCTGGAAGAAGCTGGCACACTCAGGGTAATAAATACTGATGATTTCTATTAACAGGGAGGCAATTACTGGGCCCAGGGAATCTGGGGCATGCAGCCCCAGGGAGGACAGAAGAGGAATCGTTTTGATAATTAAATGAGAGCAGAATGCTCCGGCTCAGCTCTCTTCTCCTGGACTGATTAAGAAGCTAACGTTGGTCCTGTGCATGCTGATGGTTTCCTTCTGCCAGAGTATCCTTGTCTGGTCCTAGACCAGAAGGGACTCCTACAGACCCTGGCTGGGGAGCCAGAGCACCCAAGCTCCAAACACCCAGGTCCTGGCAGGAGCCCCATCATCAAGTGGGGGATTCTGGTTCTCTCACCTTGAAAGCTTCCCACCCTGGAAGAGGTAATTAGCCTGACTAGCACTTAAGACAATGGATCCTCTGCAGGGCCAGAGTGCCTGGCCTCAGGGAAAAAGAATTTGCCTTTAAGCTGCCTCATGGAGTCAGGTTTGCAAGTGTGAGCATCTGGGGCCAGGTATAAACGGTTTTCCAAATCTTTTGGACTAATGTGTGACCATCCTTTCCTCGGGACTGGGGTGATCCAGTGACTGTAATCACAGTGTCACTTAACCCATGGGCATAGCGAGTGGCTTTTAGTAGAAGACACAGCCTGGTTCCTTCTGCAGTCACATGCCTGTCACCAGTGCTTGGTGACATGAGTACCAGGCATGGCACACAAACATGGTTCCTGCCAGGAGGCAGCAGGTCTAATTTGGCTAACTTGGTATAAACATGGGCCAAGGCAAGTGGCATTTGTGGGGGGAATGCCTGAGGGAGGCAGCCAACCTCAGATGGAGGGTGGGCATTGGGAAGCTCTCTGTCCCTGTGCAGGGTGGACAAGAGCTGCAAGTGTAGAGACATTGTGTTTTTACCGGTATAGGATAGGCTACTGGAAGGCTTGGCAGATGCAGTGTAAGACAGTGACATGAGTCAGAGGGGGCATCAGGCTTTGGTGGGGAAGCTCATGCTTACAGGGATAGGCAAGGGTGCCTCATAAAGCCTTCTGAGACACAGGAAAAGACCTAGAAGGAAGAGCAGCTAGAGGGATGGAAGTCAGGCTGGAGAGAATGGAGGGCACGTAACACGGGAGCGGGAGCGGGTGTGTGTGTGTGTGTGTGTGTGTGTGTGTGCGCGCGTGCGCGCGCGTGCGTGCGTGCGAGTGTGGCTATGAGGGCCTCTGCTGCCTCCACCCCTGCTAATGTGTCAGCAATTGACAGGAAGGTGCCGTTGTCCAGACACAGAACTCTGAGGCTCATCTGGCAGATAGCAAGGCTGGAACTCAAGCCATGGTCTTGTGCTCTCAAATGCCCTGCACGCCCCACCATGACCTACTAAAAGTTAGCCTGCTTCTCCTATGAATAGCCTGGGTGTCTGAGTGTGGTTTTTGAGACAAGGTTCTCAAGCAACCTAGACTGATCTGGAACTCACTGTATACCTACAGGTGACCTTGACCCTCTGATCTTCCTGCCTCCACCCCCTAAGTGCTGGGATCAAAGGTTTTTGCCACCACCCTAGAATTAGGACAATGTGTTCCCATCCTTTCTCCTCTGTACCTACATCTCTATGCCCCAGTGAGAAATCTTTGTCTGTTACAGGATGTGTCAGGAAATGCTGCGTTTCTGGCCTTCACTCCTTTCGGGTTTGTTGTTCTTCAAGGAAACAAGAGGGTCCACTTCATTAAGTGGTGAGTGTCTGTCTTCATCTCCAAAACAGGTTCTTTATGCATCACTAACTGGGGAGGGGCTGTGGTACCCATGTCCTTTGTCTGTGATGGGCAGTTATGGTTTGCAGCCGTCTCCAAAGCCTTGAGTTGAGAATGTTAACTGACCAAGGTAATGGTCTCTTCCTAGGCATCCTGTTCTTTCAAAAGCATGTCCCTGAGAGCCAACAGAAAGGGTATTAGGGGTTGACTGCTAGGGAAGCTGGCAACTAAGTCTTTGGGTTCATCACCTGCTGAGGGCCACTGCCAGCACAGTTAAGGTCATTCAGGAACATCTCACTAGGCGGCCCAAAGCCCTCACTTCTCTAACAAGGAAGAGGTTCATAGACAATTACTCTGAAACAAATGTCACCTATGATATGCAACACACTCTCCTCTGTGGGCACTTAGTTTACCCTGGAACAAATGTCACCTATGATATGCAACACACTCTCCTCTATGGGCACTTAGCTTACCCTAGAACAAATGTCACCTGTGATATGCAACACACCCTCCTCTGTGGGCACTTAGTTTACAAGAGTTCAGATGCTAAGTGTCCTGAGCCTCTGAGAGTCACATCCTCACCTTTCCCCTCCTTCTCCTTGGACACATCTGGCATGCAGGAGCCACTGCCTCGGTTGCAGCTACCCACATTGCTTCCCCTGCTTTTTTTATCTGGGCTTGCGTGTTGATTGACATTTGGCTTTCTTAGGACTTACTGGCTGCCCATCCACACACACATCTGACAGTCTGATACTCTCATTGAGAGCTTGTAATTTTTTTCTTAAAGATACTTTTATTCTTTGACAATCTTACAATTTTGTACATATATACAATGTATCTTGAAATCTTGATAATATCAACCCCGACCCCTCCCACCATTCCCTAAGACCTCCTCCCCCACCCACACACCTCTTCCCCCTTCCTGTCCTTTTTTTTTTTTTTGCTTTGGGGTTTGGTTTTTTTGTTTTATTTTGTTTTGGTTTTTTTTTGTTTGTTTGTTTCTTTATTTTGTTTTGAGGCAGCATCTCTCTACATAGCCCTGGCTGTCCTAGAACTCTCTATGTAGACCAGGCTGGCTTCAGACTCAAAGAGATCTGCCTGCCTCTGCCTCCCAAGTGCTGAGATTAATGGTGTGCACCACCATGTCCAACCCTTTCATGTCCTTTTTAAAAAAAAAGTTTTTTACAAGTTTTTTGTTGTTGTTGTTATTGTTATTGTTTATTTGATTGTTTTGTTTTTTGAGACAGGATGTCTTTATGTAGTCCTGGCTGTTCTGGAACTCACTCTGTAGGCCAGGTTGGCCTTGAACTCAGAGAACTGCCTGCCTCTGTCTTCCAAGTACAAAGAATAAAGGCATGTACTATCACTTCCTGGCTAAGGAATTTTTTATTTCATTCATTTATTTTGTATGTAGTGGGTACATATGCCATAGCACGCATGTGATGGTCCAAGGACAATTTTTCAGAGTCTGTCTCTCCTTCTACCACGTGGACCCTGGAATTGAACTCAGGTCATCAGGATGAGCATCATTTCTCATTGAGCCATCTCACCAGCAGCCTCCCTCTGCCATTCTAAACATAACCCAGAGTCCAACTAGGCTGCCCTGCATGTGCAACCTACCCAGTTAGCCACACCTCCCCAAAGAAAAGTGGCCACACACACACACACACACAGCAGCCTTCAGTGGCCAGAGGTCCTCAGCTAGTGTGATCTTGTGCAGGTTTTGTGCTGTGCACAGGAGTGCTGGTTTCCCAGTACTCCTCCCCATCCTCTGCCTCGTGCATACTCCCACCTCCTTCTTCCATTACGTTCCCTGAGCCTCGCAGGGTGGACACAGATAAGCACTTAGAGCTGGGTGCTCACAGTCCCTTATTCTCTGCACTCTGACCGGTTATGAATCTCTACAGTAACAACTGCTCACTGCAGAAAGCAGCTCCACAGGCCAAGACTGAACACCAAGCTAAGGGTATACACATAAATATTCAGAGAACAGCCTGACAACATGTTTGTCCAGCAAAACAGCAGTAAGCCTCATCAGCCATGGGCTTTTGACTGGGTTTGCAGCACCAGGCATGCATTCCTATGGAACAGGCCTCAAATCCAGTCAGAAAGTTGACCATGCCCTGACAGCCATGCCACGAGGGCACCAGCGGGCACACCCTGCCTGCAGCTTAGTATTGTGTAGCTGCAGGTCCACCATCACTCCTAAGCCCACTGGGAACTCTTCCACCCTTTGGCACTATGAAAGCTACCTAGAGGGAAGTTTCTAGGTCAATTCCAGCTTGAATTCTCTGTCCTGCAACCAAAGTGTGCTGTATCTTCAGCAATAGGGTCTCACCATATGGCTATGGTGGGCCACCAAGAGCAATGGCAATAATAGCCTGTGTTGTTTGTGGTGCTTCTGGGTGCTTCCCTAACCAAAATCCAGGAGGGAGATAGCCCACACTGGCACTAAGATTTTCATCTAATAACCTGTGTCTTTAGGAAAAGGATTATCCACCCATATAAGGTACTACTATTCAAACTCCTTTTAACAACAACAAAAAAGTATATTTTAAAGTTCATTTACAAAGTAGTGGTGTTCCATAAGATTTTTTTCCCATACATGCTAATTTTAGTTAACCCACCGCACCCTTCCTCCCTCTCCATCCCCATTCCCACTCTAACTCCCAGAACTCCCCATACACACTTCCATATCACACATGGTCTACTAGCCACCCCACGGCCTCTTTCCCTCCCTCTATTGTGGGCCCTTTCCGGCTCCCTAACTTGTACAGTCACTCCATATTAAACCCACAAATCTAAAACCCCAAAGCTAGGGTGGCCATGAGAACGCAGTTTGGCTCAGCCTGCAGTGTCACACTGGCCAGCTCTTCTGACAGAGGTTGGATACATGGCTTCCTTTGGTCCAAGAGAATCTGGTTAGGGAAGCCTGGTCTTTCTCATGCTTCCTTTTTCTCTGCAAGAGTGAAGTATTAATCTGAGTAGGGTTATTTTCTCATGAGTTTTCTTCTCAGGATGCCGTAGTCATCTCTCCCTGCTCTGCCCTATTCAAGTGAAGCAGACACCAGACTCCTTCCTAACCCAGATCGCTCTTGTGGAGGGTAGCAGTGTGATTAACGAACCCTCAGGAAACTACTCCGATGTGGCACTGTCCCACTTACAAGGCAGCTGGTATCATGGAGTCCTAGGCTCCCTCAAGTCGGTTCCCTTCACTGTGCTTTCTGTGTGGCAATGTGAGGGGTTGTCTCCTAGCCAACACAATGTTTCTGAGAAAAGGCTGGGGACAGGATTGGGCCACAGTCGCCCCTGTGTGGGTCCTTTGCTGCCTGAGTCTCTGGGCTATTTGGTGTTCCTTGAAAAGGTTTCATCCCCACCAGAACAGTGTCTCATGTCTAGAAACACGGTCATCCTTAGCCACTCAAGTCCCTGAGTGACCCCTGTCCCCTCACTTTTCATTCTCTTGTGTACCTCTCTCCCCAGAAAGTCTCCTCCTGCCTCAGCTTCAGAACCATAGATGTAAACCCAGCCTCACATTCAAGAGGGAAAAACAAAACTCATCGGCCAGATGTGATGGCACACACCTGTAATCTCAGTTCTCAGGAACCAGAGGCAGGAGAATCACCTACATGTCAAGGCCAGCCTGGTTTACATACAGTTCCAAGACAGAGTGGTCTACAAAGAGTTTCAGGACAGCCAGGGCTACACAATGAGACCCTGTCTCAAAAAAACAAAAAAGTAAAACTTTCTTTACCACACTTGTTGGAGGCTGTATACTCATTGTATTCTACCTGAGTATAAGATTGATAGCTGATTGGTCGAGAAAGAGAGGGTGATATACTAGGTAGTGGGAAGTTGTAAGCTGTCACTCTGATGCAGCCATGACTTCCTCAGTGTGGACGAGTTATAACCCTCTGCCCCCATGTTGTACAGCCACAAACCAGGTACCTGGTTATTTCTGTAACTTCCTAGAATGCTGAGGAAATTGCCCCAGAAGTGACAGGAAGTAGGCCACTGATGGCAGATGTGCACACCAAACGCCTTAGGGGTCTCAGGCAGAAAAATAAAAACCCCAGTGGGGTATCTGAGTTGGGCACACGGGAGTGCCGATGGGGAGGGCTGGTCTTGTGGCTCTCAGGGACATCCAAATGAGTCCCAGGTAGTTCTCCCGCTCTGTAACTGTAACCAAGGCTAAAAGCAGTTTGTGGAGGTGAGGTGTGGGCTGTGCCATGTACAGTAACCATGTCACTTCTTCTGATTTGTGTCTGTCCCATGGGTGACGTACCCCAGTATCCTGTTTGCCTCTTTTACTGCAGCCATTCACTGGGCTGGTGGCTTCAAGGATTTTTCTACAATAACCCCTAAGCCCCTTTCCTGGTCAGTACGCTGCATGCCTGTTCCATGTAATCTGTTCTCTCTTCCTGGTATGTTACCCCACCCTTCCTTGAGATTGTTTGACATCTGTCTGCATTAAACTGCATTTCCCATCCAGTGGCACAGTCACCTGAAAGACTCGGCTCCCGCAGAACCTGGATGCATTGTATTCCATTATTTGCTGTTATCTTCAACTTTGGCCTCATCAGCTACCTGTGGCATCTTATATTCGACAGTCCCATCAGAGAATGCACCTGTATTATGACTCAAATCCAGAAAAGACCCCACTCTCCCTGCACTCACTTCCCATGCAAATGTTTCCCTCTTTCTAGCCACTGTTGATGAGCCCGAAACCCTCCTATCACCCCGACATTACGCTGTGGTTGACTGGAAAACTGTGGGTTGAACTGTCCCTGATGACTGTTCTCTAAGGCCACTGCGCTGCTGTCTTGTTTTCAGTTCTAATTTTGGCTAAAATTGTGTCTGTGCCTGGAGCCTCTTCCAGTCGGGTGGGCTGTGCATCTACGACTTAGCTGTGAAAAGCAGCCCACGGCCAGGTGACAGGTCCTCTCTTTGTGCTCCTAGGAATGAGGTGGCCAAGCTGAAATTTGAAGGAAAGACTTTCTATTTATACGTAAGTCAGAAAGAGGTGAGTGCTGACTTCCTTCTCTTCAGGGAGGGCTGGGGCACTGTGGTGGCCTTTCATTGCTGGAGCCAAGAGAGGAGTTCAGACCGGGGAGGGAGGGTCTGCTTCCTTAGCTAAGGCAAAGATCAGGGTATGTAGAGGTGAGTCGGAAGGCCTGGAGATGCCCGTGACACCCAGAAGGTCCCCTCTAGAAGGCCTGCTCGAGGAAACAGTCAAATGAGGCTCTTTCCCACAGAGAATGCCTGGGGACACTGCTCTTCACCAAGGGCTGTCAGGTTTGCCAGGTGTGAGGTGGCCATTGATGTGAGCTCCTCTAACTAGCCATCTTGGGGGGGGGGCAGCAGCACAGGACACCGGGCCCTGGCCTTTTCCACCCACCTCAACTGTTTCTCTATGGAATTTTTTACAGGAGAAGAAAATCATTCTCACATATTTCGCTCCAACTCCAGAAGCCTGTAAGCACCTCTGGAAATGTGGAATTGAGAATCAAGCCTTCTACAAGTGAGTGGGACGTGTGGTAGGGACTGTCTTTATCAAAGGTGGGGCCACTAGGCTGCCTTCAGAGGAGCAGCAGGCCAACAGGAAACCAGCAGAGTAATTCTGGTGTTGCTGCGGGAGAGCCCAATGGGTGTGTTAATTTGAATCACTGCCTCCATGGTGCCCGGGAAGGCCTAGAAGACAAACGTGCCATGAAAGACCCCATACAACCAGAGCGGCATCCTGACCTCAGCCTTGGGGTGACCCTGAGGTCCCCCTCCTGGTGGGCAGGCCAGAGCTGGAGAAGAGCTGAAGATGGTGGCCACTCGGCTTGCTGCTGACAAGCTAGGTTTAGGCTAGAGGTAACTGCTTGCCGGGGAGTTTGGAGGAGTCTGGGAGGCTTCTGCATCCACTTCTTTCTGATTAACAAAGTGGTTGCAAAAGCATCAGTGCCACAAAGAAATGGACCAGAGAGGCTCAGGTGATGCCAAATTGGTTTTGTTTAAAAACAAACTTGTGACCTGTGTTTGAACAGATGTTCTGGGCCGGGGATACAGTTCATTTGTTGGAGTGCTTGCCTTGCAAGCATGAGGTGTGGGGTTCAATACTCTGCATTGTATCAGCAGGACATGGTAACAAATACCTGCTATCCCAATTCTCAGGAGCTGGGGGCATAAGGATCAGTTAAAGGTTATCCTCAGCTACAAAGTGAGTTGCAAAATAGCCTGAGCTACATGGGACCCTGTGTCAAAGAAAAAAGAGAATATTGCAACAATGCCAGTGTGATGGGCTCCAGTTGTGTCCCTTACTGTCACCAAATGCCCTGACCAGCCAGATCCTCCCTCTAATATCCTGAAGGAGTTTGGGAAATCAGGACTGCTCTCCACAATGACAATGAGCTGTGTCCATCTAATAGAACTAATCTCCTGCACTCACCAGCGTCTGTGTCACAGCTGCAGAACTGTGTCTTGGGAAGGCATTCCCAGCCCTTAATACTCATGTGCACTTGATACCAGCACCAGGGTGAACTGAATAGACAGAATGCATTCTACCCTGAGTAGGATTCCTTCCAAGAGGGACATTGGGGGGGGTCGCTGGAGGTTTGGATACCATCTTCCCTGCCCCGTCAGGGCAATGCCTAGCTTTACTCAGTTACATGAACCTAGAGAGAAGTAAATTTAAGAGACAAACACCTGCTGGTGAGGCTTAGTAGCAGCCCAGGAGATATGGGGTTCACTGTCCCCCCAGACAAGGCCTGGCTCCCACTAAGTTCCTGTTTCCCTGGGGAATCCCAAAGCATCCCCATTCTCTCTGTCAAACCTCATACAAAAGGAAGCAACTGCTGCCCTGTACTTTGTTTTTGATCTGTATCCTGGGAACAAACACGTTTCCAAACCCATGTGTGGCCATTCAGTTGCTAAGTGTCTTCCTGATGAGCATCAAGTGCAGACTGCCAAGGGCTTTTTCTTGAACCTGAAAGAAAATTTCACACAGCCTCTGCAGAGGGCTCCCTGCCCATCTTCTGTTGGCAGGATCAGGTGGTTTGAAGCATGTGTCACCCTGAACTCTGCTTTGCCGTAGGCTGGAGAAGTCAAGCCAGGTCCGCACAGTGTCCAGCAGCAATCTGTTCTTTAAGGGGAGCCGGTTCCGATACAGGTAAATAGTGACAGTAAGTAGCCATTCTAGATCTCTTCCCAGACCCTCTCTAGAGAACAGTCTCCATGTGCATTATCCTCAAGGACAGAGACCAGAGCTCTCTACAAGGCCTGGGGTTCCTCCCAATTCCTGAGCCTTTTACCCTCTTCTCTAGCTGCTTGTCTGGAGGTCTCTTCTTCTCTCATGGCATTAATCTCACTGGGTGAGAGTAAGACCACTAACACAATTTTTGAGCCAGATTTGAAGCAAACTTTATTAAATACTCTGCAGGATGATGGACACTGGCCAGGTCCTTACCCATGGTTCCCAGAGTGTGGCATCAAATTACATCAGTCAGGGGCTTCTAAAGGCAAAACCCACAAGGCTACATACTTCCCACCAGTGTTCAGTCAGGGGCAAGCATATGTCCCGACATACTTCCCGCCTATGTACCTCCCATCTACGTGTGATCAAGCACGTCCTGTGCAGTTGGGGCAACCAAGCTTAGAGAAGTTTAGAGACGGGGAAATACAATACCAGCCCCAGCATTCCAGCAAGTTATCTGGGCAAGTGGGGCTTACAGGTTAGAGGCATTTTTGTTTTCTAGATCTCTTAAGCACAGTAATCTAAAGTTAAAACATAACTTAGGATGTCTAATGGCTCACAGCCTCCAGGGAGGGTATAGTATGAGCTGAGCTAGAGCTTTTTAATCTTGTGCCTGGGGGAACCTCTCTTTCACACACTTGCCATTTCAAATTGCAATATAACCCAGGAGTGAGCCATCACAATAGCTGCAACAAAGCAAGGTCCATGACAGTTAATCTTGTGTGTCCCCTTTCGGAGGGGCTTCAGGCTTTTTCCTGGTGATTCATGAGAATGCGGCTGGGCATGGGGGGGGGGGGGCACACGCCTTTAATTCCAGCAATGGCAGAGGTAGGAGGATTTCTGTGAGATCAAGCAAGGCAGGCTGGTCTACACAGCAAGTCCAGGACAGGCAGGACTACACAGATAGACTCTGTCTCAGAAGGGGCGGGGGGGGGGGGGGGACAGAGACTCTATCGATGAAGAGATAAGCTAAACCATCATGGCATGCTAGAACTCTTTGTGGAGTCAAGCCTTCTGCAGTGGCTGAAGCCTCAGAGCTCCTGAGATTTTGGAGCCTAGTCTTGATCACTGTCTCCCTTCTTGCTGGTTGATTTTTATTTTATCATTTAACAGTGGCCGTGTTGCAAAGGAAGTAATGGAGTCAAGTGCCAAGATCAAACGGGAGCCACCAGAAATACACAGGTAGGCTGTCAACACTTCTGAACCAATTCCAACTCAGATCCCAGAATCTCAAAGAACCTAGCAAGCCAAAGCTCTGTGAAACATCTGGCCAAAACAGATACCAAAAGAGAGGAGGCAGGGGGCAGAAGAGGAAAGAACCCTGCATCCCACAGGTCACAGGGACAGGCATGCAACCTTTAACAACACAAGTGAAGACAAGCCAGTGTGGACAGCACATTAGAGCTGGGGGCACCTCACTCCGTTCTGTTCAACCCTCCCTAGCCTTAATATGGATCACAGACAGGAAAGATGCAGCCAAACAGTGACACTTAGCTGTTCTGGAATTACTCCATTTCCGAAAACCTCACATAACCTCATGATCCCTGTCACGTGTGTTCATAAGTTGTGCATTTCCAGAAGCCTGCCTTCCTTAAGCCCAATACACTCACAAAGACTGGCCGAGAGGGCCAGGATTCGCCCACCAGCCTGTACTTCCGAGAACGGGACAATACCTGCCCTTGGCACAGCCTGTTGGAAACTAAGGGAACTGCCAGTACCATCTCCAGACATTTCAGGAGCATGTCTCATGCCGGGGCTCTATTCTCTGACAGTCCTGTCCCCTAAGACCATGGCACTTGTTGCCACACAATAGAAAGGCTGTGTATGCAGTGAAAGGAAGTAAGGGATTCTGAAGCAGAATGTGTGAGTCAGGGGCCAAAGGTCAGGAGCATTTGTTAAGATCTAGACCCCCCCCATCTGTCTGTGCCCTGGTGAAGTGTCTCTCTTCTCATTCAATCTCAGAGCAGGGATGGTTCCCAGCCGCAGCTGTCCCTCAATAACCCATGGCCCCCGGCTGAGCAGCGTCCCCAGGACACGAAGAAGAGCTGTTCACATCTCCATCATGGAAGGTGAGTCTGGGCTCCTGGAGATGACTCTAGTGTCTATACATTGTAGCACAGCCAAATTCCTCCTGGATTACTTTCTGTTGCTGTGATAAAATACCATGACCAAAACATCACATACAAGAAGCTTATTTTCCCTTGAGGTTCCATCAGGATAAGAGTGTATCGTTGCAGGGAGGCACAGCAGCAAGCTGAGGGCTCACAGCTGCAAACAAGCACAGGGCAGAGAGCTGGAAGCGTGATGGAACTTCTTACCATCTCAAACCCCGCCCACAGTGGCACACCTCCTCCCACAAGGACACACCTCCTGAGCCTCAACATCACCAACCGGGACCACATGTCCATATACCCAAGATCGTGGTGGGCATTCTTGTCAAACCACCAGGGGCCTTGAAAAGAAACTGACTTGCAGTCAAGCAGTGGGAGCTAATCCCAGCACTAGAGAGGCATAGGAAGGGATCTTTGTTGAGTTCAAGGCCTACAAAGCAAGTTCCGGGACAGCCAGGACTGTTACACAGAGAAACCCTGTCCTGAAAAACCATGTTTTAAAAAAAGACTACAGCTTGTTCTGCCCTAGCATCTACTATAGAGGATGCCTGGGCCCAAGAGGACACTCAGGGATGGCGTTTGCCTTCACCCGGTGTCTATGGAGGAGCTGAAGGTGGGCAGACAGACACAGCCCAGTCCCAGAGCCACCTCTACCTCAGTTCCTATGACTTGACTGTACCACAGATGCCTTCATAGCCTGTTTTCTGGCACAATTTTAGCTAATTGGTCCATTTCCCTTTCCCTGAGAGCCTGGGCCGTACAGGGGCCTCAAAACAAGGCTGCAGCAAGGCTAGCAAGCATTGCTTTTTATGGATGTAAGCACTTCTGACTGAACCCAGTCCCCTGATAAGGATGGCCTCTCCTCTCCAAGCTTCTCCCTCCTCACAGCTCAGCCTGACTCAAGGCTCCCAGAGCTAGCACTCTGTCCAGGTGGGAGCATTGCTAGAGGGGGCTGCCACGGCACGGATCGGCTGAAGTCTTTGTCCCTAGCTGGCTGGCTGTTTCCTGTCCACATCTCTTCTGCCTGCCTGATTTCCCCTGAAGAAGGAACTGGGCTGCCATGGGAAAGAGTGTAATTAAGATTCATACCAGAGTCCACGTCCAGCTCCGGTTCACTAACCACTGCCTTCGACCCCTAAGCATACGCATCCTGAGGATGGGACCCCGGCTGCAGGGTAGGGTCCTAACAACTGTCCCCCCAGGCCCACTGAGAGCTACCTCTGGACAGAGGAATCAGCTAGAGCACCTCCAAGGTAATTATACTGTCTTGCTGTGCCATTTAGCTCATCCTTCCCCAGCACCAACCCCAGCACCCCGCAAGGCCACCCAGACTAATGGGTCTGATGAAGGGCAGAGTGAATGGTGGCACCTGTAGTAGCAGAAGATGCATTTTCAGAAACCATGCAACTTGCAGAAAATGGATAGATCTGGAAATTAAGGGAGGTCACCCAGTTAAAGTACTACATTTTCTCCTAGGCTGATTCTAGCTTTTACTCTTTACATATGTGTGTATGGGCATAGGTCATGGAATCAGAAAGGGGGCCATGGTGGGGGAGAAGGGTTTCTGAGAGGTCAGAGACATAGCTTGGGGAACACGCACAGGCTCTGCTTTCGATCCCCAGCACTGCATAAACCAAGCATGGTGGCACACGCCTGTAATCCCAACATTTGAATGGCAGGGACAGGAGGGTCAGAAGTTCAAGTTTGACTACACAGTGAGTGTGAAGCCAGACTAGAATACAAGCGCTCTGAAAAAACAGAAGAAATGTGCAAAGGAAGTGTAAAGGAGGACACGGTGGGAGGGGATAGGGTGGATTGTTTAAAAATGCCACACTGGAACCTAATACTCTATATGCTTACTTACAGTAGAAACCAAAAAATGTGTATTTCATTTGAAATCCAGGACAAATTGTTTAAAGTGGAAAGTTATTCCATAATCAATGCTTAAGTTTATGGTGATGTTTCTGGATAATTTAAATACAATAACATTTTGAATGAGATACAACATTCAATATATAACAAAAAAAAAGGTAAGCTTTAAAGGGAGAGATGGGGTGCTGGCTGAATTTTCTTGCTCAGACCAGCCTGGTGTGGAATGACCTTCCAGGTCAGGGCTTCTGAACACTGGTGGCGTTTGGCAAGCAACTAGCAGCCAGGCATTCTACTAGAAAGGGATCCCTACCCATCATCTTGTTTACTGAAGTCACCAACAATGTAGCAAGCATACCATGGCTTCTGACTGTCTTGCCTCTCCTCCCCCAGCCAGCTTAGGGATTACTCACAAGCCAAAATGCATCTGCTCTGAAGTGGCTTCTGACAACAAAGCTGGTCATACTTCGGGAGATCTGGCTGTCAGAGATGTCCTTGTGAGGGGACAGGCTTTTTAGAGGATGTCATGTGCCTGTGCTGAGGGCACACAAAGGAAGTGGGGCAAAGGCCAGGATCATGCTACAGCCAGGGCTTTTTAAGGGCTGTTTCATCAGTGATGCAGAGAGCATTCCTATCACAAGTGCCAGCAGAAGTGGCAGGGAGAGCTCAGGAAATCCAGAGAAATCAAAGCATCCAGTTCGGGCTCAAAAGATAGGAGCTCTTAATTTAAGTCATCTCACCAGGTTCTTTGGTGATTAAGACCCAAGGCAGGTGCAGGCCACAGACCGAATACACCCTGCATTCCATCAGCAACTCTATCATCACAGGCTTCGGTTGCATCCATAGCTTTGCCATGAGCAGCCAGTCATAACAGGCCCTGTGACTGCTCACCCCATCAGCTTATGGAGTTGTTGAAAGACATACAAAGATGAAATTCTTAGCAGGGCAGTGGTAGTCCACACCTTTAATCCCAGCGCTCGAGAAGCAGAGGCAGGTGGAGCTCTGTGAGTTCCAGGACAGCTACACAAAGAAACCCTGCCTTGAAAAACCAACAAATAAATTAAATTTTTTAGACGTTTAAAAACGTCCACTGGGTACTTCTTTTGTGCTGTTCTTGATGTCTAAATATGGATTCTACAGCTACAACTGCAGTAACACGGATCAATCACAGGCACCCAGCAAACTGATGGATGCCATCAGACATTAAAGTATGTCGAGACCCACAAAGTTTATTCCTGTGCTTTCTACTTTTGCAGGCCTGGAGTCCCTACGAGACAGTGCCCATTCCACACCAGTGAGGTCCTCTTCCCATGGGGACACCTTCTTGCCTCACGTGAGAAGCATCCGGGCAGACAGCAATGAACGAGTAGCTGTGATCGCAGATGAGGCCTACAGTCCGGCAGACAGCGTGCTACCTACACCTGTAGCCGAGCACAGCCTGGAGCTGATGCTGCTTTCCAGGCAGATCAATGGAGCCACGTGCAGCATTGAGGAGGAGAAGGAGTCTGAGGCCAGTACCCCAACTGCAGCAGAGGTGGAGGTCCTTGGAGGAGAGCTGAGGGCCCTGTGTCAGGGGCACGGCGGGCCAGAGCAAGAACAGGTGAATAAGTTTGTTTTAAGTGTACTCCGTTTGCTCCTTGTGACCGTGGGGCTCCTCTTTGTCTTGCTCCTCCTCCTGATCATCCTCACTGAGTCTGACCTTGACATTGCCTTTTTCCGAGATATCCGCCAGACCCCTGAGTTTGAACAATTCCACTATCAATACTTTTGTCCCCTCAGGCGATGGTTTGCCTGCAAAATCCGCTCAGTGGTGAGCCTGCTCATTGACACCTGAGAAGGCATGACTCCTCCCAATAACTAGCCAGGTGGACCAAGGAACCCGGCTAACCATTCCCAGCAATGGGACCCATCGCGGAGCCATCGGCATACACACCAAGTCCTCCCCTCATGACTCAAAGTCCACTGCAGCCTAGGAGGGTTGTTTCCCAGAAGAAAGGGATATAGGCTAACGCTGTAAAGAAGCTGGCAAAACTCAATTTCTTCAGAGGCTCTTCCAAGAAAGGCTCAGCAACTCTGTTTCTCATCCTTCAATATGCAGGATAATTTTTGGGTTCAAATTTTAATTTTTCATAGATGTGTATTATTTTGAAAGTATCCAAATAAAAATAATTTATTTTACTATACTGATTGCTGCAGTAGTGTCACCTGGCAGATGGGACACTAGCTGAAGACTTTGGAGAGCTGTTGTCCTCTGTACCCAGCAGCTTTCTCTGGTGCCACTGGGTTCCGGGAGACCCAGCAAGGCAGGCCAGGGCTGTGGACAGCCAGGATTGTTGAGGTTTACTTGCCAGACAGAAGGTTTAACAAAGTAAACTCTTGTGTAGAATAATTAAATAGAAAGTTGCTTCTTATGATGGCCTGAGTTGGATTTTCTTTTCCTTTTGTTTTTGTTGTTTTTTTTTCCAAATCTGAGCAGAGTGGGCATCTGAAGGGACCACGGCCACAGCAGCAGCAGAAGGGGTGGGGTAAGTCTGTCCCCTTAGACTAGCGCCTAGTGGACATCACTGAGTTTTAGTTAATGGTTTTTTTGGTTTTGTTTTTTTGTTTTTTTCCTGAAGAACCTCAGGGCTCTTCTAGTGCTCCTGGGGTGTCAATGAAGTCAGTGGCAGGAGAGTGACTGTCAGAAATGTCCTGCGTGTAGTTTCCAGAGACCTGTGCTAAGTCGACTGACTGCCTGAGAGCCTGTGGGGCATAGAAAGCAGTGCTTGTTTTGTAGTGTGCCCTTCCAAAAAAAAAAAAGGACTATTTCAAGCTCTATTTTAAAAGCAAAATGTTATTTTCTTATCTATTCATATTTTGTTTTTACTTTATGGATTAAGAAAACAGAACCTGATGAACTTTAGCTGCAAGAGAGAAACAGATCTGAGGAACCGTCAAGAACAAGCAGCAGCCTTGGAAGGGACCAGGAAACATTCTAAGTGATGCTCACAAGAGACAGAATTTGACCATGGCAGAGACCAACACTTAGCATAGAAATGCCACCCATAGGGTCAGCCTCTGCCCCTGGAAATAAGGCCCAGGAGAATCCTTGGAGGGCGTAACTCACTGCAACACTGGACCACAAAGGTGAGCAGGAGTCCCCAGGCCTCTACACTTAAAAACAATCACACACACAAGACCTTGTTTCCATCTCAGGGAGAGATCGCAAAGTCGTCAGAGGCCCAAGGACTTATTCAAAGGACAGTCAAGGGACATACTCCAGAGACCCAGACAACAGCAGAGCTAAACAGCTCCACATGTAGAACAGGTTGAACTGTAGTACATTTGAGCTCCTCTTATTTTTTTTGCCTGGGATGGTAAAACCATGTCCATGTTCTGAATAGAAAAACCAATGGCATTTATGTAATTTTGAAGAAATATACCATCCTTATCTAGACAAAGGTCAGCAAACTTCTTTTAATAAACTTTTGGTTTGTGAACCATACCCTGCTACCTTAGCACACCTCTGACAATGTATGCATAAAGGAACATGGCTTGTTCCAAGAAAACGTTATTTTAAAAAAGACGGAGGGCTGAGGAAGTAGCTCAGTAGGTATTTACCTAGCATTCATAAGGCCCTGATTCCATCACTAACACTATGTAAAACCAGGTGTGATGGCAAATACCTGTGGTCCCAGCATGCAAGTGAAGATAGGAGGATCAGAAGTTCAAGGCCAGTCTGGGATTCATTGAAACCCTGTCCCAGACCACTGGCCTCCCACTTCCCAAAACAACACAACCCTAAAACTGCAATATGCTGAAACTGGCCCATAGCCATAAGATGCAGACCCTGACCTACACAACACAACTATCACAACTATCACACATTAGCAAGAAGGCCAGCTTCGATTCCTGTCTCATGGAAGACCTGGAATCATGCCTGCATGGAGGCTTTGCTGGATACTCCACCAATCAGCAGTGATGTTGCATCTGATACCAAGATCAAGCACTGCCACTCTGAACAGCGGTGACTCTTAAGAAGGAACGAAGGCTTATCTGATCATTTCCATACCAGCAACAATTTAGGTAAAACCTAAAACATACTTACCACATGACAAGACAAACTGAGGGGATCTTAGTAAAGACTAGAGATCACTTCAAAGCAATGAGCCACTGCCACTTGTCAACTGCATAGCAAAGGTTTACTTAGCACAGGACTCATATGAAAAGTTCCCCAGAGATGCAAACGCTATTGGTAAACAGGGCTGGTGTATCGGGATTTCTATTCTTATGCAACACAGCAGAATGCCTTCTAGTGTAGTGCTCCTACCTCAGTTTGTAGAACACAGAGTCTATGCAGTGAGTGGCAGCCTCGCCTCTGACCCTTCATAGCTGAGAAGGAGGCAGCCTGCCACTGCCTGGTGTGTTTCTTGTGTCTAGAGTCCCAACAGTGCAATGGTCCTTGCCATTTCCAACATCTGACCCGGAACCTTCAGGTTCTTATTTTCCAAGGCTTATCCCAGAAAATAAGGACAGAAAAGGCCTCCTTCAATTTGGTTCCCAAATAGTTTTCAATGGTTCAACAGCAACCCCCAGTTACTGGTGACTAGTGTCTTTTCAGTATTTTCTCATCATTAAAAAAGTTCTGGTTTTCAGTCTTGTTTTGCTGTGTTCTATGTCTCTTATTTCCTCTCAGAATTAGTTGATCTTACTGTAGAAAAGCAGACTTGCATGCACCGTCGATCAGAGGTGATACCTCCTGAGCATCGGGCTGCACCTGTAAGCAGTAGAGGGTAAACTACCTACAAATGTGAATTCTTAGTTTCATTTAACAATAGTTGTTAATCTTTCGTGTGCCAAAATCTCTTAACGTTACATTTTCCTTCAAAGCAATGTACCTTTTTCTACATATGCAGTATGTAGTTAGCATAAAATCATTGGTGCCATGAAGATTATTTTTAAACTTAAATAAATATTTAAATACCGTAAAAGAATGTTTTTTTTTTTTTTTTTTTTTTGTAACCTGTCACACTTTATCAAAAGTTAACACTACATGGAGAGATTGATGGCTCAGCACTTGCAGGGGACCCAGGTTCAGATCCCAAAATCCACGTGGTGGCTCACACCTGGCTAGAACTTCAATTCCAAGGGATTTGACACCCTTTTCTGACCTCCTAGGGCAACACACACATATAATAAAGACCTTTTTGATTGTATTTACTTTTATCAGCTATGAAACAGAATTATCATTATGAATATCCATGCTAATTAATAAACTAAGCTTCCAACCTTAGTTTTAATGGGGTTTTTTGAGATGGGGTCTCACTGGCTAGCCTGGAACTCACTGGCTGCCCTTGAACTCAGATCTGCCTCTCAAGTGGTGAAGTAAAAGCCACACACACCACACTTGACTCTTAAGATTCTTTTATTAACCTTTATTATCTTGTGTGAAATGTTCTGCTTGCCTGTATGTCTATATCCTGTATGCAGTACCCAGATGCCAGATGAAAGCACTGGATCCCTTAGAACTGGAGTTACAATTGGTTGTGACCATGTGGGTGCTGGGGATCAAACCTGGGTCATTTGGAAGAGCAACAGGTGCTCTTAATTGCTGAGCCATCTCTAGCCCCTAGATTTTTAATTATAAAGATTACTCAAAAAAATTACTCTTCAAGGACAATTTATACTTTATTTCTATGACACATAATTATAAGAGTATTCCCTCTTGCAATCCAAACATACTACCTAAACTATAAGTCTTTCAGTAGTCACTTTGGCAAGTAACATAGAAAAAGTTGGATACATGTTACACTGTGACACCAAGCCACTGATTTAGCAGAATATACATAAACATATACCATACGAAACTAAGTTTTATTTTTAAATATTCTATTAAAAAATAAAAATATCCCAATTGTGCTTTCTGTGCTTTACTAATTCTGGGTCAAGGGAAGGAGAGCCAGGTTGGCCTGGAACATCTGATTCTCCTGCTTCTACCTCAAGTGCTGGGGTTACAAATTCCATGTGAAAAGCTGCCACAGTGAGCTGTACACAGTTATACGCTAGAATATAGGATAATGGTGCAAGTTCAAACACTGCAGTCCCCAGCGCATTTCTGCAGCTGCCCAGAAGGCAGATAGCACTGCAGGCTTGCAGACATGGCCCTAGTCACAGAAACCAAGGTTCCCAAAGAAAATTGTGGGATTTCATGTAACTGACCCAAAGACCCCCAAAAAGGCTCTTAGCTTACAAAGCTAAGTTCTGACTGGGCATGGTAGTACACACCAATAGTCCTAGCACTTGGGAAAGTGAGGCAGGAGAACTTAAAACTCAAGGCAAGCCTGAGGTGCAGAGCAAAACACAGTCCCCAACACAACAACAAAGCAGAACAACTAAGTTTTAAAGCTAGGGTATGGGTCAATAGTGGATACTTGCCTAACATGTGACAGTCCCTGAGGTCTAATCATATTTCATAATTACACTTAGATGATCTTTTAGGACCTATTCCAGTGTGAGAAATAAGTATCTACCCCAAACTATAAAAGAAATTGCAGATCTACAAATCACCATTGCATCAAAAATGGTCTCATTATATTACAGAAAAGTTAATACTGACCATTCAAAGCTTTATAATTTGACAGAATTTCTCAAAATATAGCCTAATTAAAAGTGTTGAAGATGCTGAGTGGAGTGGTGCAAGCCTGTAATCTTAGCACTGAGGAGGTGGAGGCAAGAAGCTCCAGAGTTCCAGGTCATTCTTGGCTACAGAGAGTCTGAGGCCAGCCTGAGCTACACAAGGTCCTGAAAGCATCTCAGATTCTGTTCCTGGTCCCTCCCACCCCCTCTAGCAATGGCCTTCAAGTTCCTCCCATGCTAATATGACATTCTGCACAGTCTCAATCAGAAAGCAATGTTGCGGTTACTAAATATAACACATTACCAAACAGAGGCACTAAACCGAGAGAACCACGAGGTTCCTTTGCCACACAACAATTTGAGCAAATTGTTGAACCTACCCTATGGCTCAGAAGCTGTCTTGACGCATAAAAACATGTAACCTCCCACTGGAATTACCTCCAGCCAGAACATATCGGGTAGGATGCATAACACTGAGGGAACACACAGATACAAGACATTCTCCCAAAAGAGAATACACAGTCTTTCCTGTCTCATGGAAGATTTCCACCCGCCGTGGGTGGGCCATACTGCCAACTATGAAGCAATCTTCTTGTTTTGGGTCCCACACAGCTTGGAACCTCGTTAGCCATCTCCCAGTGATAGTGTTATGCCTAGTAGGGAAAAACAAAACAGTGTTTACTTTGAAATGTTAAATAATTCAAGGTAGCACAGAACAGAAGGTCAAAACCAAATCCCAGTGTAGAAATGATCATTGGTACCTGCTTCACCTTTCAGCCTTCAGCCTGTGCTCAGAGGGTAGTGACCCAGGGACTATAGACATGGTACCTTGTCTGGGGCTGGAGAGATGGCTCAGTAGTCAAGAGCACCCGTATGATAGCTTACCACCATCCATAACTCCAATTCCAAAGGACCCAATGCCCCTCTCCTCTGACCTCAGCAGGCACGAGGCACACTTGGTGCCCACACAGGCAAAAGACTCATACACAGAAATAAGTCTTAATTTTTAAATGGAAGATAACTTGCCATTTTTTCCCCTCTTTTTTAAAACCAGGGTCTTAGGAAGCCCAGTTTGACCTTGAACTCCTTAAGTATCATAGAATGGTCTTAAACTTTTGATCCCTCTGCCTCTGCCACACCCCACCTCCTTTATGCAGTACTGGGAATCAAACCCAGGATTTCAAGCTTGTTAGGCAAGTGCTCTACCGACTGCGCTGCATCCACAGCCCTGTACCTTTCCTGCTCACTGTTCTAGACATACATACATAAGAAAAAGAATCTCAAGAACATACTGTGAACAATTAAATACCAACAAACTGAATAACCTACAAGAAATAGAGGAATTCCTAGGAACACAATTTGCAAAAAGTAACTCTAAAGAATTAAAAACTATACATTTATTCGTTACTAGTTAAGGGGATTCACACACACACATGTACTCACACAGAGAGAAAAGAGGTATGGGGGGAGAGACCTGAAAATAAGTTTCCATAGTATTAGTTTTCCCTTTTTAGCCCAGAAATTACTATGTAGCTCAGTCTCACCCCCAACCTGTGGCAATCCTCCTGCCTTACCCTTCAAGTACAGGCATGACCCGTGTGCACCTCCATACCCAGCTTTCTTAATGAACCCTGACACAAAACTCCTCAACCTGGAGATGTGTATCTATCATACACAAAGCCCTGAGCCCAACCCCCTGCACCTCATAAGCTAGGTATGGTTCAAACACTCTTGTAATCAAGAATTGGGAAGGTGAAAGCAGGAAGGTTGAGATTTCAAAGTCATCCTCAGATACAAGTTCCAGGCTAACATCGGGTCAAGAGACAACAAACCAAATTCAACAGCATAGTAAAACATTGTACACCATGGTCAAGTAGGAAACAAACTATAACACACCAAGTTAACAAAGTGAAGGACAGGCACATGGCTGTCACAATTGATGCTGAAAATGAATTCATAATGCACTCACTCAACAAACCGGGAGCAGGGGGAGACAATCACAACACAGTGAAGGCCACATATGAGAAGCCCACAATGCAAGACATCAGACACAGTGAAGACCGAAAGCTTGCCCTTTGGGATCAAGAATAAGGTAAGGAAGCCCCCTCACCACTAACATGGTATCAGCTATCAAAGCCTGGTCATTTAGATGGAGGGGGACTGTGTCTGAAGATGGCATGATCACATTCATAAAAACAAAATATGATAAAAGATTCCACACATTTAAAAACCTACTTGAACAATTTCAAGCAGAGTTACAAGATACAGGGACTGGGAAGCCGGTCAGCTGACAAAATTCTTACCACACAAGCTTAAGAAGCAAAGTTCAATCCCAAGAATCTACATAAAAAGCTGGTCACAGTAACATCATTACACCTGTAATCCCAGTGCTGAGGAGACGGAGACAGGCATCACTGGCCGGCCGGCCTAGCCAAAACTGTGAGCCTCAGATGCCACTGAGAAACCCTGGCTCAAAAATGAAAGCATCCAGCTCCTACAGGATACTGCCTAGGGTTGAGCTCAGGCTTCCACGCAGTACAGGCCTGTTCACACACACAATTTTTAAGACATAGGATACAAAAATCAACAAACATGAAAATCTGACATATTTAATCCAGGCAGTGGTCTCAGCTGTTGAGAGGAAGATCACGTTCATCCACGAGTTTGGGCTAGCTTGGGCAAACAGCAAGACCCCCCCATCACTTAAAGGAAAAAACAAAACAAAACAACAAAACAAAAATCCTGCAGACTGAAAGGACTTACTGTCTGAATGTGTAACAGGAAGAGAACTCCTGGGAATTCAGGAAACCAGGGTCTCATGTCAGGATGAATGTCTACTTCTCCGTGGCGGTGTGTCACTGCCACTGGTGACATCTGGATGTTATATGGTCCCGTGCTTTTCATACTTGGTCTCCAAGCTGGTGTTACTGCTGTAGGCAGCTGTGGATCCTGTAGGCCTACCTAGAAGTGGCCCCTGAGTTTAAACCTTATGGTTTCTAACTAAACAGGGAGAACCCTGTCCTTTCAGAAAAGTGCTTCTGCTTTCACTGAGATGTGAGGACCTAAAGAACCTCAGCTGCAAGCTGTCACCACAAAGCCACATGTCACCTCAGAGCTATGCAACAAATTCATACGCACACATCCACAGACAGACAGACACAACAGCCTATAATCCCAATTCCAAAGGATCCAACACAGACATCCACAGCTATCCACAGACAGATACACATATATAAAATTTAAAATAAAAGTAAACCTTTTATTTTAAAGAAGAGGGAAAAAATTGGTCCCAGCTACATAAGTTAGAAGCCAGCCTGGGCTATACTACAAACCTCAGCCTCAGAAACACAGCACGCGCACACACACACACACACACACACACACACAATTCTAAAAATTAAGACTGAAAAGAGTCAGGCAGTGGTGGTACATAACTTTAATCCCAGAACTTGGGAAGCAAAGGCAGGTGGATCTCTGTCAGTTCAAAGCTAGCCTGGTCACAAAGTGAGTTCCAGGACAACCAGAGCTGTAGCACAGAAAAACCCGGTCTCAGAGAGAGAGAGAGGAGAGAGGGGAGAGAGGGGAAAGAGAGGAGAGAGAGAGGAGAAAGAGAGAGAGAGAGAGGCTAACAACAGTCTTTGGGAAATGTGTTTTTATAATGAATAGCCATTTTGGTTTTATCCTTTGATGTGGAATGTCCCTCTGCAGGCTGTGAATGTTTTATTACCATTGATTAATAAAGAAGCTCATTTGACCAATAGCCAGGAAGAATACTCAGTCAGAAAATCCAAGCAGAGATACAGAAGGACAGTGTCTGAGAGATGTCAGCCAGCTGCCAAGGAAACAAGACATGTAGAAAATGAGGGAATGCCATAGCCACATGGCAATACATAGATTAATAGAAATGAGTTAATTTAAGTTGTAAGAACTAGCTAGTAAGAAGCCTGAGCCAAAACAATGGCCAAACAATTATAATTAATATTAAGCCTCTTGAGTGATTATTTGAAAAGGCTGAAGGACTGGGTGGGACTGAGAAACCTCCATTTATATTTAGTACTCAATGTGGGGCACAAACCTACAACCCTGGGATTAAAAGTCCTAAACTCTACTGACTGAGAAATGTCTGTCAGATATCCTAGGCCTCTATGGTTAACCAGTGGCTAGCTCCACCCTCTGATCTTCAGGCAAGCTTTATTTGTTAAGAGTACAAACAAGATATCACCCTAATCCTTCTTCTCTCTGAACAGGATAGAGTCTGCCATCTTGGAATTGGTTATAATTGTGCCTCTCTGGACCAGTAATTTTTACATTTTCTTCAGCAGTTAGCCAAGAGCAAGAAGAACCATTATATAAGCAGTGTAACCTACAAAAAGTTAATTGTTACAATACATTCACAATACCCAACCCAAAAACAAAATTAAGAAGAGTCCTGGCTCATTGGTAGTGGCACACTCCTTTAATCCCAGCACTCAGGAGGCAGAGGCAGGCTGATCTCTGAGTTCAAGGCCAACCTGGTCTACAGAGTGAGTTCCAGGACAGCCAAGGCTACACAGAGAAACCCTGTCTCAAGAAACAAGCAAAATAAATAAAATAAATAAATAGTAGAATGTAAATTTTAAAATTTATACAGCACTCTAAAAAACTGGGCAGAAAAAAAAAAAAGGAACTCCCAGATTTAAAAATGAGCAAATTATACCCGCTTATAATTTTTTTAAAAAAAAGATGTTTTTCTGGATAACAGTAATGTATGCCTTTAATCTCAGTACTCAGGAGGCAGAGGTAGGCCAATATCTATGAGTTCTAGGCCAGCCTGGTCTACAAAGAGAGTTCCAGAGCTTCCAGGACAACAAGAGCTTTTACACAGAAAAAAAAGAAGCCGGGCATTGGTGGCACACACTTTTAATCCCAGCACCGGGGAGGCAGAGGCTGTGGATCTCTGTGAGGTGTAGGCTAGCCTGGTCTACAGAGTGAGTTCCAGGGCAGCCTCCAAAGCAATACAAAGCAAAACCCTGCCTTGGAAAACCAAAACACGAAAATAATAATAATGTTTTATGTCTTTATTTTGAACATTACACTCAAGAATCACTATGTAAAGAAATCATGGAAAAATTTCAGCTAATTTGAAATAACTGGTCAGGAAAACCACTTTTTTGTGCATTTTTAGAAAAATGATTTTTCACAGTTCTCTATTTTGGCAAAAGGTCACTAGCTCATGACACTAGCCCCCAGTGCCTCTGAACTCACCATAGCCCTAAGTTCTCATGTAAGTTGGCAATGAACGGTGGAAATTAAAATCACCTGGTAAAGAAGAAACACTATAATATACCAAGTCCAAAAAAAAACCTGACAAGTTACCTGGAGACAGGTCTCCAAAGATAAACATGTGGTCTTACTGAGCCCCAGTCTACCTGCCTCCACCAACACAGTGCTAGGGTGAAAGACACATGGGTGTCCACACCTGGCTCTTTTTAAAACACGGGTGTTAGGATTTGAGTTTGGGTCCTCATGCTTACACAGCAAGCAGCAATCTTAACTGCTGAGTCTATTTTAAAGTATTTATTGGCCATTTTGTAAACTGTTCATTCATTAGCCCATTTATTGACTGGCAGGCTTGTTTTATTTGCGTGTTCAATTTTACAGTCCTTTATTTTTTATATTCTAGATTAACCCTTCCTGACAAGGAGTTTTCTCTAATTTTACAGGTTGTCTTGTTCTGCCAATAGTTTACTTTGCTATAAGGATGTTTTTTTACTTTCATGAAATCACAATAGTAATTCTTGGGGCTTTAGTGGGTACTACTGTAGTCCTACTCACAAAGTTCCTGTCTGTCTCTTGAAGTGTTTTCCTCCACTAGTTCAGTGTTTCCAGTTCTCAAGTCTTTGATTTATTTTGAATTTTTCTCCGTGAGAAATAAAGATCTAATTCCATTCTTCAGTGGGCAGAAAAACAGTTTACCATCATCATCTGTTGAGAACAAATGGCTTCCCCCAACCCCTGTGCATGTTTTTAACACCTTTACCAAACATTAGAGGGTGGTTTTACTTCTGGCTCACACCTTTAATCCTAGCACTCTGGAAGCAGAAGCAGGCAGATCTTTGTGAGTTTAAGGAGTTCCAAGCCAGCCAAGGCTAGATAAATGTCAACAATAAACAGACAACTGCAGAACACAGACACACACAGAGGAAAACTATTCAGTCTTAACAAAAGAAATCCTGTCATTTGTGACAACATAAACAAACCTGTTACTTGAAATAAGCAAGATACAGAAAGACACATAGGATATGATCTCACTTTGGTGTCAAATTTAAAACTGAAGTCAAAGGACAGTTAACAGAGGCTGGTAGGAGAGGGGCTGGGGAGATGTTGGTTAAAGAATTCAAATTTTCCGTCAGTGGGAAAGAACCAAAAGATCTAAGCTAGAAGTGGGTTTTTCCCCCAACTTTTATTTTTATTTGTGTGTATATGTTAGTGTAAGGGTATTTTTTGTGTGTGTAGTACCCTCAAAGGCCAGCTGGAGTTACAGGAAGTCATGAGCTACCTAACATCCACCATAGGTTTCAGAGTAGAACTCTATGTTCATCATGCTTGCTCAGCAAGCACTTTTACCCTCCAAACCAACATTAATTTAAAGTCAGTAAAAGAGATTTTAAATGTTCTGGGGGAGGGGGAGAAATATGAGGCAATACCTGCTAAATAGCTTAATTTAGCCATTCTATAATGTATACATATTTCAAAACATTGTACACAACATATACATTTTTATTTGTTAATAAATTAAATAAGGATTGGTAATGAGGCACACACCTTTAATCCTAGCACTTGAGAGGCAGGGACAGAGGCTGTCTGAGTTCAGAAGCCAGCCTTGTCTCCTCAGAGAGTTCTAGAACAGTTAGGATTAAGCATTAAAACCCTGTCTCAAAAACACAAACAAAAACAAAGACACTGATAAACTGAAACATAACATCTGAAAAATGAAATGGGCAAAGCCAATGAAAAAGGAAACAAAATATGCTTAAATAAACAGAGCCTCTGAAAACTGACACTAACAAAGCCCAGCACACACCAATTTCAAACACTCTCTAGAGAAGGCATGGCATATAGAAGAGTTAGACATTAAGTCAGCACACGTCCTAAGAAAGGGTTGGGACAATCAAACACAAGGTAGATACACACAGAAGCCACCTAAGCCCAGAACAAACATGTAGCCCCATCAAGTACTCCCAGGCTTCATGAATACGGTACTGAGTAACTCAAGTCACAATAAAGACCTCAGCTTTGACCAAAAGGGACCTGCAGAGAGGACATGCCAACTGAGCCACTGAGGTCTGGAAACAAGGCTGTCCTCTAGACAGGGCTGGAAAGCGAGGATGCTTACACAACACAATACGAAACCAGAACTACAGGCTCTCCTTGACAGTCATGTGTCTAACATGGCCTTCTATGTACCGCTGATGCTCATAGCAGCCCAGGATCTAGGTAGGGTATTTGGTACAGGGAGCTTACCTGATGGTTGTGAGGAGAGGAATTTCTGATGATATAGAGCTGCTGTCAAAGACTCTGCAAATAAAGGATGAAAACAGTTACACAGTCTTATTAGATTCTCCTGTTTTTCAGTGTATTTAAGATACCTGTTGGTTCAAGTGGGAAACATAACTGTTACTTTATGTGGGATCAGATTCTAACCCCAGATGCCATCTTTAACAGTAAGTACATGGACTATTATAAAATTCAGTCCATACTATAAGCTTAATCTAGACATACTTTAAACACTATTACTCCAAAAAATAAATTTTCTTTATGACAGTATCTCACTATGTATGACTAGAACTGTCAATCTGTCTATTTGGCCTCCTGAATGCTGGAATTACGGGTAGGCACCACCACACCAGCTTGGCATGTACATTCTAAAGTGACAATCCGGCAGCTAAAACTATATTCAGATTCACATACACATAAGGGTTGTGGTATGAAAACTCACAATACTCTAGGCGTACAAACATGCATAAAAAGCAATCTTCTGGGGCTGGAGAGATGGCTCAGTGGTTAAAAGCACTGACTACTCTTCCAAAGGACATGGGTTCAATTCCCAGCACCCACATGGCAGCTCACAACTGTCTGTAACTCCAGTTCTAGGGGACCCACCTCCTTCACACAGACATACATTCAGGCAAAATACAAATACATATAAAATAAAAATAAATAAAATTTTTAAAAAGGCAATCTTCCTCTGCTTCTTTAGTTGACAGCCTGATGTGTCATTTCCAAACTGCTGAAGAGATTGAATGGCCAGCAGGAAAGTGAAGGAACACAGAATCCTCTGCTGGGTACCATGATAGAAGGAAGCCAGCCTTAGTGTCATACCTCGCCTTCTGTGCCCAACTGATCCAGAGCAATCTCTTGGCACTACAGCTATTACAGTTTGATTACTGAAAGCTCAATTACTAGAGCTTAATGCAGTAAGCATAAACTCTAGAGTGTAAATGGATAAAAAGGTGTCGAGACAAAGGCAACTATGTGGGTAGAAGAGGGACATGGGCCGCCATGGTAAACCTCAGATCATCTGGTAATGCTCACAAACTTCGTCAGATACTAACTGGGCCTTGCAGATCATGTGTTTACCTTCTGGAGCCTGACCCATGGGACACGTTCAATAGATACTTGCTAAAAGATGAATTCCAAGTCTTGAAGAGATTGCAAATTTGAAACAGAATCAAGCATTCTCAATGAGAACAGAATCATTCTCCCTGTAGTTGCATTAATGGTCTTCACATCTTTTCTCTAGAGATGAGGGTCTCACTATGTTGCCCATCTGTGCTGTCTCAATCTGCCAAGAAACTAGGACTACAAAAGCCTTTTCATGTTTCTTTGACTTGACATTTTTTTCTGTTTAAATCAATTTTGGGGAAGTAGCTATAGAAAAGTACCAAAACTAAAACCCTAAAACCACACCTATTAGCTTATGCAGAAGCATGATTTTTTGCTGTTTTCTAGATGCCTGAAGTCTGGAGCTCTGCAATTTCCATTTAACACACTTTTAAGATAGAGCCCACTTTCCCCAGAGAGTGAGCTTCTCCTGGCATGGTGGAACACACCTGTAATCCCAGTAGTCAGGAGGCCAAAGCAGGAGGATGGCAAATTCAAGGTCAGCTTGGAATACACACTGAAACCTGGGAGAGGGAGGGGTAAGTGATGGGACACAGAGGCTCGGGGAGCAGGAGGGGGAGAGAAAGGAGTTAAAAAAGGAAAGAGGAGGAAAAGGAGAGGGAGAGAAGGAGGGACTATAATGCAATAGCATGAGTGATTCCATAGCAACAGCAGTAACACAACTTCAGTTTACGAACACCATAGCTGCAGTCTCTACAGATTCCCTAAAAACATGGTTCTGTAGCCTTAGTTTACCTCAGCTTACAGTCAGCACATGTGGTCACCACTCTGTTACCAGTGACAGGTGAAAAATATGCAGAAGCAATGCTCTTCGAGTGTTCAGCCAAGGAGATCAAAGGCTGGCTTCTCCTGGAATTCAGGCACCTCACATCATAAATGTGAACATCCCTGGGACAGGAAGAGAAATTATCAGTACAGCCCACAGTGAAGCCCACAGAGTAGGACTAAACACACTCAGACATCTACTACATTAAGAACATTTAAGACAAACCCCTTTAATCTATAATTTACAGACAGTGACTGACAGGAAAATACATAAAATACTAGAAAAATTCCAAGATACAGAAGATCCATGTACCTCAGGCACAGAGACTAGTTTCTACAAGGTTTTCAATATCTCTAAGTACTGGGCAATGGTGGCACATGCCTTTATCCTCACACTCAGGAGGCAGAGGCAGGTGGAAGGTGGATCTTTGTGAATTTGAGGCCAGCCTAGTCTACGGAGTGAGTTCTAGCACAGTCAGAGCTACCATAGTTAGACCGTCTCCAAAAAAAAAAAAAAAAAATCTCCAAGAAACAAAATAACGTAAGTCAAGTTATAGGTCATACACAAGTTCTGTTTATTACAATTTTTTAAGTTTCAAAAAAGTAGAAGCAAATACATACAGGGTCAAAGAGACACATGTATGCTTCTTTGAACAGTTTCTCCATTTATTAAACCAAAAGAATTCCTATTTAAAAAGTAGTTAACTTTTAACATTTCTAGCACTGTGAAGAGGAAAATTACTAGGCTTGTGTGTGGCACATAAGTCAAAATGTGTGCTAAGTATGGTGGCCCACACCTTTAATCCCAGCACTTAGAAGGCTGAGGCAGGTAGATCTCTGAGTTCCAGGCCAGCCAGGACTACAGGGTGAGAGCCTGTAGGTAGGTGGGTGGATGGGTAGGAGAGAGGAAAGAAGGGAGGGAGGGAGGGAAGAGGAAGGAAGGATCAAATGTCTAAGAAACTAAACTAAATCATGTACTTCTGACATTAAACGGATTAAATCCTAACATCTGAGAACATAACTCAAGCCTAGCTCAGAAACAAAAATCTATAATCCCAGCCCTTGGGAAGGTGAAGTAGGAGGACCAACACAATTTCAAACCAGCCTTGGATGGCAAGCTGGGAGCTCATCTCACAAAAAAAAAAAAAAAAAAAAAAAAAAAAAGACGACGACAACAAAGACGAAGAAGACAGGCATACCTTAATCCTGCACTGATAAAATACTGCCTGGATACTGGATGGACATGAACAGTTCTTATTTTTCCCAAAGATGAATTAAAAAGTTTCTCATAGGAAGTTCCAGGTGTTCGTCTATCTACCAGTGACAAATGTCCATCCCAGTGTCCCACTAGCAAAGTGGAAGCATCTTCTGCCAAGAAGTCAAAGGAGGAAGGGCTGCTTCCTTCGTTTCGGTACACCTAGGGGAGAATCAACAATTAGGTTATAACCCCTAGGCTGGGGAGGTGGCCCAGTGAGTCAGAATGCTAACCACACAAGCTGGCAATCCGAGTTCAATCCCTGGGACCCCCCAGAACAAGATGGAAGAGGTGCAGCACATCTGGACTCCCAGCACCCTACCACGGCAGGAGGTGGAGAAAAGGAGAGGCTCAGCAGGCATCCTAGCATGTCAGCACGTCAGCACAAGCAGAGACTCTGCTCAAAAGTGGGGCGGCAAAGACGGCCTCCCCAAAGTTGTCCTCACACCTCTACATGTAGCCAAGGCTGGCCTTGAACTAATGATCCTCCTGCATTCTCTTACCAAGTGCAGAGATTACATAAAAACATTCTTTTAGAGAAAACCAATGCTTATATCCCTAGTAAAAGAGGTATGGAATGCTTTATCAAATGATGTCATTTACCCTTCTATCATCCACACAGGAAATAGAAAGCAAATGAAAACACTGTGGAGGCTTGCCTGAATCAAATGGTCCATGAATCCACATCAGAGCTACACCCCAAACCTGAAAAACCCTCAGATCCAAATCTATTCTGGGAGACTTACCAGAAAAAGAACTGGCTCTGAATTCTAGCTAACTAAAATTATATATATATATATATATATATATATATATATATATATTTTTTTTTTTTTTTTCTTTCTTTTCTTTTTTCTTTTTTTTACATTAGGGTTTCTCTATATATCCCCTGGCTGGCCTTGAACTCAGGAGATTCTCTTGCCTCTGCCTCTCAAGTGCTGGGTTTAAAGATGTGCGCCACCACTGCCCAGCCTAAAATTACATCTTAACAGAAGTAGTTTTGCATCCAAGTGAAGTCTAAGATATAAGACTGGATGTTCAATTATAACTATTAAGAAACCGATTAAATTTATGTTTTGTTTTTGGAAACATGGTACCTCAGTAGCCCAGGCTGGACTCAAACTCAAGATATATAGCTGAGGAGGACTTTGAATTTCTGATCCTCCTGCCTCTTCCCAGGTGCTAAGATTACAAGCCTGTGCCAGCACACCAATCTGTGTGTTGCTGAGGACTGACACAAGGCCTGCTAAGCAGGCACTCAAACAACTGAGCCACTTCTCTAGCACAGGTCAAAATGTTTCCTTTTCAAAGCTGTATGTAATAGCTCACACTTCTTGGGAGGCAGAAGAGGTGGACCTCTGTGAGTTTGGCCAGCTTGATCTACAGAGTGAGTTCCAGGACAGCCAGAGTTACAAACAAAAAGAAAAAGAAAAAATAATAATTTTTGTTTTAATTCTGATTTCACTAAACGGTAAGTTGTTTGCTACAGTCATGTTTGTGATGGCGAGCTGGGCCTAGAAGTATGAGACTGTCATCCTAGTACTTGAAGGCTTTGACGGAAAACCACCAGTCCAGGTCAACCTATGTTACATGACAAGGCTCTTCCTCAAAACACAAATCTGAACTTAACTATTTTCATTCTTTAATTAAAAGAAGAAAAAAAACCAACAAAGAGAAAAGACCCCTCCCCCAGCTTATAAAAAAGATAATTTAAGAATTCAGTGGAAAAAATAACCTGAAGCAGCAGTCACTCTGTACTATGGTAGCTATTATCAGAATGCTTTTTAAACCCTTTTTAAACTGGTGTGTTTGCATCTACCGTGTGTACGTGCATTTTTTGGAAGCAGAGGTCATTCCTCATAGTCAGTCGCTCATTTGCCTGGAGCTCAACTAAGAAGGTTGGGCTGGCTGGACACTGAGGGCCAGGGATCTATGTGCCTAGGCTCTGCCTCTCTGGCACTGAGATTGTAAGTGCATGCCATCATGAACAGAGGGGTTTTGGTTTGTTTTTCAAAGACTATTTTATATCAAATAAAAATAAAACAAGGGGAAAAAAAACAGGCATTATGGTGCATGCCAACATAATGACAGCATTTGGGATATCGAAGAAAGAGAATCAGAAGTTCAAGGTTATTCTTGGCCACATAAGGAGTTTCAGGTCAGCTAATGTATGAGACTTTTTTAAACACAGGGTTTGGCTCAACAGTAGAACTCTGATCTAGCATGCCCCTTAGCTCTGGATTCAATCTCTAGCACACATACACAAAAAGCAAGCTAAGTCTTAGCTAGAAGACTATAGAAAATCCTATCCTATTTTATGTAGTTCATGCACTGTGGTATAGACCAAACGTTTGTAGTATACATGATGTAATGAATGTCCATAAACAAAAATATATTGTAGTATTTTTTCCAAAATGAATATGCACAAAGCTCAAGCCTAGAAACAGAATAGTACTTTTATTCAGAAGGTTTTTTTTCCCCCCACAAATAAAACAATTATATAACAAGAGTATATGGTGGCTTGGGCCCAGATATTCTGGAGGCAGAAGCAGGAAGATCACCAAGCAGTCCAAAGCCAGCCTGGACTTCTAGTGAGACCCTATCACAAAAACCAAAACATAATTAGTTTACTCACACTAATTCAATTTCATTTTCATGACAACTCTGTAACGACTATCCCATTTCTTAGCTAAAGAAATGGAAGCACAGATGTTAAGTAATTTACAGAAGTCATACAACTGAAAACAGATCATCTGAGGCTTGAGCTTAGCCTCTACGGTGTACCGCAGACTTCTCAACATGACTGATACAGGAATCAAGTGTAGCATCTAATAAATGATCCAGAACATCACCTGACGTAAGCTTGTAAACACGTGAACATTTACCTCTTCAAAAACAGCGCTGGAGAAATCCCCACATCGCAATGTGCCATCATAGCTCAGTGACAGTAGGTGGGCTGGATTGGTGGGTGAGAAGTAAAGACAGCTAACAGGCTGACTATGGGGATAAAAAACATATACTTCATCTTCACATTGCCTGGTCTGGAAGAAAGTTGGGGATGAAGCAAAAGACAAAACCAGTGAAAAGCAGTAATGATTACTATGTCTTTATATCATTAAAGTATTTATACAGGAATTATATTGAATCCTTAGTCTAACTCTGCTCACTCTCCCAGACAACAGAACAAGCAGAACCAGTAACCTTTCTAAAATACGTGTATGTGTGTACAATATGCTCATATAGAGGCCATGACACACAAGTGTAAGTCAGAGGACACCTTGCCAGAGTTATTTCTCTCCTTTCCCAATGAATTCTGAGGTTGAACTCAAGTCATCGGGCAATCATCAAACATCTTTACCCTCTGAGCATCTCACAGGCCCAGAATCAAAACTTGATACTGGAATCCTTTGTTTTTTCATCTTCAGTTTAACGATACCCAGTCACATTAATTTCACATGTGCAGCTTTGGGCAACTATCAAACTAGTTTCTTCTTAACAGAGGCAACAAAAACCCTGCTTCGGCATGCACCTGTGATCATAGCTACTCAGGAGGTTGAGATAGGGGGACCACTTGAGCCAGGGATGGTGAGGGTGGGGATTTAAGGCTTGTCCAAGCAACACAAGACCTCAAAAAAAAAAAAAAAAAAAAAAAAAAAAAAAAAACAGCTGGAGAATTTGCTCAGCAAATAAAATCATTTGCCGCTCTTGCAGAGAACCTGAGTTTGAGACCCAGCACCTACATGAAGCCACACACACAACCAACTGTAACTCTAATGCCAAGGAATGTTGCCCTCTTTCAACCTCAGAGGACATCAGAATTGCGCCTGATGCACATACATACGTGCAGGCAAGACACCCATACATGTAAAACAAAAGTAAAATTTTAATATAAAAGTATGGATTATTTAATATCAAGTGGTCATCTAGAACTGAGCAAATTATATTTAGGAAGATATATGCATATACATGTAACAACAATTAAAAATATAGCAGTCATGAATTTGAGGGGGGCAGGAAAGGTTGGAGGGAGGAAAGAGAAGGGAGAAAATTATTTTCAAAAAAAAATGTAAAAATACAAAGTATGGAACAGTGAGATGGCTCAGTGGGTAAAGGTGCTTGTCACTAAGACATACATGCAGGCAAAACACCCATACACATAGAATTATGTCACTAAAGACAATACATGCAGGCAATACATCCATATACATAAGATCATAAAAATATACTTCAGTTCTGACCAGCAATTCTATTGTTGTGGCTTTTTTTTTTTTTTTTTTTTTTTTGGGAGACAGGCTCTCACTTCTCACTATGCAACCCTGGCTGGGCTGGAACTCAATAAGTACATCAGGCTGCCTCCCAAGTGTTGAAATTAAAGGTGTGAGCCACCATTCCTGACCATGAGCATCATCTTTTTTTATTTATTGAAGATTTGTTTTACAACCAGGTATGGTGGTGCATGCCTTTAATCCAAGCTCTTGGGAAATAGAAGCAGGTGGCTCACTGTGAGTTCTAGGCCAGCCTGATAACATAGCCAAGTTCTAGACATCAGAAGACTACATAGAGACCCTGTCTTAAAAAAAAAAAACAACTTGTTATTTTATCTTATGTATACATGAATGTCTGGTACATGAAGAGGCCAGAAGGCGGCACTGGGTTCCCTAGAACTGGAGTTACAGGTAACTATGAGTGCAAGAGCTCAACAGCTGAGCCACTATCCAGCCCAAGGTCATCAAACCCAGGATTTTATGCAGTGTGGCTGACGCACGCGCACACACACACACACACACGCACGCACGCACGCACGCACGCACGCACGCACGCACGCACGCACGCACTAGAAAGATGACTCAGTGCTTAAGAGCTCTTTCAGAGGATACAGGTCAATTCCCAGCACCCACACGTCAGCTCACAACAGTCTAACTCCAGTCCCAGGGGATCCAACACCCTCTTCTGGCTTCTCTGTGCATCAGGCATGTATAATGCACAGGAATACATGCAAAAACAAAACAAAAAACTTAGCTGCACTTGGTGTCACACCTTTAATCCTGGGACCTGGGAAGCTCAGGCAAGCTGAGCTCTATGATTCCAAGGCCTGCCTGGTCTACATAACCGTCTCAGAAAACAACATCTTAAAAAATAACACACCATGAATATGGAGGAAGACATAACATTCAAACCATAGCAGACCCTATTTTGAACATAATTTAAAAACTTAGACTTTTCACACGCAATTTTTTCACATATACATTTAATGTCTCCTGCCAGATAATTTATGTCCAGATGGCTAAAGATATTCAAGCTAAAAATGTTAAAGTTCTATAAAACAAATTTAAATTCTGCCAGATTTCTAAAAGTTGGAATCATAAAGCACAAAACTACAAATCTCAAGCAACATTTATAAATAATAATTGCTCCAGGCTATTCTCTTTCAGACATTCCCTTCAGGAAGACTTTAGATAATCTCCCAAAAGGTAGTATCAACTTACCAAATCCCAAAGTCCGATTTCCCCAGACTTGGCCCCAGCTGCTACCAAGGTTCTCACTTCTGATGGGTGGAGGGCCACAGAGGAGATTGCACCTCTCGTCACTTTACGAACAGTAGCTTCACTGATGGCCATACCACTTAAATTGGCTTTGTAGCTACAAACATCATTATGTTAAAAATAAAAATCAATCTCAATAGTCCAATATGTAAAAAAAAAAAAAAAAAACTCAAAAAGCACAACTAGTAAATTCTGGCAAATATACAACTTCCTGATGTCAAAAGAAACCAAATAATTCAAGATTATTATTTTCTGATTATAAAATTACTTTTGACAATTTTAATGATAGCAAAACTTAGGAGGCTACAGTTCCAAAATGATGGGGTGGGGATATGGCTTAGCATTAGCAGCCGCAGAGGAGTGTGCTCTGAACACACACAGTGCTAGTGACATGTGCTGCGAGTTAGCGTGCTCTCTGGGGACACAAACTGCTAGTGACATGTACTGCGAGTTAGCGTGCTCTCTGGGGACACACATTGCTAGTGACATGGTCTGCAAGTTCATAGACTTTTAGAAGAAAATATTTTAAAGAAACGATCCAATTGTGTATAATAAGAACCATAAGGATGTCCCCAATGTTTGAATTAGCAGCCCCATGTCTGGAAACCTAAGAAAAGAGTCTACTATTATGTATGCATGCACTTATCCACACACACCTAAACAGAAACTAACTCCAAATATTAAATGGATGGGAGAAGTGTGCTCTAGTAAATGTTCAAATGCCCAAGAAAAAAGACACCATGTGAAACTATATATACATTAGAACATAAGTAAAATGTGAATTCATTTATTCAATGCTGAATATGTACTATAGGCCAAGCAATGTTAGGGTTGAGATAAAGTCTCTGCCTTCATAAAGTTTCCACGCTATCTCAGGCCAGGCCTACTACTGATGGCCTGTAATCTTAGCAACTGAAAAATGAGGATTGTAAAGTCAGGGCCTGACAGCACGCAGGCTTGAATTTTAATTTTCAATGTGACACAATTTAGAATCAGTTGTAAATAAAGACTGTCTAAAATTCAGTTGGCCTGGGAGCACATCTATGAAGAATTATATTGATTACTTAAGAAGATCCATCTAATGTGGTTGGCACTATTCCCCAGGCAGAGAAGCCTGAACTGTGCAAGATGAGAAACAGCAAGGTACAGTGAGGCACCCCTTTAATCCCAACACTCTCAAGGCAGAGGCAGGCAGATCTCTGAGTTCCAGCACAGCCAGGGAAACAGAGAAGCCCTGTCTAGTAAAACCTAAAAAGAATGGAGAAACCGAACTGCACACAGGCATGCATGCATCAACTGTTTTGACTGTGAGCATGTGACTAGCTGTTTTCACACCCCTGCCACCTGGACATTGCCATAGCGGAAGACTGTAACCTGGAATTGTGAGCCAAATAAACCTCGTTCGCCTTCCTTCAATTTGTCAGGGTGTTTTGTCATAGCTATGGGAAAACAAACTGAAACACTAGGCTACAGAATGACTTCAAAGTGATACTTTATCTCAAAAATATAAAATAGTGGAGAAAAGACTCAACAGCTAAGAGCACTTGCTGCTATTCTAGAGGACCCAGGTTCAGTTCTAAGCACCCACATGGCGGCACGCGATCAGTTCCAAGGCAGTCAGAGTCCTCTTCTCACCCTCACGCCCCATGTAGTGCCCTCATGTACATGTAGGCAAAACATTCACACACATAAAGACAAGTATATTAAAATGCATAGAGCCAGGTGTGGCACTGCATGTCTTTAATCACAGCACTCAGGAGGCAGAAGGTAGATCTCTGTGAGTTCAAGGCCAGCCACAATATACAGTGAGACACTTATCTCAAAAAAGTAAGAGAATAAAGTAATATATATGAATAAAAAATAGGGCTAACAGCTCAGTGACAGCACACTCGAAGCTTTAGTTTAACCCCTAACACTATGAAAGGAGGGAGGAAGCAAGCAGTGGCTAGCATAGAGATAGTATGGATGGATTTTTTTTTCCCAACTACTTTCAGGTTTCCTATATTAGTATACAATATAGCCTTTTTTAAAGTCCTATAGACATTTATTCATTTATATGATTGTTCTGTCTTCATGGACACCAGAAGAGGTCATCAGACCCAATTACAGACGGCTGTGAGCCACCATGTGATGGCTGGGAATTGAACTCAGGACCTCTGGAAGGGCAGTCAGTGCTCTTAACCTCTGAGCCATCTCTCTTGTCCCTCTATTATAGCTTTTATACTGCAAGCACCTCAAAAAGTATAAAACAGAGGTCAAAAGTAAAACAAAGGCAAGGGATTTTAACATACCTTTTAACGCTAGACAGCCCCTTCTTGGTCCTCTCACTACTTATCTGCAACATTAAAAAAGACCAAGGACTAAGTTCATGTACACACACGGAAATTTCCTTAGGAGATGACTCTAAAAGCTGAAAGCCTTCCCATGTGATACCTTGCTCATCTCTGCCCACGTCTTCAAAGAAGCTTTGAATAGTTCACCGCTGTCATCTTGGTTTTCAGGAATCATTTCTAAGGGTCCAGGAGGTAACAAAGGCTAAAGAAAAGGCAAAGGTTGTTTGTCGTAGACTATAAACTGATGAAGGGCCAGGGTTTTTGTTCCCATTTTTACTTCTTTCCTTCCAGCATCATAGGCATTTATAAATGGTTGGCTGCTCAAACAGTGCACAGTGGTACCCACGTATAATTCCAGCACTCACGAGGCTGAAGCAGAGTTTCAGGCCAGCTTCAGTTTGATATACTAGAAAAAAGTCTCAGAATTATGCCAAAGCCTGAGATGTATCTCACTTGGCAGAAAGCTTACCTAGCAAGCATGACACAAAGCAGTTACTATGGATTATACCTCTAATCCCAACACTGGCAAGTTGGAAGCAAGATCAAAAATTCAAGGTCACCCTGAACTACACAGTCAGTTCAAGGCCAGCCTACGCTACATGAGTACCCATTTAAAAAAAAAAAAAAAAAAAAAAAAAAAAAAACTATAGCATTTTTCATTTTGTTGCCTTTTTTGGAGGGAGGGGTTCAAGACAGGGTTTATTTGTAGCTTTGAAGCCTGTCCTGGAAACTTGCTCTGTAGACCAGGCTGGCTTGGAATTCACAGAGATCAGCCTGTCTCTGCTTCCCAAGTGCTGGAATTATAGGTGTGCTCCACCAATGCCCACCTTTATGTTTGTGTATGTGTGATGTGTGTATGTACATAACATGTGTATTCACGTGAATGTGGACGCATATACACATACAAGTCAGAACAGCCTCTGGTGTTGGTGGTACTCACCTTCTATCTTGTTTAAAACAGGCTCTGTTGTTACTGCCAGCTGCCCACCAGTTGCTGGAGTTCTCTAGGCTCGGTTGCCCATCCCACCACAGAACTAAATGCATGGTGCCATACTCAGTTTTACACTGGTTCTGGGAATTCAAACTCAGGGACTATTTATTTATACAGCAAGCATTTTGCACACTGGGCCAGCTCCCAAGCCCAATCCTCACCAGTTTGATCATATATCAACACAGTATTAATTGCTACCACTTACTAATTACTTTCTAAACCCTTAATATAAAGAGCTTTATGGATCCTATTTCATTTCATCCTTACAACAACCTTTGATATTTCCTTTTCTCTTTATTCTAGGTACTCTTACTCACTTGCTCAGGTAGTCTTGAACTATGTAACCCAGCTCCCCTCAAACTGGCAATCCTCCTGCCTTAGCCTCACAAACACTGCAATTACACATGTGATCCACAACACCATTTTTTTTAATGCTGAAACTGAAACTCACAAAGAGCAAATAATTTACCCACACACAACTTCCTGCAGAAATACAGACTATTACCCAGTGTTAACAACTCAACTCGAAGTATTATTTAATCATACAATATCTAAGTATTAAATTAATAAAATTAAAACAAAACAAAAAACCATCAGTCTAATTTCAAATACTTGAACTTTTTCAATATTTGATTAAGCTAAGTAGACTGCATTTGCACTTTTTCTTACATTTTCTTCTTCGTCTAACGTTGGCTCTGTCAGAGCTGCTGGCAATGAAACTCCCAAAGGGTCTACTTTTAACAATCGCATGGACCTTCGACATCCAATCTCATTTTCTTTCTTCTTAGGCCTCTTTCTAAAGGAGCAAATGAAATATTCATGTTTTTCTCACTGACAGTAAAATGTATTCAGTAACTTGCTAAAGATTTTTTTACTTATTTTGATATCTATGTATGCATGTATGGTATGTATGTATGTGGGCCAGCAAGATGGTTCAGTGGACAAAAGGGCCTGCAGCCAAGGCTGGGACCCACACAATGGAAGGAATGTCAGTTCCCACAAATTGTCCTCCGACTGCCACACTGTTGTAGATGCACACACCCACACCCATACACACAAAATAAAATGTAATGAAATTTTGAAAGAAAAATCTCAGACAAATATGAAAATAGCATATCATAAGCAACAGAACACTGGGGTATGACAGCTCAAGGGGCTGAGGTGGAAATATCTCTGGTTCATTAGTTCAAAGCAACCTGTGTTACATGCTATTTCATGTCAACTTGTTAAATTTCATGCAGTTAAAAGCTGCCATGTGGGTGTTGGGAACCAAACCCAGGTCCTCCGCAAGTACTATTAACCACTCAGCCATTGCTCCAGCCCAAAATTTGTCCAAATTCAAAGGCTGTGTTCTCTTTTCCGTATAACCAACATACTATCAACTTGGTTCAAAGGCCTCTACAAAAACTAAGTGCCAGAACCTTCAGACTCCAGTGACTTCAAAATAAACCACTAAATGGTTTGCTAACAATAAAATAAACAAAGTAGACATGACAGCATATGGCATAACCCCAGCACTAGACAGGTGGAGGCAGGAAGATAAGGAACTTGAGACCTGCCTGGGCTACAAGTCAAAGTCTCAAATTTCAAATCCTCATCAAAATATCATTGTCTAGCCAACATCAGGCACATCTTTTACCTCTTCAATTCAGGAGGCTGTCTCTTCTTTATCATTTCACGGAGCCTTGCAGCTGACTGAAAAGCACACAAAATATACATTCATATGAAAATGCTACCATATAACTACACTGTATACCCATTAAAATATTAAGCATCTGCTACTATATTCAGGTTTATTTAGGAAATATAGATTTTTAAGAACTGATACTTTTTTCCTGATAATAGCCATGAGATAAATACACCATCAATAATAAAAGCAAGGGGCTGGAGAGATGGCTCAGAGGTTAAGAGCACTGACTGCTCTTCCAGAGGTCCTGAGTTCAATTCCCAGCAATAATGGTGGCTCACAACCATCTGGTGCCCTCTTCTGGCATGGAGGCAGAACACTGTATATAAAATAAATGAATAAATCTTAGAAAAAAATAATAAAAGCAAGTATATAACACCATCTAATATACTGGTACCCAGAGCCAACCGCTTCTGAGTTCACAGGACTAAATACGGTATTTAATCAAACATACTATTACATGGCTGGCAGGATGGCTCAGTAGCACAGCACTTGTCTAAAATGCACAGGCTTGGTTTCAATCCCAACATTGTAAAACCAAATTAAAAAAAAAAAAAAAAAAAAAAAAAACACTAATAAGCAAAGACAGATAGGTGGCTCACACCTATCTATAATCCCAACATTCAGGAGGCTGAAGTAGGACAAATGTAGTAAGTTCAAGACCAGCCTGGCACATATAGCAAGACTCTCAAAAATCAATCAGAGCTAGTAAGATAGCTCGATCCGTAGAAACACTTGCTGTCAAGGCTGCTGACCTGAGTTCAGGCACCAGGACCCACATGGGGGCAGGACAGGACTGACTCCCAAAAGTCGTCCTCCGACCTCCACATATGCGCCGTAACATGCAGGCATACCCATTCACTCTGCCCTTCTCTACCTCTCTCTCTCTCTCAAAATTAAATGTTAAGAAAACTTAAAAAAGTAATAAAACATGGGCTGAGCATGTTAGCACATACCTCTAATCACAGCACTGGGAGGAAGAGGCAGGTAGAACTGCGTTTGTGACCAGCTTAATTTACACAGTAAATTCTAGGCCAGCAGAGTAACACCGTGAGACTTTTTCAAAAACAAAAAAGATAAAACATGCTCACATATAAACACACACAAAAGATATACTCCTACCCATTGATACACAAATTATAGAATCCAATCTATGTAATACTGGACAATCTATATAATGCTGGACTGAAACCTATTTGGACATTTTCCACAAAAGTTGTAGGCTATATTTTTCATAACTAAAATTATGACTTTGTAATGATTTTTGTTGTTGTTATTTTTCAAGACAGGGTTTCTCTGTATAGCCCTGGCTGTCCTAGAATTTGCTTTGTAGACTAGGTTGACCTCAAAATCAGACATTCATCTGCCTCTGCCTCCCGAGTGCTGGGATTAAAGAAATGTACTGCTGCCAGCCAGATGTAAGAGTTATTTTTATTTCACGAGGGTTTTGCCTCCAGGGATGTAAGTGCCCCTTGGGTATCCAGGTACCTGCAGAGGCCAGAAGAAGGTATCAGACCCCCAAAAAGTAGAATGGCAAACACTGTGAGCCACAGGTGGGTGCTGGGAATTGAAGCTCAGCATGGTGGAAGAGTAGCCAGTGCTCTTAACAGTCATCTCTCCAGACACCCAAATCGTAGTTTTGATTAATTAAAATCATAAGCACACTATGTAAATTGTTTTCTTTCTTTTTTCCTGTGGTCCAGGCTAGCTCTGGACCTGCTATGTAATCAAAGTTAACCCTGATCTACAGAATGAGACTTTGCCTCAAAAACAAAGTAAAACAAAAAACCCAAAGCCAGGTATGGAAGCCCTGGAGAGGTGGAGGCAGGCTAATCCCTGGGGCTCACTGATAGCCAGCCTAGTCTAACTGGCAAGCAGAGTTCCAGTCAAAGATCCTGGCTCAAAAACAAGGTGGATGGATCCTGAGGACAACATTTAAGGTTGACCTCTGGCCTCCAAACATCTACGCACCAAAAAGAGTGAAAAAAGATGCCTAGAGTCAATTAAAGATGGTAGTATCTATTAGGAATCATGAACTAAGCTGTATGGGGATGGTGCTCAGAGGTAGAGCTTGCACAGCATGTACAGACTCCTGGATCTGATCCAGCACAGCCAAAGAAGAAACAGAAAATATATGAATCAGAACATGATTCTTCAGATTTATCCCACACCATCTTCTTTCAACGAATTATATATTAAGGGACTGGAGAGATGGTTTAGCAGTTAAGAGCGCTGAGCTCAATTTCCAGCAACCACAAGGTGACTCACAACCATCTATAATTGGGATCTGATGCCCTCTTCTGGCATAAAAGTATATATGCAGATAAAGCACTCAAAATAAATCTTTTTTTAAAAAAAAAAAGAGATGGCTCAAAGATTAAGACCACTTGACTGCTCTTCCAGAGGTCCTGAGTTCAATCCCCAGCAACCATATGGTGGCCACAACCATCTCTAATGAGATCTCATGTCCTCTTCTGGTGGGCAGACAGACATGCAGACAGAACACTATACATACTGTAAATAAATCTTTAAATAAAAATATATTAAATCCAACTGGGAACCTCTTCATTAAATTTTTGTTTGTTTGTTTGAAATAGTTTCACATAGCCTAAGCTGACCTCAAACTTACATGTATGACCTTGAAATACTATTGTACAGGGGCTAAGGAGATGACTCAGTGGTTACAAGTACTGGCTACTCTTCCAGACAACCTGGGTTCAATTCCCAGCACCCACATGGCAGCTCACAGCTATCTATATCTCTAGTACCAAGGAATCTGACACCCTCACACGGATATACATGTAAGTAAAACACCAATAAAACAGAAAAGTTGAAGGAAGGAAGGAAGGAAGGAAGGAAAGAAGGAAGGAAGGAAGGAAGGAAGGAAGGAAGGAAGGAAGGAAGACTATTAAATACTATTATCTACCTCCACCTCTCAAGTTGTGGGAGTTAGCATACAGCACCCACCAGCAGGCTCACAAAAGTGTCTTTAACAGGACACACAAAGAAAAACAAGCACATGCCTTTAATCTCAGAATTTAGGAGACAGAAGCAGGCAGATCTCTAAGTTCAAGGCCAGTCTGGTCTACAGAGTGAACTATAGGACAGCCAGGGATTGATGGATAACTTGTCTTTAAATAAACAGATGGATGGATAGATGGATGAGTGGATGGTTGGATGGATGGATGGATGGATGGATGGATGGGGATGGATGGATGGATGGACAGACGGAAGAAAAGAAGAAAAAGGAAAGCCAAGCTGGATGTGGTGGTGTGCCTCTTTAATCTCAGCACTCAGAAGGTGAGGGGCAGACATGTCACTGTAAATTCACGGCCAGCCTGGTTTATACAGTGAGTTCCAAGGTGCTCTGTCTCAAAACAGTAGGAGGAAGACAATGACCACAATACCATCTAACCTTATACCACTATGGAAAATCATTACCTAATCATCTTATCTTGGTTTTCATCCAAATGTCATACATACCTCAGATAACTGAAGGGAAGCAAAAAAGTTTGCATTCTCTCTGATGTTCTTCAATCTCTTCCTTTCATAAGATGACAATCCTGAAAAATCATCCTAGAAAATACACCCAAAAGATCTGTTACTTCACACATTAATAGCAAAAATAACACACAAAACCAGATTCTTCAATCTCTACCCAGGTATTTCCCTTCAAATTGCACAGAACCTCTAATTATTTCATGTTATCTAACAAACAGCCCATAATCTTTGCCAGACAGGATATTAAAAGAATCTGATCCTACACAGTTATATAAGATTGTGGTGGTGCACTTCTTTGACCCCAGCACTTGAGAGGCAGACGCAGAAAGTTTGAGGCCAGCTTGGTCTCCATAATGAATTCCAGGACAGCCAAGGGCTATGTAGAAAGACCCTGTCTCAAAGAAAAAAAAAAAAAAAGTAATCTAATATCAGCAGTCAAATGGCATGCCCTTATAAGAAAACTATTTCCTAGCAGCCAAAGTTACTTTTATTAAAAAATAGTAGTAGTAGCCAGGTGGTGGTGGTGGTGTACACCTTTAATCCCAGCCTGCTTTACAGAGCAAGTACCATGACAGTCAGAGCCATTACACAGAGAAACCCCACCTCAAATAATAATTAATAATAAAACCTCCATTTTAAAAAAATTAATAAATGCATGTATGGGTGGTTCACATCTTCAATCCTAGCACTGGACAGCAAAGACAGGAGGGACCCTGGGGTTCATGCCAGTCAATGTAGACATCAATGAACTCCATGCTCAGTAAGAGAACTTGTCTCAAAAAGTAAGGTCAAGATCTATAGAGAAAGCCAACCAATGTCAACTTCTGACCTCTATACACACACACAAACACACACACAGAACCTGTACACACACATGTATGAGCTACACACAAAACATTGTTATCTAGCTGTAATAATATACACCTATGACCTTAACTCCTCAAGAAGCCAAGGCGATGGGATTGTGAGCTTAGAAACCAACACAGGGGCTGAAGACAGAGCTGTTTGTCTACAACTTCACTTGCCTAAAACACACACACAGCCTTGGGTTCACTCCCAAGAACTGCAAAACAAACCTAGGCTTAAAGTCAACATTTGGGAGGTAGAGGTAAGATGACCAGAAGTTCAAAGTTATCCTCAGTCACATGCCAGGTTCAAGCCCAGGACATAAGAGACCCTGTCTCCAGAAACAACAAAAGGACATATTTCTAAAGAAAATTTAGGACCTAGGGATTAGCCTAGTAGGAAAGCAAGAATTTAGCATATTCAAGCCCTGGGTCCAATCCAAGATCCAATGGAAAGCCAGGCATAGTGGCACATGCCTGTGATCCTAGTAAGAGAATCAGGTGTTCAAAGCCAGCTTGGGCTTCATGAAACTTGCTCTCAAAATCCAAATACCAGGAAGACTAGCGGCTAAGAAGTCAAAAGCATCTGCCACCAAGCCTGGTAACCTGAGTTCAATTCTTGGGACCCACATGGCGAGAAGAGAACCTTCTCCAGCAAGTTGTCCTCTGACCTCCACACATGCCATAGCATGTATATACAACTACTCTGCCCACTTCCTCCTACTGCACACAAATTAATAAATGCGAAAAATTAAAGCACAAATATCTAAGTATCCTTCAGGACTGGTTTAACTGGGCTGGGGTGCAACCTGGGTATTAAGGGTGCAGGGTCTTAGCCCAAGCATGGAAGGCTAAGTGCACCACTCGGCCATTCCCCAGCCTCCCAGGATCCCAGAGACAATCAGATGCTTTGGGGAGTCTAGTCAAGCAGGAACTCATTTAGTCCCCCATAGCAAGCAAAAAACCACAGGGCGGGAAAACAGCCAGCCAATGGTTTTAAAGGTCAACCTATCAAGCGCCTAGACGCCTTTATGCTTTACCTACTGATCATGCAGTGACCTAATCTGATTCGGTCTTGGGAACCAATCACATTTTTTTGTAAACATCTCAGGACTGGCCCTTCTGACTTCCCCTCAGCACCATCTTTGACTGGCCCGTGTGCCTTTCAAAGGGGTTTATTATTAATATTACTACATCTTTAAATGTCAGGACAGCTTTCAAGAGCTGATTCTCTCATACTATGTGGGTCCTAGAGATTGAACTCAAGTCATCATCCTTAACAGCTGGCACCATCACCCACTGAACCATTTCCCTGGGCCAAATTTTAAAAAAAAACATGGGAGGGGGAATTACAAGGAAGCATTAAACTGTTTTTACTTCATAATAATAAATTCATATTGAGCTAATAACCTTTTTAAAATTTATTTTTATATGCACTGACATTTTTGCCTGCATGAATGTCTGTGCAAGGGTGCCAAATCACAGGCAGTTGTAAGCTGCCATGTGGGTGCTGAGATTGAAACTGGGTCCTCTAGAAGCGCAGCCAGTACTCTCTAGCCCCCTCTAAGGACTTTTTCGTGCTTGCCTCTTATAACCAGTTCTGATGAACATACTACACATTACACTTCATCAAAATTCATCAAAGGGTGGAGGATACCACACAAGTTCCAACATAGATAAAAGATAAAATTCAAAGCTGTGGCATATACTCTCAGCACTAGGGAAGGTGGGACAGAAAGTTACTACAAGTTCAAAGCCTACATGGTCTTACATAGTGAGACCTTGTCTAAAAAAGAAAAAAGTGTTCAGAAGCAACACTGTAAAAATGTTTCTGAATGAAGCAGGACATGAGATGGTACTGAGTGGAGGGCATTTGCAATCTTTGGTTTATAGTGAGAGAAATTTTACAATTCTGATACAGCTTGAGCTGAACTTTTCATATGTGAAGGGAAAAAGGAGCACATTAAGTATAGCGCTACTGAATAAAATCTTATGTTCCAAAGTCAGTCAATAGGAAATGGAAGTGGGGATAGGCTTGAAGGTCGTCTCTCTTTGAGACAGGGGTCTCCTTGTGTAGCCCAGGCTGGCTTGAAACTCTCTCCACCTGCCTCGGTCTCTGGCATTCTGAGAGTGCTGTCATTACAGGCATGGGCCACCAAATTCACTAGCTTCAGTATTTTGAACAGTCATCAGGATTAGAAAGGCATCAGGAAAGTGTTGGCTGCCTTGTTTTTGTAAACATGTGTGCTTATGTTTAGAATTATGTGTGCATGTACACATACACACGTGAAATTATCTTAATGCATATTTATTACTTTGGTCAAAATAATCTTCTCAAAGTGAAACTGCAATGTTTTTATTTGTGATTGCTTTGCTTGGTTTTGTTGAGACAGGGTTTCACGTTGAGACAGGTATGTAGTCAAGAATGACCTTTAACTTTGGGTCCTCCTGCCTCCACCTCCCAAGTGCTGGCACCTTTATAAGTGAACATGCACCACCTAGGAATAGTAAGATACTCCTAACAGTGAGGGGTGCTGTGCTCCACTCGCCTGCCACCACAGAAAAGACATGGGGTTCAATTCCTGATACCACATACATCAAACAACAAGTAATAACAAAATACACAGGGCTGAAGAGATGACTTAACAGTTCTAAGTGTTCTCTGAGAGGCTCTCATAACCAGCATACACATACACACACACACACACACACACACACACACACACACACACACACACAAAGAATTAAATCCATCAATCAATAAATAAATAAATAAGCAAATAGTGTTTTTTGCAATCTAGAAGAGAATGCTAAACAGTTAACTACTCTTTCAGAGGACCTGAGTTCAGTTCTCAGTATCCATATTGGGAAGCTCACAGCTATCTATAATTTCCAGCTCTGGACTCCTCAAACATCTACACACACACTCTCTCTCACACACACGCACACACACACACTAATGAAAAACAAATTTTCAAGAGAAAATAGCCTGAGTGTGGTAAGAATCCAAAACCTCTGGACTCTTCAGACAACTGCACATGCGTACACACACACACACACACACACACACACACACACACACACACTAATATCTTTAAAAAAAAAATAAATCTTCAAAAGAAATAGCCTAAGCATGGTGGCACAAGCCTTTATGCCAGCACATAGGAAGCAGAGGCAGGCAGATCTCTCGGAATTTCAGACTTGCCTAATCTACACATGGGGAGCTCCAGGGCAGCCAAAGTAATACTCCATCTTAAAAGAAAAAAGAAGTGGCCAGTGGACAATGGAGCAAAGGCTTCAAAGATATACTAAGAAACCCTGACCTGAAAAACACACAAACAAATAAACATAAAAGGAAAATGTAAGTCAAGCACAGTACTACATGCCTTTAATCCCAGCACTTGGGAGACAGCGGCAGGCAGATCTCTGAGTTTAAGGTCAACCTATTCTGCAGAGTGAGTTCCAGGACAGCCAGGCCTACACAGAAAAACCCTCTCTCAAAACACCAAAAAGTAAATCTTTAAAATACAATTATAAAACATACCACTATTGCTAAATTCCTTCCCTAGAGGAAGCATAAGCAACAGCTACCCATTCCTCTAAGGTCCCAAGGACAAGCTGAGGCACAGTCCCACCACAATGCACTCTGGGGATCCAATGAGCTCACTAGAGTTACTTACAGGAGAGTGGATGCTCCTATGCTTTACCCAGCATATGATGACTTTCCTATGGCTGAAGAGATGAGGCACTCTTCTCTATCTCTAACTAGTCTATACACACAGTAGCCCCTCCTGGGAACCTCATGCAGTTAGGGCACAAACAGGTAATAGGGACTAACTAGCTGGATCCTCTGCCTCTCCATGAGGGGTCATGACTGCCTAAATAGCCAATATGGCCAGCTGGGATTATCTTTTTCAAGCAGGCACAGCTGAATGCTCCAAAATGGGGAGTTGTTTGGCTCTGAGGATAATCTTGTACAACTAAAAGATATCTGAGGACTAGAGAAGGCTCAATGGGTAAAGTGGCTGCTATTGAAGCATGATGACCCCCAGCACCACATAAAGTCGGGCACAACAGCACAGGTCTATAACCCCATTGCTTCAAGAGTAGAAATGGCTGATGCAGAGGCTCATTGGCCATTCAGTGTAACCACAACAGCTGAGCTTTAGATTCAGTAGGAGATTTAAGAGAGGGAAAGAGAGAGAGAGAGAGAGAGAGAGAGAGAGAGAGAAGGTATGGAGAAAAGACATCCTCTGACCTCTACACCAACCCACATAGTGAGTGTGCCTGCACACACATGCATATTGCACAGGGACACACACAAGTGAGTTTGTATGTCACAAAATTAGAAAGGGGATCATGAGAGGAGAAAGAAACATCTTTCAAGAGATGATGAATGCTAGAGTAACAGAATTTATTTAATAAGAAAGCAAAGAGGAGCTGGTTGGTAGTGGTGCACACCTTGAGGGTGTCTGTGAGTTCGAGGCCAGCCTGATCTACGGTCTACAAAGTGAGTTCCAGGACAATCAGAGCTGTTGTATAGAGAAACCCTATCTCAAAACAAAGCAAAGAAGGGAACCAACTGCAGAGAAAAGTAAACAGCTGGGAGGACTGTAGGAAAGGGGAATAAATGAGAACAATGTATAGTAACATGTATGAAACCCATAACATGTATGAAACCCATTATTACACAGTTTAACCTGAACACTTGAAATTTTTTTTCTTTCTTTTACACTAAGTTTTTTAAAACTAACTTTGTTTTCCTCTGTGTATTTAGACTCACAGAGATTGGCCTGCCTCTGCCTCCAGAGTGCTAGGATTAAAGGTGTGCACCACCACCAAAGCCCGGCTTTAAATTGGTATTTCTTAAACTAGGCTGCAGGATGACTCAGCAATTAAGCCCACCTGCTGCTCTTCCAAAGGACAACAGTTTAGTTCCCAGCACCTACACAGGGCAGCTCATAACTGCTCAAAAGTCCGGCCCTGGGAAATCCCACAGCCTCTTCTGGGGTGCTCAGACATCAGCACACACATAGCACATACACACACAGATACACAGCAGTAGAAAGTTTTGTTTTGTTTTTCTTTTTCTTTTTTGTTTGCTTGTTTTTTGAGACGGGGTTTCTCTGCGTATCCCTGGCTGTCCTGAAACTCACTCTGTAGACCAGGCTGGCCTCTGCCTCCTGAGTGCTAGGATTAAAGGTGTGTGTCAGCACTGCCTGGCTCGAGTAGAAATCTTAAAATTAGTAAACTAACACAAAGTTTCTGCACCTTCTTCTAGCCTTCAGGCATACATGCAGACAAAACACTGTATATATAATAAATAAATCTAAAAAAAAAATTAGAAAAAAATGATAAGCTAAGGGAGAAGTACAAATTCCCTAGGTTTCTGTCTTGGAAGTAGTGTCTGACTACAGAGCACCACAGACTATAGCCAGGCCAGCCTCGAACTTGTGATCCTCCTGCCTCAGACATATACACACTCCTGTGCAGACACACCCAAGCACACACATACTACACAGAAAAACATTTTTAAATTTACATTAGATAACAAAACAAATTTTGCTGGAGATCCTTCACCACCTTAGCTTTCAGAACTTCTCATTTCAAAGTGAGAAGACAATTAGAGCTAAGTAAACTCTTACCAGGCCTGGTGCACTATCCTCGTCACTGCTTCTCATGTCCACACTGAGAGCCACCGGCTCTGCTGGGCTCCTGTGTTCCAGCTCACTTTCAGAATAAGCATCCACAGGTGGTTTCAGCAGAAGGGACTCTGCCTTGGAAGACACGGCCTTCATCTCTGAAGTTAAAACCCTTCTACAAGCTTTCCTCTGGGCAGTCTTCTCAGGAGCCACGGCATTGTTAGAATTGCTTTCACATGGGGATGTAGACAACTTAAATAGTACTAGCTTGGAATTGCTGAGCGAAAATGGGGAAAGATAAACCTTAGCTGCTTCCCCTGAAGTTGTAGTCTGTATCGGTCTCAAAGAAGTATAAGCACTATTTCCATTTTCTTTATATTCATTCATCTAGTGGGGCAATAAAGGAAAAGATATTGAGGTTTAATAAGGATCAGAAGAAACAAATAGGCCGAACAGATGTTTATTCAGGGAGCAATAACTTACAACATAGACAGATGAACACCAGCAGGTTCCTGGTCCCAAGGATGCCTCAAGATGCTCTCTTGTTCCATGCTGCAAGCAAGGGAGCTCCTAGGCCCCCTCCCCAGACTTAGTTCCCCCAGGTAACGGCTGCCCCTGTCCCCACCCCCAAAGGGCGTGGTCAGTGCCGCTGGTGTGGACAAAGTGAATATCTCACTACAAAGAGTATTAGAAATCCCAGATCATATGCTCTTCCTTACAAGACACTAAGCAAATCTAATTCCTACTTCATAGTAACAACATGATTCAAACTGATGACCTGTTAGGAAATTTTTCCCTCCTCCAAAATCTGGGTATTTCATTCTCTAACCTGAATGGAATTACTGAAGGCACATTTCTTAATCACAAGTCTGTAACTGAGGTAATTACGCCAAAGTTCACATTCGAGTTAGCGGTAATTGCTTAAAGCTGACAGTAACTGCTACAAAGCAAAGGCAGACTAGCCTCAGACTCAAGAGTTCCACCTGCCTCTGCCTCCAGAGTGATGGGATTAAAGGAGCTGGTAAAACACTTTCCTCAACTCTTAACGACCTAATTTTCTCTTTTAAGAAAAAGACAGGAACACAGCTTTTCCTTGGTGCCAGGTGCCAGAGTCTAACAGGTCCCTCCTGGGCCAAACCAGGTCTCACCTGCACCTGAGAACCTTTTCCTCAGCTTCTGCCTTGCACCCTTATATCTTTCTGCCCCTGAGCAGCTGGGCTCTTCCCGCTAGAACCTGGGTGGGATTGGGCGGAGCCTCGTGTGGCGTCATCGGACCCGAGGGAGGAGCCTCCGTGGCCCAGGAGGAAGAGCAGTCTGGACTAGGGCATAACCCTTTAGGCACTTTTTTTGTTTAGTATCCTTGATCGCTCACCGCTCTGGCCATTGATAGTCTACCACTAAACCTGCAGCTTGCCTTTCGGGTTGTACTGGCTGACAGCAAGCTCCAAGGATCCGCCTGTCTCCACCCCCTCAATGTGTCCAGGGTGCTGCAGGCAGGGCAAACACACTAGCACTATAGCTAGCCTCCTAATCCTACTCCTCAGCTTCCTGAATGTGGGACCCAGGATCCCAATGGACACTTAATTGGGTTCTGTAATATTGAGACTAGCAGTTCCAGAGATCTTGCTTTGAAAAATACTGGCTGGCCAGGTGTTTGTGGCACACGCCTTTAATCTCCCAAAGCAAGCCGGCCTAGTCTACACAGTGAGTTCCAGGACAGGCTCCAAAGCAATACAAAGAAACCCTGTCTTGAAAAACCAAAACAAAAACCAAAAAAAAAAAAAAAAAAAAAAGGAAAGGAAAAAAGAAAGAAAGCTCTTTAGAAAAACACCAGGCCTGTGGTTTGCATCATGACCCTGAAAAAAGATCCATACCCTCATAAATGCCATAAGGATTAGAAAGCAAATGAACTAAGAAATCAATAAACACCCTGGGAAAAATGGCACAGTCGATTAAGTGCTTGCATTAGGACCTGAGTTTGATCCCCAGCATCCAAACTAAAAAGCTGAAGTTACAATCCCAGCATAGATGAGGCAAGGCAAGTGGAGTGTTGAGGCTTCATGGCTAATAAGACTTACTTAAACACAGAGCCCCAGGTCCAAGAGGCACTGTCTCAAAAACAACTAGACACAGAGAGACTCAAAGGGTAAGCTGGTGGTTTTACTCTGATTCCCAGAGCCCACATAAAGACGACTTCTCTTTGCTGTTCTATAATCTTCATAGGACCACCACCAAGGCACACACCGTGCACACCAATAACCATAGGAATAAGAATTTTTTAAAGATGGACAGCTCCTAAAGGACATCCATGCACACAAATGCACAACCCTTTCCCCTATGCACTGAGATGTTCACACACCATACACACAATGTCAACATTCTACCTTTACTTTTGCCCTCTTCCTTGCAATACCACTACTGGGAAATTACCCGACTGCTACTGTATTTTTTAAACTGTAGTAAGGGGAGCAGCTAAGCATGATAGCCCATGCCTGTCATTCCTAATTTGGGATGTGGAAGCAGGTGGATCAGAAATTCAAAGTTGTCATCAGCTATATAAGCAGTTCAAGGGAGGCCTGAACCACAATTACTCCTGTTTCAAAATAGAGGGGAAATAAAGGGGAAAAAAAATATATATATATATATAGTTGCTTATTTCTAATAACTGAAAATGCTGGTTTAAATTGCACTTGACTGTCTGTTCACCTGTTTTCGACTAAAGAAAACCATAGATGGCCAGTGGTGACAATGGCCTGTAACCTATACTCAGTATACTCAGCACTGGTGTCACAGAGAAGACAGCAAGTAAGAATCCAGTCAGTAAGGTCCGGCAGTGGTGGCACATGCCTTTAATCCCAGCACTTGGGAGGTAGAGGCAGGTGGATCTCTAGGATAGAATGCAGCCTAGTCTACTGAGTGAGTTCCAGGACAGCCTGCAAAGCTACAGAGAAACCCTGTGTCAAAAAAAAAATCCAGTCAGCCTGGGCTACATAACAGGACGTTGTCTGGAGGCAGTGTCTAAGAGGACTTTAAAGGCAAAACAGACTGGGAATGTAACTCTGTAGAATGTTACAACAGTAGAATCTACAACATACAAAGCCCTTGAATTCTATCCTACACCACATAAAACCAGGCCTGGTGACCCACACCTGTAATCTCAGCTGCTCTAAGCTGGTGAACGAAGGAAAATGATCCTCCACTATTTTGAGAGGCCAGATCTGCACATATATAATGTCTCAAGTAAAAAAAAAAAAAAAAAAAAAAAAAAAGCTAAAAGCATCAGAATGTCGACATTACCAAATAAGATTTCTATACACTGTCTTTCATAAAGCCTGGGCCTTATTAAGCCTTTCCTTGGATTCCCTTGAGTTACCATGAACCAAACATTTAGCTCCCTAGATAATTCCAAGCTAAGCCTCACTCAGAATAGGCAAGTGATCTACTGCACCCCCAGTTTAGGAACTAATACGTTCATAATATAAAACCTCTCCCTCTCCCTCCCCCTCCCTCTCTCTCTCTCAAAACAGGGTTTCTCTATGTAACAGCCCTAGCTGTCCTGAATCTAGCTCTGTAGAGCAGGCTGGCCTCGAATTCAGAGATCCACCTGCCTCTGCCTCCTGAGTGCTGGGATTAAAGGCATGTGCCACCACTGCCCAGCTTCATAATATAAAATTTCTATATCCAGTGAAGTGACACACCTGTGTGTATAATCCTAGCAATTCAGAAATCGAGGATGAAAGACATACCAAAAACAAACAAACAAATAATAAATAAATAAATAAATAAATAAATAAATAAAACAACCTGCCTGGGCAACATGGCAAAACACAGTCTCAAAATTAAAAGAAGAATGAAGATTTCCATCTATGCTTGCCTTTTAAGGCTTTTCTACTGCTTAGGCTTTGTCATTGTTTCGTTAATTGTATGCCCTCACTAATTTAAAGTTTGCCAATTCCCTGTCTTCAACCAGCAAGAGCCCATTGCAGAAAACAAGTGAAAATTTTTGACAATTATATTAATAGTACCTTCAAGGTCCTCTATAATATAGTACTCCCAGAATGTTCACTTTGTAGACCAGACTAGCTTCAATCTCTCGGAGATCCGCCTGCTTCAACCTCCCGATTGGGCTTGCTCCGACCAACAGATGGCCCCTAAGGGATTTTTTTATTTTATTTATTTTATTTTATTTTAAGTCAGGATCTCATTCTGATGCCCAGGCTAGCCTCCAAAACGCGGCAATCCTGTTTCAGCCTACCAGACGCCAGGACAAGCGTGACCCACATATCCGGCTCAAACTCTACACTTCTGAGGTTTCAACAATATGCACAAACAGCCCCTCACTATCTGCTCGGTGTCTCCAGAACATAGCAAATGAAACCTTTAAGGGCGAACCTTCCTGGGTCTTACCAAAACGCCAAAGAAGCAACTGCCCGCCAAAAGGAGCCTCCAAATCTTGAGAGGTTAAAGGCGGGAAAGTTACCTACGAAAACGCGTAAACTTCAGCCTAGCCCTTTAAGCAGTTCACGCTCGGCGTTCCTCCAAGATCCCACAATCCTTTGCTGGCATTTTTCCGGTTCCTCTAGCTCTGCCGGAAGTCGTTTCTGTCAGTCGCGCAGCAGTGTCTGGCGGCGCTGGGTGGGAAGTGCTGTTGTGTTCCTTGGACTTCGTTGTTGGGATTTAACGAAATTTTGGGAGTCTCTACCACAGCCCTCACCATGTCGGTCCCAAGCGCACTCATGAAGCAGCCGCCCATTCAGTCTACGGCTGGGGCCGTCCCAGTTCGCAATGAGAAAGGTACCGGCTCCCCTCTCCTCCTGCCTGATCTTACCTCTTACGGCTTAAGTATCCCGCAAACCTGCCTTAGGGCGGCCCTATCAGCCCCACTGACTCTGAAGACTTAGCCTCAGTTTCTTCCTCCGTCCCACCTAAATTCTCACCCTGTCATGTAGCCTAGAGATTGGGGGATGCGGGATCCGCTTGCATCTATCTGATCGACCTGGTGCTCTCTCAAAGTAAAAAGTAAAGGAGGCTGGAGAGGTGGCGGCTCAGCGGTTAAGAACACCTACTGCTTTTTCAAAGGATCCTAATGCAGTCGCCAGCACCGAATGCAGTCGACAGGCGACTCAACAACTACCCGTAACCCCAAATCCAGGGAGATCTAAACCTCTGGCCTCTGCTGGCACCAGCATCGCCAAAAATAATAAAAAAAACAGGGCTACAAAAATGGCTCAGCCCTTAAAGGCTAGACTCAACAACCAAAACAATAACAAAGTTTAAAAAATAGGGAAAAAGTGAGCAGGAGGCCTTACTATGTATGTTACATCCAAAGCTACCTTTGATTTGCCCAGTTTGGTTGTAAGGGTTTCCTCATGTTATGAATATAATTCGTTTGTTTTTGTTCTTTTTCTGGTCACTGGAATTGTTTATTATATGTGTATGGGTGTTCTGTGTTTGTGTATGCATGCCACCATGTGAGTTCAGTACTCAGAACAAAAGAGAGCATGAGATCCTCTGCATGAGCAACAGGTACTCTTAGCTTCTGAGCCATCTCTTCAGCTCCAACTTGTTTGTGCTTTAGAGGAGAATGTCTGGGTCAGTATAAAAGCTAGAAGAAAAGAAGGTACAAATTGATAAAATTAGAATATTAAATTATGTTGTGAAGGCTCTCATAGCCCCTCAGAGGGAGGAGTTAGGGCAATGCTTTGCTTACTGTGCCTGAGTCAGACACCTAGCGTCCTTGTAGCTGAACTAATGTAGCTGAAACAGCAAGCATCAAGTTCAGTGAGAGACTAAAAAAAAAGGCTGAAAGTGGTATCACACACCGTTAAGCACAGCACTCAGTAGGCAGAGACAGACACATCTCTGTAAGTTTGAAAGTGTGAGGACAGTATGGTCTACTTACCCAGTTCCACACCTACCTGGTCTAAATAGGGAGACCATGTCTCTGAAAAAAAAAAAAAGGTATTTGGGCTGGAGGGATGGCTCAGTGTCTAGGAGTATTTCTTGCTCTTACAGAGGACTGTGTGGCTCAGTCATCCATAGCTCTTATTCCAGGGGATCTTAAACCCTCATCTGACTTCCACAAGCACCAAGCATGCACATGGCATGCTTCATACATGCTGACAAAACAGTCATACAGGTAAATAAATCTTTTTAAATTTTAATTTTAAAATGAGGTGGAGAGTGGTAAAGGCACCTGAGTCATCTTCTAGACCCTCTGCTTCTGCATACTTCTGCATACACCACTCATACACAAACAAATCTCAGAGAGGTCTTTAAAAAAATTGTGTGAGTGAGCTGGATGGTGGAGGTGCATGCCTTTAATCCCAACACTCTGTGGGCAGAGACAGATGAATCTGAGTTCAAGGCCAGCTTGGTCTGCAGAGTAAGTTCCAAGACAGCCTAGGCTACACAGAGAAACCATCTCCCAAAAATAATAACTACAAAACACACATTCAGGGGGAAAAAAAAACTGTGAATGACATTTTTAGTCTTATGTTCCCACTTAAATTACTGTTGCTAATATGCTGGGCACTATTACTAACAAATGGTTTAATAAGAGTGTGTTTCTTACTTTTCTATTTCTTTGATAAAATGCATGACCAAGACAGTTTATAAAAGAGTTTATTTGGGCTTATGATTTTAGAGGATTAGAGTCCATGGAAGCAGAACAAGGCATGGCAGCAGGAACAGGAAGCTGAGGGCTCATATCTTGAACTACAAGTATGAAGTAGAGAGAGAAAGAGAGTGAGTCCATAGGCACTGAAGTAGGAATGGTGCATGGCTTTAAAAGCTCAAAGCTTGCCAGGCAGTGGTGGTATATGACTTTAATCCCAGTACTCGGGAGTCATAGACAAGTGGATCTCTGTGAGTCTGAGGCCAGCCTAGTCTACAGAGCAAGTTCCAGGATAGTCAGAGCTACACACAGAGACACCCTGTCTCAAAAAAGAAAAAAAAAAGGAGAAAAGAAAGCTAGCTCGGAGTTCACCCCCCAGTGACACACTTCCTCCAGCAAGGTTATACCTCCTAACCCTCCTCAAACAGCACTACCAACTGGGAACCAAATGTTCAAACATCTTATCGTATGGGAGTGTTCTCATTCAAATCTCCACTAAGGTTGAGATGAATTTGTAATGGGGGGTTTTTCTGCAGTTTCACTGCTCACAGTCTTCTACTTTGTTGTCCCCAAGGTACTTCTTGATGTCTTAGTGTTGGTATTTATAAAAAGCCTTCCTATGCCATAGTCTTTATAGGAAAGCACTGATAGATGAATATGTACTTACATAATAGCTGCCATATCCTCTCTAGACTCTGGTCCATCAAGAACTGAGGGTTCTATCTGCAAAATCCAAGAGCTGCAAGGAATTGGGAAAGAGGTTACTGGAACATAAATTATCTTTTTTGTCCAGGTGAGATTTCAATGGAAAAAGTGAAAGTAAAACGTTATGTGTCTGGAAAGAGGCCAGATTATGCCCCTATGGAGTCCTCAGATGAAGAGGATGAAGAATTTCAATTCATTAAGAAAGCTAAGGAACAAGAAGCAGAGCCTGAAGAACAGGAGGAAGATTCGTCCAGTGACCCCCGACTTCGGCGTTTACAGAATCGCATTAGTGAAGATGTGGAAGAGAGGTATGACGAGAGTTAAGTTTTCTGAACTGAGACCTCTCGCGGAGATGATAGTTGATAATAGTTGTGCTTACTGTGTGCCATATATACTGCCCCAAATAAGTTACATTTGCTAATTCTTACAATCTGTGGAACATCTTACAAAATTGATACTACTATTCCTATATCACAGGTGAGGAACTAAGGCAGCAAAGGGTTAGGGAAGTGTCATGTCCCCTGAGATCATGCCTAAACTAATGTTTTAGGCCCAACTTAAGCATGTGCTCTGATATTCTGTTTTAATTTGTTGAGTTGTATGTATAATTTTTAATTTTTTTGAAGTTAAAATATAATTACATCATTTCCCCCTTTCATCTTTCCAACTCTCCCCTTGCTGTCTCAAATTCATGGCTTCTTTTTCTTTCTTTTGTCATTGTTGCTGCTGCTGCTGCTGTTGTTTTTCTCTGTGTAACAGCCCTGGCTGTCCTGAAGCTCCCTTTGTACACCAGGCTGACCTCGAATTCACAGAGATATCCCTGCTTCTACCTCTGGAATGCTGAGATTAGACGCATGTACCACCACTTACTAGCTGGCCTCTTTTTCTGAAGTTGTTAATTCATATACACACACCTACCTAAATATGTAAATTCAGCATGCTCAATCTATATGATGTTACTTGGGTGTATGTGATTTCAGGGCTGGCCATTTGGTATAGGATAATTAATTGGAGGCAGGGAATTTTCCCTGGGGAAATTATTTCTTCTACTCTCATTATTCCTTAGTAGTCTCAAGTTCTTTGAATGGAGCTGGGGCCCTATGAGATTTCACCCTTCTAAGTTAGTATGTCTATTGGTGTAGTCCTTGTTCGTGTCTTATTTAGACATCCATGTTGCTCAGAACTCATGGGTCTATAGCTCCCCTGGCATTTCTAGAGCATATACTTTCCAGCAGACTTTCTGTTCTTTTGGCTCTTAAAAATCTTTCTGCCCCCTCTTTATGATATTCCCCAGGCCTTAAGTGTAAGGAGTCATGTTGTAGAAATTATTAATTGAGATTGGGTACCACATCATCATTTGTCCTTTGAATTTTGATTGGTTGTGATTTTATGTAATAATCTCTTGCAAAAAAAAAAAAAAAGATTCTTTGATGAGGGGTGAGCACCACATTTATCTGTAGGTATAAGTATAAATATTTGGAATGTATTTAGGAATTAAAGGGGTTTAGTAAAGTAGGAGTTATGGGTACTCCTCCAAAACCCCTGATCACAGGTTTCCAATACCAGGCATGATTGCCCTCTTGCTGAACAAGCCTTAAGTCCAATTAGAGAGCTCTTGGTTACCATAAAGATAGGTGTGTCATTATGGTACCCATAAGGTTGTCATGCCATGCTGGTAGTTACTGTAGTTCAGAGGTGTCTTAGCTGGGGCAGGCTTTCAGTTGCCTCCCTCTCTTGGAAACGTGCTTGGTGTCTTCTAGCACTGTGAAAACTAGTCCTCATGGAGAGAGCTTTCAAATCAGATGCATCTTGGATTTTTTCCATGTCCAAAGTACATGGTGTGTTAGACAATAGTCACTTGCCTTCACCCTCTGAGAAGCTATCAAGAGCAACAGTAATAACTTATATGTTTTGAGAGTCCTTTCTCCAACCAACAATTTGAAAGAAGAGGCTTCTCATGCCTGTATTAGGGTTTTTATTAGATGGTCTGTGGCTCTTGGGGAGGGAAATGTTGTCAACCCAGGTAGAAAATTTTTATTTAAATTATATATGTATGTGTATACACATAAACTTAAATGCATCATATCTAATTTTAGATAGACAGACAGCAGTATGACTCCTTATGACATTTTCAGACATTCTTACTGTTAACTGTTTTAGTTTCTTGAATTTGAACTTTAGTTTTTCCATCTTAAGATTTCAGTATTGGGCAGGCTGATCTCTCTAAGTGTGAGGTCAGCCTGGTCTACAGAGCGAGTTTCAGGCCAGTCAGAGCAACACTAAGAAATCCTGACTCAAAGAGATAAAAGAGAAAGGGGAACAAAAAAAGAATCAATATTGCTCTGTGCGGTGACTCGTGCCTGTTACCCAGGACTAAAGAGGCCAAATCAGGAGGGCTTCTGTGTTTGAACTACATAGCGAGTTGCAGGCCAGCCTGGGCTTAACAGTAAAAGTCTTGGAGAGAGGAGAAGGAAGAGAAGTGGGGAGAAAAAAAGCAAGGACACTGCAGCCCAGCAAATGTGGTTGGTGCTCCCCCATTGTTTTGATAGTAATAGTACACTTGGAAATCCTGCTTCCCAGATTGGCTCGACACCGGAAAATAGTGGAACCTGAGGTGGTAGGAGAAAGTGATTCAGAGGTAGAAGGAGATGCCTGGCGCGTGGAACGAGAAGACAGCAGTGAAGAAGAGGAGGAAGAAATTGATGATGAGGTAAGAAGAATAATATGGAATGTTTTCCCTCAGGGTGCAAGAAAAAATTGTAAACTGCTCATTTGTTGAGGGTATAAAGGCACAAAATTTGCTACTTTTAGCTGAACTCTGATTGTGATTCCTGTTTGCTGAGGTTAAGACTGAAAATGGAACCATGCTGAATTGAACCTGTTGAAGACAAAATCAAAGCTATGCTAGGGGCTCAGTAGTAGGACTAGACTTGGTGTGCACAAAGCCCCGAGTTTAGTCCTTAACCCCAAGAAAGCAGGCTTGAAGCACAAGCCATTTGAATAACTGGCTAAGCTGTATGCCTTGACAGGAAATAGAGCGGCGCCGTGGCATGATGCGTCAGCGAGCACAGGAGAGGAAAAATGAAGAGATGGAAGTCATGGAATTAGAAGATGAAGGGCGCTCTGGGGAGGAGTCGGAGTCAGAGTCTGAGTATGAGGAGTACACGGACAGTGAAGATGAAATGGAGCCTCGACTTAAGCCTGTCTTCATTCGAAAGTAAGTATCTGCCAGACCTGCTAAGCCAGGCCTGTGTTCCCAGCTACTCAGTAGGCTGAGGTAGGAGGATTGCTAGTTCAGGACCATTCCAAGCTACAAAATTAGCTAATTCTCACAAAAGAGAAGCGGGATATTGGTCAATGATAAATGCTTGCTTAGTATGCACAAGAGACTAGGTTCAATCCCCAACAGAGGAAAGGGGAAAAAATAGTCAAACCAGGACAGAATCCACATGGTTAAGTTCCAGGTCTGACAATAAAAGGCTCTAAACCCACATTTTCCTATAAAGGAAGTCTTCTTCCCAGTGCCCTAGTCCTGTAGCAAAAGTACTGAGAAGTAGCCAGATGTTAGCAGATCTGCCTAAAGGTGTTGTTTTTAACTAAGTTTCTTTCATTCTATTCTATCAGTAAAGACTTAGAAGCCAGATGCTGGGGTGAAAACCTGCTAGCTCAGGGAGCAGAGAAAGCACCCAGCTGCTTCCTCCAGCTGCTTTGGCCTATCCTATCTGAAACAAAAATGCCTCTCTCTTCCACCTTCCAACTTTCCCTCACTCTCTATGGTTACTTCCAGTCAACTAGTTGCTTGCTCCACTTCTTGACCTGTGGTTGATTTTATTTAACTTAACACCATCTCGAGGTTCATAGTGTGATCAGATATTCAACAACATAAAGGTAATCCGTGTGTGTGTGTGTGTGTGTGTGTGTGTGTGTGTGTGTGTGTTTTGAGATGCTCTGGCTATGGCGTCTCTGGTCTACATAGTGACTTCCATACTGGTCAGGGCTATGTAGTAAGAACCTGTCTCAAAAAGTGAATAAAAATAACATTTTTAAATTTAAGGAAAGTTTTAAAAGAACAGGAGTATAACATGTCTCGCACACACTGAAGTCTTATTCAGTCTCCGTACTGGGGAAGAAATAGAGCTGAGATGCTTCCTGGTTTGCGCTTTGTCTGATTTGAACAGGACTAGATCTAGAGGGACACAGTTCCACTCTAAAGACTTTGGGCAATTAGTTAACAGGATCTCTGTGATGCAGGAAGGACCGAGTGACAGTTCAGGAACGGGAAGCTGAAGCATTGAAACAGAAGGAACTGGAGCAGGAGGCAAAACGCATGGCTGAGGAGCGGCGCAAGTACACACTAAAGGTGCTGGGAGTGGCCGTGGATTGAGTGCAAGCGTCTGTGCAATGAGGTTATAGAGAGCTGGAGTCCAATAGCTGAACTGTCTTCCTTATCCAGATTGTAGAAGAAGAGACCAAGAAAGAGCTGGAGGAGAACAAGCGGTCCCTCGCCGCACTGGATGCACTCAATACGGATGATGAAAATGATGAGGAGGAATACGAGGCATGGAAAGTCCGAGAGCTCAAAAGAATCAAGAGGGACAGAGAAGACCGAGAAGCGTGAGTAGTGGGAAGGCCACTGATGGCTTGAGTAGCACGGGTTTATCTGTGGAGGTTGAGCAGTTCCTCCTATAGTCTCTGGGCTCACCTGGACAGTGCCTCCAACTGCAGGGCTGACTGGGCCAGAAGGTCCCGAAGCCCTTCTCTGGCATGTCTGACAACTGATGCTGCCTTTCAGGCTAGATGCTTCGTTTCTCCGTAGTCCTGGTTTGCTCACACTGCACCTTCAGGCATAATGGAAACTAGCAAAGTCTCCTGAGTTTTAAGTTCCAGAGCTTATATGTCACTTCTGTGCTGTTTATTTTTTTTTCAGATGGAGCCAGGGGCAGCTTAGGAGAAAGGGGTAGAGGTAGATTCTATATCCAAGAGTGTAGAGTAGCAAGCACCTTGAAAAGCAAGTTCATTTCTGAACTACTAGCCCACAGAGTAAAGCCACCACTACATAACTGTATTTATTTATTTTGTGGTTTCTAGTGATCTTTTTTATTTATTTATTTATTTATTTATTTATTTATTTATGTGCATTTGTATTTTGCCTGTGTAAGGGTATTGGGTCCCATAGGACAGTAGTTACAGACAGTTGCGAGCTGCCATGTGGGTGCTGAGAATTGAACCGGGGTCCTCTGGAAGAGCAACTAGTGCTCTTAACCACTGAGCCATGTCTACAGCCCTTCTAATGTTCTTATACTGGGCTTTTTGTCCCCCCCTTTGAGACATGGTCCTTGGCTGTCCTGGAACTTACTGTGTAGTCCAGGCTGCCTCAGACTCAGAAATCCACCTGCCTCTGTCTCTTGTGTTGGGATTAAAGATGTATGCCACCATGCCAGACTTGATATTTTTTTTTAAAGTTTTATTTATTTATGTATTTTATGTACACGAATGTTCTGTCTTAGTACACACCAAAAGAAGGTACCAGATCCCATTATAGATGGTTGTGAGCCACCATGTGGTTGCTGGCAATTGAACTCAGGACTTCTGGAAAAGCAGCCAGTGCTCTTAACTGCTGAGCCATCTCTCCAGCCCGAAATTTTTTTAATTATGTGTGTATGTGTGTGGATATGTATCTTTGTGAATATAGGTGCCTGTGGAATCCAGACCAGAGAGTGGGCATCATCTGCTCTATAGCTGGAGCTGACTTATTCTTGGACATTTTTCTTGTTTTTTAAGACAGTGTTCTATGTAGCTCATGGTGACCTTGAGCTTCTGCTCCTCCAACTTTGCCTCTTGAATGCCCCATGCCCAGTTTCTATAGTGCTAGAGATAGAAATCAGGCTTTGTGCACTCTATATAAGCACTGTACTAGTTACTGAGTCACATCCCTAACCCTTGCATTAGACTTTGATATTAAAAGTATATATACACGTATATTTGTCTGGAGAAAGAGGATATGACCTCTCTCCCCAAAACAAGGTTTAAATCCACTGTACTTAATATTGGTAATCCTTAATTTGTGACATGTAATATATGGATTACATTATGCTTATGAAAGATTATGAGCTGTCTTTTTTTTTTTAATTCATTCTAATTTTGTTTTAAAAGCTAAAGTATTTGAGTGAAGACAGAATTAGTGTTGTAAAATCAAGCATTATATTTCTGAACCTCAGAAAGGCTAGAATCAACTTTGCAATGTTTACAGTCCTGTTCTAGTAAACACAATAGTGAAGACTAACTTATGTTTTTGTTCACTGGACTCCTGATCTTGACTTATAACAAGCAGTAACCAGATGTAGCTGGGTGTAGCAGCATGAGTCTATAATACTAGCAGTTGGGAGATGAGGTGTGAAGTTGAGAGTTCCAGGCCAGCTATATAGCAGACTTGCTATGGATGAGTGAGTGAATGAATGAAATGTGAAAAGGTGAATAATGGCTTTCTGAATTTGGAAAATACTAATACATTTGCTCTCTGAATAGGCTTGAAAAGGAAAAAGCAGAAATTGAACGCATGCGAAACCTGACTGAGGAAGAAAGGCGGGCTGAACTTCGGGCAAATGGCAAAGTCATTACCAACAAAGCCGTTAAGGGAAAATACAAGTTTTTACAAAAGTATTATCACCGGGGTGCCTTCTTCATGGTAAGTGAAAAGGGAGTCAGAAAACTGGACAGTAGGAATAATTTACATGTTGAACCTTTTGACATTGTGACATGACATTGCCATCTGTACACTAAAAAGAAGAGTCATTAAGATACTTAAGATAGGCTGATCCATAGTGGCGCACACCTTTGATCCCAGCACTCATGAGTCAAAGACAGGTGGATCTCTGAGTTTGAGGCCAGCCTGGTCTACAAAGAGAGTTCCAGGATAGCCAGATCTACACAAAAACCCTGTATCAGAGGTAGGGGGTGATACTTCAAACAGTAGATTTACAGTTTTGTGTTGGGCCACATTTGTAGCTATCTTGGAGCAGTGCAGTGTCAGTCCATGAGGTTGGATACACCCAAAACACTTTCAGTCCATTTCCCCAAGAATGTAAATACACTCCTTAACAAAAGGAAGCAGCGAGAACCAACAATTGCTTTCTTTTAGAGTTAGCTCTCAGAAAGAGATGATGAATAACATTAAGGAAATGAAGCTATGAGCTATATACTCCACTAATTAGGTTCTCAAACTCCTTAGAAATCATTTCATGACCAAATGAATTTAATTTGTATGAAAACCAAGCTCTCTTCATCTGGATAAAGAGTTAACTTGAATAACTTGTGAGATTAAATGATTTTTAGGAAAGAGAAAGGTAATAATTCAAAAGCTGCAGAGCTAGGCCAGGCATGGTGGTGTATGCATTTAATTCCAGCAAAGGCAAAAGCAGGTGGATCTCTGAGTTTAATGCCTGCCTGGTTTACATATTGAGTTATAGGACAGCCAGAGCTACATAGTGAGACCCTGTCTCAAAACAAACAAACAAAAGCCCTGTTAAGTTTTTACATTGAAGGGAAAACAATGTCCAGAGCTGTGTTACAGTTCCAGGTCTTGGAGGATCAAGAGTTAGAGGCTATACAAATCCAGTGGCGCCTATTTATAATCTCAGGTACTCAGTGGACCAAGGCAGAAAAATAGCAGGGTCCAGGCCTGCTTAGGGTACAGCTGGAGAATGAATATACAGCAAACAGAAGTGTGACAGTACTGTAAGGACTTGAAAAGAAGGGTATCTCATGTCACAGAAGATTGAAAAGGTAGCATGGAACCAGGATTATACTCATTGGCAGAATACTGTGTTGAATGTACAAATATTCAGTCCCTAGTACCACAAAGAAAAGATTTTGCCAGACAAGGTGGGGCATACTATAAGTCCATCACTTAGGAGGCAGAAAAAGAGAATCAGGAGTCCAAGGTCATTGATCAGGTTCCACCAAAACCCAGGCTACAAGAGGTCCTGTTATAAAATAACCTTTTAAGAAAAAAAAGGGGCTGGAGATACGGCTTAGCAGTTAAGAGCACTGACTTCTCTTGCAGAAGACCCAGGTTCAATTCCCAGCACCCACATGGCAGCTTACAACTTTCTATAAATCCAGTTGCAGGAAATCCAACACCCTTACAGACATACATTCATGCAAAACACAATGCACGTGAAATGAAAATAAGTATTAAAACTAATAATAGCCGGGCGTTGGTGGTGCACGCCTTTAATCCTAGCACTTGTGAGGCAGAGGCAGGTGGATCTCTATGAGTCTGAGTCCAACCTGGTCTACAGAGCTAGTTTCAGAACAGCTCCAAAGCTACACAGAGAAACCCTGTCTCGGAAAAAGGGGGGGGGGGGGAACTAATAATAATAGTAATTAAAAAAAGATTCTGCTGTCCATGTGAAAATAGTTCACAAGATGTAATAAATGAATATACAGCAGATACTCAGATTTTGACTCTAGATCATTGAGAAAATGATGTTTCTACTTATAAAAAAGTCAAATTAGGAAAGGAGTCTGACATGGGAACATTAGGAATGATTTTCACTCACTGTATTTCAGGTTCTAATACAATGTCCAAGGAAAGGTACACATGAAAAAGGATTGGAGATTTAGGAGCTCACAGAGCTAACTCTGCGCATGAAACACACAGCAAATGCAGGGAAGCTTCTAGGAAGCATAAAAGTATGAGAAAACACCGTCTCCCCACCCAGATACAAGCTCTTAAAGAAGGACTCACTAACCTCTGACTGGTCGGTTGTTGTGTTTAATAAATTTGTGGTTTGCACATATGGAAACTAAGAAACACAGACTAATAAGATTCTCTTTCACAGGATGAGGACGAAGAGGTATACAAGAGAGATTTTAGTGCACCTACTCTTGAGGACCATTTCAACAAAACCATTCTTCCAAAAGTCATGCAGGTATGGGGATTCACAGAAACAGAAAGCTGCTGAACAGGACATGCTTGTCTGGTGCTATAATTATCCCTCCTTCTTTCAGGTCAAGAATTTTGGACGGTCTGGTCGTACAAAGTACACCCACCTTGTAGATCAAGATACCACTTCCTTTGACTCTGCATGGGGCCAAGAGAGTGCCCAGAACACAAAGTTCTTTAAGCAAAAGGCAGCTGGGGTACGTGATGTATTTGAGCGACCATCTGCCAAGAAGAGGAAAACCACCTAGGCTTCAACTACTTATTCCAACTCTGGGACACAAGGGCATCTGGTCCTCAGTTTTCTTTACCCATTATTTACATAGTTCTTGTATAGAGCCTTCTGGACTTCCTGCCATACCGTGTGTTTGAAGGTGCTTTGTAAGAGGTTTGGACTCATCCTGAGAAACCCACAGAAAAGCACTAGCCAGGTAGGGTTAGAGGCTTCCCACTTCAACAATTTCTGAGAAATCTTAGGTTTCTCTACCATGGCTTCCCATATTGACTTGGGACTGTTCTGAGCTTATTTTTCCAGCATCTTAGCCTGGATCAGATACGTGGGCATGTGAGTGGATGACACAGTACTCTTCCTTAAGGTCAGGAGTAGGGTATAAGGAAATCTAAACTCAATCCAACATGTTTTTGCATTTGAGGTGTTGAATCTACTTTTTGTAAGTAAACATACTTTTTAATCTCTGAGTGTGTGTGTATGTGTAGGAGAGATAAAGAGAGAATTGCCACACACCAGAAACATTTTTACCATAATATTGGAAACAAAATGTATAATCTGACAACTCAACCCACTAAAAAGAGGCTGAGTATGATGGCACATGCCTTTAATCTCGGCACTGAAAGGTGGAGACCCATAAAGATCTCTGTTCAAGGCCTGCCAGAGATACATAGTGAAACCCCATCTCAAAAAGGGGGGAGGGGAATATGTATGTATGTATGTTAAAATAAAGTATAGCTAGGCATGGTGGCACACACCTAGGAAGTAGAAAAAGAAAAATAAAGAGTTTGGTCATCTAAGCAAGGCATGATGGTGCATGCCTTTAATCCCAGCACCTTGAAGGCAGGGGCAGGTGGATCTCTGAGTTTGAGGCCAGCCTGATCTACAGAGTAAGTTTCAGAAAATCCAGGGCTACACAGAGAAACCCTGACTCAAAAAAAAAAAAAAAAATTCAGTCATCCTAAACTACATAATTCAGGGTTTACCTGAACCAAATGAGACTGTCTTAAAAAACAGTAAACAAATAAAATATAGCAGAGAAGTGGGCAAAGGTCTTTTCTCTCCCTCATAGTAGAATTTGAATCAAGGGCCTGTATATGCCAGTCAACTGTTCAGTCATTTTGCTGTATTCTCTCTCTCTCTCTCTCTCTCTCTCTGTGTGTGTGTGTGTGTGTGTGTGTGTGTGTGTGTGTGTGTGTGTGTTTAAAAGGGTCTCACTAAGCTACTCAGGCAAGCCTTGAACTTAAGATACTGGGCCTGAAAGACATTTCACTTGGTTAGACCCCTGCCAACAATTTCTTAACCTGAATTTGATCCCATGACCCCACATTGTGGTAGAAAAACCTGTCTGGCAACCAGTAAGCTGTCATACTATGGGATGTATGTATTTGTGTGCACAGGAGATGTAATTTAAAAAAAACAAAACAAAAAAAAGCTGAGTGTGGTACATACATATAATCTCAGTACTCAGGAAGCAAGACATGTAGGCGAGCAGATTTCTAAATTGAAGCTCAATCTATATAGCCTGCCTCAAAAACAGAAAGAATGTAATGATTCTTTTACCTCGGCCTCTCTAGTGGCTGAGATTACAGACATGAATCACCAAGTTTAAAACATTTGCACCCTGCCACGGTGCTGGGAACTAAGTCCAGGACCTTGCATATGCTAAGCAAGTACTCAACCAGATTATATGCCCAGCCCGGGCCAATTCTTATTTTGATCATCCTTTGATCTCAGAAACAAACTCAAATAGATATTAGACAATAATTAAGTAGCACCCAGATTTGTTCTATGAGCAAATTCAGATGTACACATTGTAGCATTGTGTAGGTCAATGACATAAAATAGGACATGACTCATTGAGTCCAGTTCCTACTAATCTTTCTTATGAAGCTCATGTGTAGGGTGAAGAGAAAAAACAATGTTCTGAGTACCAACCTCAGGTATTACTACTAGATTTAAGTCCACTTATCCATGTAATATTTACTGTGTAACCACCATGCACAGAATGAATTTCATCAACTGGATAACTTTCCTTGATTAAGAAAAAGAAAAAAGAGAGAAATGAGAAGAGGGATGAAAAGGTGGCTCAGTGATTAAGGGCACTTCCTATCCTGAAGGCCTGTTCTGTTCCCAGCACCCATATCAGACAACTCACAAACTGCCTGTAACCCTAGCTCCAGGGAGATCTGAAACCTCTGACCTTTAAGGGCATCTGCACTCATTCACAGATAAATGCATGCACATTATTTAAAATCTTTTTTTTTTTTTTTAAAGGGCTGGGCCAGATGGTATTCAACTGTAGTCCTATTATAGTAGAGAGGCTGAAAGGGGATCACCTGACCCCAAGTTCAGGACAAGCCTGGATAATGACACTCCATCTCAAAAACCAAAATAACCTCCAGATTAGAGCTGTAGTTAGTTCCTTAAGAGTACTTGCTGTACAAGGGTTAAGGGCCCCAGGCTTTTTCTCAGCAACACACACACACACACATACATTCATGTCCTTAAAATAACCCCTGTAAGACCTATCCATAGGCTGTTGATAAATATCCTACATAAAATTATATCCTACATAAAATTAAAATTACTAGGAAATAGTAAAAGTGAGCACTGAGCCAGATGGCACACAGAAGCAGAGGCAGAAAGGTCACAAGTTCCCTTAACAGCTTCTGCACACTGCACAACCCCATGGCAAAATATATAGGTATATATACCCATATACACACACACATGTATATAGTGGCTGCATATACTTAAATGTGGATATGTGGACACATTTTGACATGTGTAATTCAGAGGTCAAAACTGCCATTCCAACAGTCACCTTTGTGTTTTGGGACATGGTCTCACAAAGCCTGAAGTTCTAGCCAGGCTGTGGTAATGAATGCCTTTAATACCAGCACTTAGGAGGCAGGAGGATCAGAGTTCAACACCAGCCTGATCTACAGAGTGAATTTCAGGACAGCCAAGGCTGCACAGAGAAACCCTGGGGGGGTGGGGGGAGCCTGAAGTTCCTGACTAGGCTGACTAGCCAAAGGGTTGTGAGGATCTGCCTGTCACAGCACAAGTGACAGTGCTGGGGTTACAGATCATGCCACCACTTTTAAGGTTTGGGGTGGGTTTTTGTTTTTGTTTTTCAAGACAGGGTTTTTCTCTGTATCCTGGCTGTGCTGGAACTAGCTTTGTAGACCAGGCTGGCCTGAAACTAACAAGAGATCCTCCTCAGTGCTGGGATTAAAGGTGTGCCCCACCACCTGGCCACTCCTGGATTTTTAAGGGAGTACTGGAAATCTAAACTCAGATTCCTTGTGCTTTTGTACAAGTACTTACTAAGCCATCATTTCTATGCTCTATATTCCCATCTCCAGAACCTGAAATTTTACTCCAGTAGCCTATGAATGAGTTTGGTAACTTAAAAGACCCTAGTAGGAGCTAGTCTTTTGGTATTCATGAGCTAGCCTAAAGTTGGGAAGGGTGACTGAAATTGCAGCTCTCCAGTGGTGTTAAATGAAGGAATCTGAGTTTGAAAACAGCCTGGGCTACACAGGAAGAACCTATCTGAGAAAAATAAAATAAAATGCACAAACTCTCCTAGAACCACACGTAGCTGGATCTTTTACAGAGGATACAAATGTACTCTATATTACCAAGAGCTAGTCAGATGAGTGAGACTAGCATGCCACCTAGAATCTGTTATTTAGGGCTGGTGAAAGAAAAGCCTTTGTGGTAAAGGGCCCTTGAGTTCGATTCCCACATGGTGGAAGTAGAGTTGTCATCTGACATCAAGCACTATGACCAGAAAATGCCCAGACACATACACAAAATAAATATTATAAAAATAGAGCCTGTATTTGAACATTAGGTACTTCTTTATACTGACTGTTCATAATTCCATGAAGGTCCAACATAAAAGTGACAAAATATATAATGTATCTGATCTGAGATAAAACTGGAAAAAAAAAAAGAACAGCATAAGAAAACACTTTATTTCAGTAAATCAGTCCAGAATGTCTGAAAATGCACATTATCAATTGGTTAGAGCAATAAGAGCCTCCACAACGTTGCCCATGTGTTCCCGCAAGCTCCTTTCTGCTGCTGCTCGAGAGATCTCCATCTCTGTCATCTGCAAGGAAAGGGTAAATCATGTCACCGAAGCCTCCTCTCAGGCATAAATGTGTCAACTAATTTCTGACTCCACTTGTTAGGAACCCAAATTAAGTAGAACTACTCTAGTACGTCCATCAAAACATTACTACTCACTATCAACTCCAGATCTTCCTTCTTGATCGTGACCTTCGCCAGCTCCTTCTCCCTGTGAATACATATGTGTATATATACATCTGTCTTCATTCTTTACCTCTGTCAGAAACTCCCAGAAGTAACACTCCCAAGTTCACACTGCAAATGGGTGGAACAAGGTTGGTTGAAAATATCAAATAAACGGGCCCACCCCTCCCACTGGAGGCTTTCCTTCCCCTAAAAAGTGTCACTAACAACAAAGTTGTAAACTCTAGATCTACAGGAATTGGTTAAAAAAAACCCTTACCGCTCCTGTTTTGCCTTTTGCTCCCTGGACCGTCTGTCTCCAATGACGGACATCGCCTGAAGGAAACACGAGTCTAGTTACCTACCACCGTGCGACCCAAAATTTCCTATCTAAAACGAAATACCAAAAATAAAAACCACGTGGTTCAACTATTCACAGTAACAAGTGTTCTCGGGACCAAAGAACTACGCTTAGTTCCGTGCACCTGAGATCCATTTAGGCCCAATCTCCATCCAATTCTTAAGCAAACCTCATACTGGGTGATACTGGGTGAGTGCTGTCGCTTATCCCCATCCTACTGCCTACTCCCACTATCGCGATTTGCCTTTCCAGAGCCGCTGCTAAGTAGCAAACCAGTCCGTCTCAACTCACCCCTACCCCATTCTCAAGCCCTCTCATACAAGTTCCAGGTCAACCTCACCGTCTCCAGATTCGAACTCTGGATCTCCTTCTCCTCCGCATAGTCAGTGACCCGCTCCAGGTCAGCAGCACCGCTGTCATGCTTCCGTGGCTTCTCGGGAGGCCGCTCCGGACCGCTCGTTTCGGTCTCTAACTCAAGCTCCACATCTCCCTCGGTCGCCATTTCGATCTCACCGCGCCGCCGCATACGCTACCGCTTCACAACTTCCGGCAAAACTCAGCTTCCGCCCAGATAGGGGCGGGGCAGGCCCTGGACCACACCTTTGTGCCTGTCTTGAGAAGCTTCTGCTAGGAAGGTGGTTGGTTCGCTTTTTACCTCCTCTCCAGACTGTTTTCTGCAGTTTCCTTCGACTATTCTGTTCAGTACCCACACACACCTAAAGGCACAACTTTACTTCATCTAAGAAGAATCCTTTCACACACACACAAAACAATCCCTCCACTTCCTCCTCCCTCCCTTCCTCTATACACACACACACACACACACACCAAGGAATTCTGACCAACCAAGGTGGCCGATGGCTAATCCTAAACCAATTTAAAAAACCTAATCCCCAGACCAGATAGGGCAGCTGCTCCTAATCTCAGGAAACAGTCCAAATGATCCGGAATACGAAGCCCAGTGAAGGCATCTTCGGAAGAATATTTGCATTTACCACTTCCTACTGATAGGTATTTCATTTTCTAACATGCCCATTCTACTGGCTTAAGATTGAGTGATTAGCCCAGCACAGCGACTGCCCAATGGGTGAAAATCTTGAGAAGCTGTTGTTCCTCATCAGCTTTTCCAGTAACGGATCTACGCCTAACCTCTGGGCCAAAAATGACAGGAGCAAAAGTCAAGACACCCCAGCCCACTGTCCAGGGCCTTGCACAGCAGCACGTTGGAATCGGTGATGTCATAGTGAAAACCCCCTTTTATCAGGTGAGAAAGCATTTGAGGCCACAGACTTGAAGATGTCCTTAGATAGCTGGAAAAGGGGTTCTTGGCCTCGATAATCAGTAAACCTCTCGTCCCAGCCATAGAGTATAAGGGGGAAATAGGTTGTTCCTACAATGAAAATCTTACTAGTGTTTAGTAAAAATTCTACGTAGCTCACCACAAGCCGGAAGGAGGATGGAGGGTTGTGGAATTTTACCGTGGGTTAACTCCACACAGTATACACCACCCCTTGCAAAGCTCCACCTGTGCATCCCACAACTGCTCTACCCTCAGGTGTCCTGCTGTGGGCCTGTTTCTTTGACCAGCTGCTGCCACTCTAGGAGGCCCTCTCTCACAGAATCTTCTTGTAGCCTACTGCTCTACATCCTTCTCCATTTGGGAACCTCAGCAATCTGCTGCCTCCTGCTGTCTAGGACAGTGGGAGAAAGGGTCTGGGACAAAGCACATGGGGTAAGTCGGCAGGGGTTGCAAAGTGAGGAAAACACGTGATATTTGGATTGAGAACAGAAAGTATCAATCTTCAAGTGAGAAATTGAGACCTGTCCATGCACTGTGACTTGTCCCTACCTTTTCTCACAACCAAACTCTGCAGATCCAGATGCCCTCAGTGCTGTGTGCCCACCTGTTTGGCAACTCAGACTGTCCAGTGCTGAGTGGCTCTGGGGCTGTGTATCGAGTGTGTGCAGGAACTGCCACTTTCCACCTGCTGCAGGCTGTGCTGTTAGTGCGCCTTCACTCCCCAACCAGCCCTCGTGCACAGCTGCATAACAGGTTTGTATGTAATTTTTTGGATGGGAATGGGACAGAGGGAGACAGACACAAGCCGGCTAAAGAAAACTCCAGGATGAAGAAAGAGCACTGTAAAAAGACAGAAAACAGGTTTATAAATCCCTGGGCTCTAAGTTGAAAAGTAACAATGGTTATATGCAAACCTTCCTTAGAGTGTACGATGTTGCTCAGATGTGACATTTGGGTTAGAACTTGGGTTGCAATGGGACTTGGCTGGTTCCACCTCTTCTCTGCTTGTTTCCTCTGCCCACCTGCCATACTTTTCTTCTTCGTTCCCTGTTGCCTTTCCTCAATCTGGTTTTCTCTCTACTCCACTAGCTTCTGGAGCTGCAAGCTGGTGTTCCTGTTAGGTCTCTGTACTGTTGCCTTCTGCATCCCTGATGAGCACCTCTTCCCAGGTACTCTTCATCTTACACCCTGATCACCAAGAGTAGGCTACAGCTGGCTTCCTATTTAATGACAGGAAGCTGGACATAATGCCACACATCTGTGATCCCTGCACTCAAGAGACAGGAGCAGGATTGAGAATCTAAGACCTGCCTAGGCTACACAGGCTCCTAACCAAAAAGGAGGTGGAGGGATATCCTGACACATGTGACCGGCTCGAGCTAAGTTCCCAATGGTGCCTATCTTTCAGCCTGGCATTACATCGGCATCTGTGGAGGCTTCACATTCATCCTATTACAGCTGGTGCTAATCACAGCCTTTGCCCACTGGTGGAACAAGAATTGGTAAGGCACATCTAACCCTAAAGGCCCCTCCCAAGGAAGTTGACAGGCATTACTGGATAGATACAGAAAGGCTGGGCAAAAGCTGAATCAGGTATTTCTTCTATGGACTCCCAATGATCAATACCAAAATGCTCAAGAGACCAGATGTGATAACATTCACTTGTGATCCCAGCACTGGGGAGGTGGAAGCAGGGTCAAAAGTTCAAGGCCAGAACAGGATACACTATATCAAAAAACACAGGCTGGGCAGAGAGTTCCAAGCCAGCCTCTTTCAAAACAAAACCAAAACAGGTAGTCAAGATTGGTGATGCCAGGGTGATGGTGGCACAAGCCTTTGATCCCAGCACTCGAGAGGCAGAGGTAGGCAGATCTCTGGAGTTCGAGGCCAGCCTGGTCTACAAGGCTACACAGAGAAACCCTGTATTGAACCTCCCCACCCAAAAAGATAAAAAAATTTATAAAATTAAAAATCCCAGTGATTCGAGGCAGTGGTAATATAGCCAAGTGGTGAAGGTGCATGCCTTTAATTTCATCACTTGCAAGGCAAATGCTGGTAAATGTCTGAATTTGAGGCCAACGTGGTGTGCAAAGTGAGTTCCAGGACAGCCTTGGCTACAGACAGAAACCCTGTCTCAAGGAAATAAAAAAAAAAAAAAAAAAAAAAAAAAAAACTCAAGAATGTACTATGTAGCTGGGCGTTGGTGGGGCACACCTTTAATCCCAGCACTGGGGAGGCAGAGGCAGGTGGATCTCTCTGAGTTTGAGACCAGCCTAATCTACAGAGCAAGTTCTAGAACAGGCTCCAAAGCCAGATAAACCCTGTCTCAAGGGGGGGAAAAAAATGTACTGTGTGGACCAGCAGGCTAACTAATCGGGTCTGATGAGAGATGGGGGGGAATAGTCAGTCCATAATGGATTGGAGTTAGAAACCATTACCCACTTCTCTTTAGGCAGATTGGTGCAGCCCAAGACTGTAACTGGTCCCTAGCCGTGTTGCTGGCCACCCTAGGATTCTACAGTATGGCAGGTTTGGGGGCTGTGCTACTGTTCTACCACTATACACACTCTGACGGCTGTCTGCTCAATAAGATGCTACTCAGCCTGCACCTCTGCTGCTGTGGCCTCCTCTCTGTCCTCTCCATCACACCTTGCATCCGCCTCAGTGGGTATTTGTGATTTTATGTTTCAGATTTGGGGGGTGGGCTGTGTCCCTTTTTAAGCATTATAGCAAATTTTATTAGCCTTCTCAATTATCTAAAGAACCTCTGCTTTTACACACACACGGGTAGGTTAAGATAGTACAGGTAGAAGTAGAAAATAGAGGAAATTCACTGTCAACACCTGTTCTCCCTAGAGCACTCAAGTTCCGGCCTTCTATAAGCTTCTATCATCAGCTGCTATATCATGTATCTGACCTTCTCTGCACTGTCCAGCCGTCCCCCAGAGACAAGTGAGGACCCAAGTGCTGACAACCTTTTCTGTTCCTGCTACCTACCCAGCTTTGTTCTTAACCTCTTTCTTTGCCCCTCGCCAGTAACCTTTCAAGGACAGAATCACACTTTGTGCGTGCCTGCCAAGAATAAAATGGAACCACAAATACCGGATACCTCAGCAGCAGTGTTGAGTGCTGGCATCATGTATGCTTGTGTGCTTTTTGCTTGGTATGTGACAATGTCAAAGGGAAGTGGGAGAGGATGCCCGGGTCTCAGTGAAGGAGAATGTCCAGGGCTATGGTTTATTTAAACTGTAGAGCAAGACTAGAACCAGAAAAGCTCCCCACAAACAGGGACAATTTCTAAGAATAGCATTTGTCAGATGATCTGTAGAAGATCATGGGGGCAGGGGAGAGTATCTGGAGTTCAAAATTTGCAGACTTTATGGGCCTCTGAGAGCACAATACCCCCCAAGAGGATACCACCATGGACTAATTGGCAGTAAATGCCCCTAATCCTTCTTACTTGGCCCAAAATTAAAAACTTTCTTTCACAGCAATGAGGCTTCCTACCTGGCTGAGTTATTTGGACCCCTGTGGATCATCAAGATTTACAATTATGAGTTCCAGGTGAGCATCAAGAGTTCAATAACCCCAACATCCCTCCCCAAAACACAGAGAGACACATCCTACCAACCTCTACCCAGAATGCTCAGGTTCTAGCTATTTCCTTTTATTGAGTACCCACAATGTGCTAGGCACTGTGCTAGATACTTTACATACATAATCTCATTTAATTTAATCCTCACAACAACCCTGTGAGGTAGGTATTTGCTCCATTTCACAAATGGAGGAATTGAGGCACAAAAGATTAAACATCTTATCAAAGTTTGCATAGCCACTTATATGCTGGAGCAAGAATTTAAACCCAGGTGTGCCTCCACTTCTTACACCAGGCCAATCTTTTCAAAGGGAAAATTTTCTAAATTAACACCCTCACATTTCAAAGCCATTTCAAAACACATTTCTTTGTTTTACAGAAACCCTCACTCTGTTTCTGCTGCCCCCAAACAGAGGATGGTGAGTCAAGTGAGCAAGCTAGGGAATGGTTGATGCCTGTAAAATGCCCAAGAGCCCTCAAGAGCTGCTGGGAGGAAATTTCAGCAACACTGCTTCCCACCAGCACTTCTCTCTCTGCAGGGCACAGCAGCACAGCCAGGCCAGGTGACCAAGAAACCCCACCAGCTGCTCAGGTGCAAAGGCAGCATCTTCCCTACAGCTATTCTGCCTTCCACTTCACCTTCTTCCTTGCTTCACTCTATGTCATGGTTACTCTTACCAACTGGTTCAGGTAGGATGAAAGCAAACATAAGACACTCTCCTGAAAACCTAGCCATTTAAGGAAAATTTTGGGTGTGGGGGAAGCAGGGCAGCCCAAAAAGCTAAGGCCCAGCAAAATCTCTAATCAGCTTTTGGTTTCACAGCTATGAGGGAGCAGAACTGGAGAAGACCTTCACTAAAGGTAGCTGGGCTACCTTCTGGGTCAAAGTTGCCTCATGCTGGGCATGTGTACTCCTCTATCTGGGGTTGCTTCTGGCACCACTCTGTTGGCTTCCCACTCAGAATCACCACCACCCCAGGGTACTGCCTGGTAAAAACTAGCTCCCCATCTATATGAACAAACTGGGGTACCTTATAGATTATGCTACACTCCATCTAAGTATCTAAATTGTAAGAAGTGGCCAAACACACCCTAGTTTCTTGATTCAGTAAGCTCAAGAGTCTAACTCCCAGTCAGTAAACTCAGAAGCTTTAGCTGATCCTAGCAATGTGGCACCAGCCCCTTCCTAGCTCCTGAACTAGAGATAAGGGGCAGGGAAAGACCAACAGAGACTGAAGATTCGGGTTTGCTCTTGACAATCAAAAGAAAACAAGTGGTCCAGCCCCAGACACAGGGATGTAAGAAGACCAGAACCACAGAACAAACCAGGGCACAGGAAGAATGGAACATAGAGGCTACCACGGGTTTTAATCCTGATCCTGAGGTCAAAGAAAATGGAAGACAAAAGCCACCTTCATTCCATGAGGAATGACAGAAGAGAATATGAGCACTTGAGAGCAGCTGATTTTTTTTGGGGGGAAGCCAACTTTCAAGTAAACTAAGAATGAGGAACAGAGACATAAACTTAGGTCTTAGATCCTTCCCCTCTTACAGCCCTCAATACCATCATGGGGATAGTGTTCAAAGTCTGAGTGGGGCATAAAAATCAGAGAGAAGTCTCTATAGTTCTTACAGGGTTCCTTTACCACAGAACTGGAGTGCTTTTCTGGTTTCCATAGTAAAATAAAGGCTTCTGTGATGTTTCCCTTATGAAGTCTACAAATCTCTCTTAGGTGCCTAAAAAGAACTTTCCCCTTTTAATGGGAAAGGGCAGTCACTCCTCCATCCCCATCCCCCCAATCCCCAGTCAAACCAGGCGCTCAAGGAATTACAAAGCTACTTTTAATACTTTGGGGTATGCCCCACAGGAATAAAAAACACTGGGAAGGGGTAACCCCCTCACCCCCAGGAGGTGCCCAGGGGGAGAGAGGCTACCTGAGGGGAAGGAAGCACAAAAGGAACCCGCTGCAGACTCAGGGCAAAGGGAATGCCATCGGTGCTGGGACCTGTGAGCATTACAGGAAGAAACTCGAGCATGGTGGGACTGGCTCCAGGCACACAGGCGTAGGGCAAGAGGGTTGGACACGAAGCCACAAAGCTACTTGGGTTCCTCCTTCTTCTCGTTTGCCTTTTTCTGCTTCTGCTGCATGATCTCCGAGTCCCTGGGGGTAGAGATGATGGGGCACTGGGAGGTACCAGAGGGCAAAAAGGACAAGATGCAGGGGGATGAAGGGTACAGAGGATAAGATGGAAGTGGATGGGACAAAGTTCAGCATATGGCTGCTATATTCCCACCCTAGGAGAACAAGAGGAATAGAGCTAAGGCTCAAAAGGCAAACAGTCTCCATCTGGATGTTGCCCAAGGGGTCAGAAGTCTGGCCACTCAGGTCCAAGGCTCTCTTCTCTATTCTGTACTGAGTACCACACCCAACAATACTAGTGAGAAAGTCGGGAGAAGGGAGGAGATACAAGCAGCAAGGAGGGCCAAAAGTACTGGGCTGTCAAAACAACTGTACTTGATATGTGAAGCTCCCTGCCCTTGCCCTTAAGGTCACAACCAGGGCACTCAGAAATCAGCCTGCTGACCGGGACCCGCCCCAGTCCCTTCCTGTATAGCTGTGACCTAACAACTTGGAGTGGGGAGGAAATAAAACCTTAGAGGAAGCAATGCACTCTTCCCCTCACACCTAGTCCAGACTCGAGCCCTGAAGTAGTTCTCTTTCCTGGTACACCCCTCGGTCTAACCCAGGTCTCCCCGTCCCGTCCGTCCTGACCCGTCCCGTCCTTTCCCCTCCCTGGGGCTACCTCTGCTTGCGGGCGGCAGCAGAAAGCCCATCATCTCGGCGCTTTCCCTTAACGGAGTCGCTCTGCTTCTTCATGTTCTTCTGGCGGGCGAGCTCTCGCTGGTTACCGCCTGAGGAGAGAAGGTAGAAAGTCAGATGCCGGGGCACGGGCACGCACACACCAGCGCCCCTTCTCCCGCAACTGGGACCCGACTATCCCCCGCCGCGGCGCCGACCCCATCGCCGAGCTTCGGCTGCCGGGGTGTGGCAGCCGCCACGGGGCAGACAGGTTAACTTGGGGTGCGAGAGGACGACGGCGCGGCCGAAGCTGCCGGCGGCGCGAGCAAGTTTGGGGTGCCGCGGGGGCCCAGACAGCTGCTACAGCGTGCGGGGAGCCCCGGGGCCTCCGGGGCGCGCGCTGGGCCCACCAGCCAGGGCACCCGGCTTCCCCAGCGCCGAAAGCCGCCGGCGGCCCGCGCCCAACACTGGGGTCTCGACAAGTGGTGGCGTGCAGAGGGGTACGCTTCCGGCCGGCCGGGAGGCAGCTGGAGCGCGTCCCCCGAAGGACCTCCCGCCGCGGAAGCCGAAGGGACTGACGCGCCGGCGCCCGGCCGTGCGGCCAGCGAGAGCGCAAGGAAGAGGGCGAGAGGAAAGGGTCCCAACACTCACGGGTCATGGCGACGGCAGCGGCTCCGACCTGCCTCCGTTGCGTCCCCTCGTTCGGGCCGACGTTGCAGGCCCCGCCCCCTCCGCGCGACGCCACCGAGTCGTCTCCTTCCTCCCGCCCCTTCACGCCCGGACGCCGACTCTCATTGGGCAAAGGAAAACACGTGGAGCGCGGTGCCACGCGCCAGTCCCCGAGGGCGAAGAGCGGAGCTTCGCGGGCGGAGCGCCTGGCGAGGAGAGGGGAGGGGAGGGCAGGGGAGGGATGGGGAGGAGAGGAGAGGAGAAGGGAGGGGAGGGAGGGAGGGAGGGGAGGGGCTTCCCGGGAGCGCCGGGTCCCTCACGGAGCGGGGGGCGGGCGGGGGGCGGGGGTTGGGAACTAGGCCGGGTCACGTGGGCGGTGGGGTGGAGGGGTGCGGCTGGCGATGTGGCGCTCCGGCGGTGCCGAGCACGTGACCGGGCAAAGTGACCTCATATGGGACAGTTTAGGGTGCTGACAAAGTCGCCCCGAAGGAATGCGGTGGCAGGGTGGGGAGGGTGTGAAGGCGGGATTTCCTAGGTGGTTCATCCGGTTGTGTGCCATCAGTCTCTCTGGAACTAAACTTTGAGCTGTTAACTTAGGGTACCAATCCCACAGCCTCTTGGCCGAACACGTCTGAAAACATACACAAATAATTAGGAAAACCCTTTCCACTTCCTTCGTCCCTAATTGTTTGCCGCCACTTCCATTGTGTCAAGAAGTGACACTTGAGCCCAGAGCTCCTGCATGCACACCTCCACTACCGAGCTGCACTTCCAGACTGCCCACATAACTTTGTGCCTTGGGATTGATGGAGCACACCCAAACCCGTGGAGTTACTTCAGGAACTGAGGTTAGGGAGTGTTATGTTGTCTGCATCACTCTTAGACCGTTTCTATATTCTGTCATCTCCCCCAGCAGTACCTCTGGTTTGTAGGAGAAATCAGATTAATAACTAAAAAACGTTCTCATGTTCAGTTATCTCACAGATGTGGCCCCTGTAAGTGGGATTAATTAAACCTTATCTCCCATGTAGAGACCAACCTGAGATCGTCTAAACTATCATGAAACAACTCAACATAGGTCAGAATAGTAGGAGTAGCTTTCTACCAGCCAAGCCCAACACAACCTTAGTTAGGCCCCTTATCCTGTCTAGCATCTTGGCTAAGCAACTGAATTCAGGAAGCCCTCTCTCTAAAGCAGCGGTTCTCAACTTTTGGGTAGCGATCCTTTCAGAAAAAAACAGATATTTACATTATGATTCATAACTAGCAAAATTACAGTTGAAATAGCAACGTAAAAAAATTTATTGTTGAAGGGTCATCACAACATGAGGAACTGTGTTTAAGGGTCAAAGCATTAGGAAGATCGAGAACAAGGGCTCTAACGTCTATAAAAGTCAAGCATTTCCTTTGTTCTGTGAGTAGCTGTCGGATCTATTATCCCAGCTTCTCCAATATAACAGATGGCCAGTATTTCTAAAGGATAGCTTTTCCATAATCCTCAGACCATTCTAAAAAGAACCTTCTGGTAAACCCAGCAATGGTGGCACACGCCTTTAATCCCAGCACTCAGGAAGCAGAGGTAGGCAGATCTCTGTGAGTTCCAGGCCAGCCTGGTCTGGAGAGTAAGTGTGCCAGGACTGGCTCCAAAGCAATACAAAGAAACTTTGTCTCAAAAAACAATGAAATCTTCTGTCATGGTCCTAGGGCAACCATGTAGAGAACAGAGAGTTCCAGGCTGGTTCTCACCTACCCACCTTGTTGAGGCAGGATCTTTTGTTTTTTGAAGCTGTGCTTCATACCCCAATCTAACCGGCCCATGAGCTTCCAGGCAATTCTCCTGTCTCCACCTCCTATCTCGATGTAGGAATGCTTTGACTGATTGAAGATGTTCTTCATCACATGCTCTTTACATGGGTTTCAGAGATTAGACACAGGTAGGCCACTGCCTTTACCTGCTGAGCCATCTTCCAATCCAGAACTTATTTACTTAACTATCTATTTATTTTATTTGGGTTTTGGTTTGGTTTTTCCACACAGGGTTTGTTTTGGAGTCTGTCCTGGAACTCTCTCTGTAGACCAGGCTGGCCTCAAACTCAGAGATCTGCCTCCCTCTGCCTCCTGGGTGCTGGGATTAACGGTGTGCACCACCACCAGCAGCTAAGAATTTTTATTTTCCACCGCCGGGCATTGCTGGCGTACACCTTTAATGGCAGAGGCAGGTGAATCTCTGTGAGTTCAAGGCCAGCCTGGTCTATGGAGCTAGGCCCAGGACAGAGAAACCCTATCTCAAAAAAAAAAAAAAAAAAATTCCAACTATTTGGAATTACATACATGTACTTTTATTACTTTTGCTTCTTTTTTGTTGTTTGTCAAGACGGTTTCTCTGTGTAACCTTGGCTGTCCTGAAGTTCACTCAGACCAGGATGGTCTCAAACTCAGAGATCTTCCTACCTCTGCCTCCCGAGTGCTGAGATTAAAGATGAGCACTACCACCCAGCTTTGCTCCCCCCAGCCACCCATCCACCCAGTGGG